ATTACCTATCAAAGATCCAGATAAGCATCTAAAAGACTTATCTCTTTAAATTGGGATAATCTGGAACACCAGAGTTCAAAGAAGATGGAGTTCAATTGAACCTAAATTTGATGATGCTGCTGTTCAAACAATGATAACTTTCGCCAAATCACAAATAAACAAATACAATTCAAAGAATTATTACCTTGGATCGTAAACTACAAGAAGAAAAACATTGAAATGATAGAAAACAGTTGTGACACAGCTTTATTAGCTTTTTTTTGATGCATCTAAGATTCAATTAGAATCACAAATTAGAGTGCAATTTTTTTTAGATAAGTGAATTTGTAAATGAGTATAAGTGAAATAAACGTTATTGTATACAAAAAAAAACATTTTAGGGTATAATGGGCTATTTAAACGTCATATATATATTTTCATGGTTTAATTGACTCACTTTATGTACTTTTATAGTTATTCTGTTCTTTTTTAATATAATGTATCGAATGTGTATTTATAAAATGCTAAAATAATGTACAAAATCACTGGAGACTCAGTCTATGACTGGTTTATAATAATAAGAGATAAATCAGAATTATGAAATTACAAGTAATAATGAATTAAAAAAGGCCAATGTTATAGTTGGAACAATTGTAAATTTGCGGAAATCACCAAGATGTTCCTAATACTTTTCTTGATGAAGTCCTAATGGTTTGTTAATTAGTTGATTCTAAGGTGACTGAACCACTAGCTTAAAGGAGCTGAGCATGAAGGCTTGATGAACCTGGTAATAGAAGTTAAAAATAGTATAAGAGTTGGAAAAAGTTTTTTTTATTATAATGCAATGATTCCCAGTACTAGCAGTTCCGGCAATTGAGTACTAGCAGTTCCGGCAATTGAAAAATTAAATTATATATTATAGTCATGTCAAGCATTTATTGATATGTTCCGTGGCAGAGAATAGGTTTCTTAGTTGGCTGGGAAGGATATTATAAGGAAGCCTGAATTTCAACATAGCGAGAAGCTTACAATCCACGCGGTTCATGCGTAATTGCATTCCTCATCCAAGTTCATCAAATACATGATCAAATAAAAAAAAAAGTAAACCCAAATTCATTTATAATTTATTTGTAAATTACTTACTCGGAATACAAATTCCTGGTGATTCAAAGTGATAGTCTTGACTCTCTATAATTTTCGTACTTTTTGAATAGATTTAAAAACTGGTATTTGTGGCTTCTTGTTTGCAGCAGATGAAGTACTAGTAGTTCTAGTATTACTAATAAAGGTAATAAGTGAGATTGTTATATCAAATATGAATACTATACAAGAATATTATGAGGATGGATTATATGAGGAAATTCCACCATATATAATGGTGCTAATTGTAGATCAGGTGGATCGACTCAAGTCTGTGACAAGTCTAATTGGCTATTAGATTACTGACACGTAATCTGCACTTAGTTGGATTTTCACATCACAACAAACATCATTCCTCTTTTCTTATTGTATAATCTCACTTAAATTTATTAACTTAACAGTGTTGAGAAAAATGCTTTATGCACGAATGATTAACCATTTATCAAACAGTGTGGGACTCTTCTAATCTTCATTTCAAATTGAATTGTTTCAAGTTCAACAAATTTACCCACTAAAAAACTCAACTCTTGATTTCTGTTAAGTCACAACTAATTGTTATAGTTGCTCATCTTGAATGGTAAGTTCAAGGATAATTAATATTATAATCATTTATCATTTCAGTATAATTTATGATTTCATCTATTAGGATAAGCATCTAATAGGATAATTAATTTTCTTAATTGTAGTTTCTCATCTGTTAGGATTGTTCATCTAACAGGATATTAATTAATTGTTCTTCTATTAGGATATTTCATCTAATAGGCCGATAATTGTAGTTTCTCATCTGTTAGGATTGTTCATCTAACAGGATATTTAATTCATTGTTCATCTATTAGGACATTTCATCTAATAGGATAATATCGTTGTTCTTCCATTAGTATAAATATCTAATAGGGTAATTCGTTGTTCTTCCATTAGTATAATCTAATAGGATAAATCGTTGTTCTTCTATTAGGATGATCTAATAGGGTAATTCGTTGTTCTTCCATTAGTATAATCTAATAGGATAAATCGTTGTTCTTCTATTAGGATGATCTAATAGGATAATTCGTTGTTCTTCTATTAGGATAATCTAATAGGATAGGTCGTTGTTCTTCCATTAGGATAATCTAATAGGATGATTCGTTGTTCTTCCATTAGTATAATCTAATGGGATAAATCGTTGTTCTTCTATTAGAATTGCTAATAGGATAAATCACTCATCTTACTCTTTTGTAAGGATAATAAAATTTTAACAACTCATCTTACTCTTTTGTAAGGATAACAATACTAACAACTCATCTCACTTTTCTGTAAGGATAACAATTTTTCAACAACTCATCTTACATTTTTGTAAGGATAACAATTCTTTAACAACTCATCTTACATTTCTGCAAGGATAATAATGTTCAACAACTCATCTTACAGGCTGATTTCTTCTGCAAGGATAACAATTTTCAACAACTCATCTTACATTTCTGCAAGGATAATAATGTTCAACAACTCATCTTACAGGCTGATTTCTTCTGCAAGGATAACAATTTTCAACAACTCATCTCACATTTCTGTGAGGATAGCATTTTATCAACTCATCTTACAGGATAATGTCTTCTGTAAGGATAACACTTTCATCAACTCATCTTACAATTCTCATGTAAGGATAACAACTTTTTTAGCAAAAGTTTATATGCAATAGCATTCAAGCTGAACATAACTCAACACAGGAGTAATAGTAGTAGTAATGAGTTCAGCACATAATTGATTTAGCAACAAGCATCGACTCATTATTCTCAAAGAACATATAGTCAAGAATGAATATTTTGTAGAAGTATAGCATATTCTGTGAAAGTATAGCATAATGAATGCTCAGTGTATGATGTAATGAAGATAAACAATGATTTGTTGAACTATGGTGGGTGTTCAGTTCTCATTCCATGTTGTCTTTGAAGATGATGGCAAGAAATTAGCAAGGTAAAAATCAAGTTTTCAACACCTAATGGCACCTAATGGATTCTTCAATAGTAAATCTTCAACGATGATCATCTATAATTAGACAAGATTATAACCATCAACTATGGATGTGAATATAGCACAATAGATAACCATAATACAGTTCTATCAATCTCATACCTCTTTTCTTTCATTTGCGAGTAGTAGAGTCAGGTTATATCAATCTCCATTTGTAAGTAATAGAGTCAGAAAGTAATTCTATCAATCTATCAATCTCATACCTCTTTCCTTTCATTTGCCAGTAGTAAAGTCACATATCATTGAATGTACCATAATTCACAATGAGTCTTCAACATTCACCATAAGAACTATCTTCAAATAATTGACAAAATAGCATACCAATTATAGCATTTGTAAGTTTTGAGTTCTTCAATGGCTTAAATGATGTAATTTAATTCAATCATATGTCCAGATGAGTATATAAAACTTCACCTTCAAAAGTAAACAATGTGATAAGAAGTAGGTAATAAACAATACCAATTCAAATTTCAAATAAATCCTTTGTCCAAATTTTTCCAATAAACAAAAACGAAATCTTGTAAGGAACTTTCAATCAGATAATATCTTGACTTAATATTCACCTTTCATCAGCACACCAGGCTGAACTAACAAACAAATTGAGTGTAACAATGTCTTTTGATATAGTGAATATCAGTGAATATCTTTTGATGTAGTGAATATCTTTTGATAATAGATAACAAATAGATGATAAACAAGTTGGATTTAATGTTAACTCAATCAAAATTTGAGAATAGTTATGAACCGGTAATATATATTTGGTAAAGAATGTAATTTCAGAATCAACATTTGCAGCAGATATGCAATAAGTTTCAACTAAGCAATGAGGTGAAAGTAAATGATTTTCAATAATTAACATTCTCTGCATTATCTTTAAGAGTTTCTAGTGGCTTCATATATCTCAGAGATCTTCAATTGTCTTTATAGTCTGAGGTGTAAGCAAATGAGCAGTTTTCAACATTTGTATAAAAGCAATAGCATGTAATGGAAGTTTCCAAGCAGTAGAATAGAATGATTTGTCAAGTAATGTATTAACCAATGTAACTTGTAAGTTAATAGCTTCTATATCTGTAAAGTTCATAGCAAATCTTTCAACATGATGGCAAATATCTTCACATATAGTCAAATCAAGAACAAGTATAATAGACAATAGATCATAATCTTGAAGATTTAAAAATGCATCAATAGATGGAATCAAACTTGGGTAAATTGTAAGCTTGGTATGAGTTGTAAACAAATAGTTGTAATCAAACGACAATAACTTCATATGCATCTTCTTAAGGGTAAAGTGGTAAACTTGGTAGATATCTTCGATATCTTCACTTCTTCATATCTTTGTCTATCGACTAGTTGATATATCATTTACCTGTTGGGTTCTGCAATAGTCATAACCAGTATCATGTCCATTACCATCTCCAATGAAGTCTCCATACTGAGGTTCACTATTTTCAACACTTTCTCTCAAAGTTCAATGAAGATTAATTTGAATGATCAGGATCCAATGGATTCTTAAGTCTCAGTAGACAATAACAATATGTAGACAATAACAACATGACGATCTCATATCCTTCTTCTTCTTCTAATCAAGTTTTCGACTAGCATAGAGCTGGAAATCTAACGTTTCATATTGAGGGGGATTAATATGCAGTCTTCAATAATCCGTAACAATAACATAATTCAATGTTGTAGTAAGCCAACAGAATAGTAACTGGATATGTAAATTCTTTTCAACGTGATAAAACAATGACAAAAGTATGAGTTCCAGTTCTTGTGTAATGACAATCAATGCAATTGTACTCTCACTTGCAGTACACAGTTCTAATTCATCAACATTCATGAGTTGGACTTTCAATAACTTCAAAGTTTATGACAGAATTTGTTGGTTTTTCAATGAACTTTTTTGTCCTTCATCATTCAATATTTCCTTTATAGCAGAATCGGAATTTTTTTTCATTTTGGCTTGTGGATTGCATCTGAAGGTTTAATGTCACTGTTTTCTTCTAATGCACCAACTTGCAATAGTTCCAATAAGTAAATGAAGTTATTTCTCTTCTTTGTCATCAGTTTCAGTAGTTTCTCTCATTTCATCTTCTTTGGCTGTTTCACTCAACTTGAGTTTTGGTCTAGTAACTCTACCAACATTGATTTTTCCTTCTTCATTTTCAGTTGATTTACTTTTAATTTGTTTATCAACTTCTTCTTAAACTTCTTTCTTCTTTTTTATGACTACCTTTATTTTTCATATCTTCATCTGAAGTCAAACGTCTTTTATTCTCTGGATCTTGTAACTCACCATTTATGCTCGATGTCGATACATCTTGACTGGAAATTTGTGATTGTTTAGCATTGTTTTGAGTTTGATGGAAGCCTTGCAGTAGAAACTTGTTGTTCATTTGATAAAGAAGATTTTGTATGAATTGATGATTGTTGTTGAAGAGGTTGATATGATAATGATGAATGATGATGATTTGATTAAAGATGGAGTTTTCTTCACCATTACTTGTGACTTGTGGTTTTGATAACAGTAACTCAGCAATCATTAGTTGTGCCAACTGATGATCTTTCATTTCTTTGAATCTTGCAACATACTTAACTTTGAAGTCCGTTAAGTCAAACACTTTGAGACTTTGTAACCAATGTTGTTATCATTATGGTTTGATAAAAATACATAGATGATTGTGTGATTGCAACTTTTCATCTCTAGTTGTTTGCTTTGTTGGTGTTGTGGCACCGATTGATTCAAATGCAAATATAGTTTTTCTAGCATCTTTTCTTTCCTAACTTCAAATCATTTCTTATCTTTGAGTCATAGATAATAGCATCTTTAGTTGATAATATTGGCAGTAATGGTTTGTTGTACTTGAAATTAGTTTTACACATCTTTTTGTAATGATTGATATCTTTCAAATCTAAAACTAGTAAATTCTAAAAGCATTATTACTAATGATGTTTTTTCATTTATCCACCATGACTTTTCACAATTGTTGTTAGCTTTTCAAGCATACTGAAGTCAAATTTCATTCCATTGTTAATTTTGGAATTGTGATGTTTGAATGCACACATGTTATGCGTTGAAGATTGAGATGGTTGATTCAACTTGAGCTAAGTTGAGTGGTGTTAGGATGTGTTAGGATGTGGTAGATTGTGTTGTTTCCAATTTGTAAAGTTGGTAAATCATCATTTAATTTGTATCAACTAAATCTGTATTGAGCCATTTTTGTTTGAATGACGTGGAACCATTTCAAGTAGTCAGAGTCAGGTTTCAATTCTCCAATTTCTTGGTTCATTTCTTTCAAGATGTTTGATAGAATTTTGGCGTTTGAGTTCTTGTGGTTTTGCCTATAGTATCTGATGTATTCAGCTTCATCCAAGGTTGTGAAATTCGTTTCAAGTAACGAATTACTGGTGGTAGATTTAGATTTATAACCTTGACCTTTGTTGACTCTATTGGTTGGTTTCTTCCATAATCTTTGTTGGTTGTTTGATCCATTACTATCACTCATTTCCCTTTTGTCTTCTGTTTCTTGGGAATGCTTCAGTGAAGTCATCAATATCTGGTTCAAATAAATAATTATCATAGTAACTATAGTGATAAAATTTTTTCAGATTCATTTTGAGTGACTTTGTTTCTGTTGATGTTTTCAGCATTAGTGTTTTCATCTTCAGATTCTTTGGATCGTTCAGATTCAGATTCTGGTTCAGTATCAGCATTGTTTTTCACCAAAGTGGTCATCAGAATCATCACTTGAAGAATTAATACTTCTTTCATTGGAAACAGTTTGTTGTTGATTATGACCAGTTTAACCATTTGAATTTTGTTGATAGGTGTTTTGATGCTCAACGTTTTTTCACTTGTGGTTCATTAACGACGTGTTCATTACTAATTGTTTTGTTTAGTTGGTTGATTCCAGTGTTTGAAGTTTGGTGAGCACCCGAGGCGCTACCATTCTTGTTTGCAGCAGATGAAGTACTAGTAGTTCTAGTATTACTAATAAAGGTAATAAGTGAGATTGTTATATCAAATATGAATACTATACAAGAATATTATGAGGATGGATTATATGAGGAAATTCCACCATATATAATGGTGCTAATTGTAGATCAGGTGGATCGACTCAAGTCTGTGACAAGTCTAATTGGCTATTAGATTACTGACACGTAATCTGCACTTAGTTGGATTTTCACATCACAACAAACAGTGGCCATCTCATGAAGTTTCCCGGTGAATTTGGCAGATCAGCTCTTGCACCAAAACGTAAATATCACATTGCCATGAACGCTTACAAATTCGAATGGGTCAGCAGTTGATCATACGAGTGTATCTTGATAGTTTTTTTTTTCATTTCTATTGGCGCATACTTAAGCTTTGAAACTTACAAGTACTTATTATATCGCTTGTATATTTTTTGTTCAAGGCTTATACCGAAGATATGAGGCGCCTCAAAAAAGGTGTAGTCCGGCATATATTAAAAATGAATGAATAAATCATTTTGAGACTTATTATTATTCCCCATGCCAAGCGCCCAAGTGAATTTCTCATGGCTTGTTCTCTTTGTGGTGAGGCTAAAAAAACCATTTCATATTTTTTTTTGTAAACAAGCTGTCGGAGCAACCTATTTGTACTCACCTTGATGGAATAAATTCCTTCACATTGTTTTTTGACCCAGAATGTCAGATAAAGTTATAGTGGGAATACTACTAAGGTCTAATGATGGTAATCAATGGCTGTGAAGCTGTAAATCTGATGCCCTATGAATGGTTATTATGTGTATCGTGTAATTTAGTTCTACTGGGATCTCCTGTGGTATTTATATAACTTCTTGAAATCAAACTTATCTCAAACTGACACCAGAATAATAGCTATAGCATACAGAATATAATTTTGCTTATTGTTTTAAATGATTCAATCATAAATTCATTATCATGGGGCTGCTTCAATGACATCGAATTGATTTGTGAAAAGTTTGGGGATCACTTAAAGCAAATGATGAGCTCCACTTGATGGAGGCTACATTGAAAATTTCTACCAAGGTTTTACCAGCCTATGTGATTGATCTAATCCATTACTCTGAATAATTTGGGGGTTCATTTTGATAGCCGGTTTCTCAAACAAAATAGGTGCATCCTAATACTGTCAAATTACAAGAAAAGAAAGCGAAAGAGGGAGTTGTAATTGCGAGTAAAAATTGAATAAGGACTAGATCAGAGAATTCGAAGAAAATCCACAGAAGCTTTTCATCAGAACTCACACACTCATCACCCAATTTTTTTAATATAACAAATCAGGATTCAATATGCAAAGCACAATGATGGCCAATTTGGAGGAGAAGAGTGAACATGATCTGGCGAAACCCACCAAGGCATTTTTATGCTATATTTCAAGCAGGACTTCAATCAATTTAACAGAGTGAAGACAAACAAATTTTTTATGACGAAACAAGAAAAATCACTGATGTTGAACTGCAGAAAGCTCAACAGCCAACGAAAACTTCACATAAATACAGTATGCAAATAAAAAATACATCAAGTTACAACCTCAAGACCCAAATAGAACAATAGGAAGTGTTAATCCATCACTAAAAGAGCAGATCAAGCATAGAGAAGCTGAAACAAAGTCAGAAATAAAAGCCAAAGACCGAAGTTCGCCAATAAATAAAGAAAAATCCCAAAGCTCACAGGAAGTGAAAATAAAACGCAAAATTCTCTAAATCAACTCAAATTCAAGTGTAAACTAAGGGCGTGTTCTGGGACCAAAAGTTCTGAAAAAAGTTCCCAAAAGTTTTTACCTAAAGCGGCAAGAAACCTAGATAATCTCGAAACCGACACTTTTTTGTGACAAAAGTTACAACCGCAAGGTCCCAGATCGCATTCGTGGTGAATTTTGTTAGGAAAACCTAGAACTTTTCAAAAGTTCTGGCGATAACTACAAACTTTGTTAGACAGTAGCACCTAAAAATTGGCATATGTATTATTTAGATATCCATTTACTATATAGTTGACTTTCAGCCAAAAGTAGTTTTTCGTTGTTTGACAGTGTCCAGTTTTGTCATTTTTTTTTCCAATCTGAGCAAAAACCTAGAACTTCCAATTTCGCAAGTTCTAGGTTTTTGAAAAAAGTTCCCAGAACTTGCGGTCCCAGAACACGCCCTAATACTCGATGAGCCTCAAACAATGAGAACTTTCGCTAAATCACAAAACAACAGTACAATTCAAAAAATCACTATCTTAAAGCGTAAATTTAAGGGAAAAATAAGAAACAAATGAAAGCAATGCTACAGATTATTAAATTTTTCACCCTATTTAGAAGGAAGCTAGGATCAAAAGAGATTCAAAGCTTTTAATGTGGAATTTGAAGCGGTTGAGAAACAAACACTATAAAGCATAAACGAAAACAGATAATTACGAATAATATAATACAAAGTGTACTACAAAACGGCCAAAGCTATCAAAAGTTGCACCAGCTTCATGAAAAGTCAATACGACTGGGGAAAACAACTCGAAATACTAAATAGAAAGCCAATAAAGATCAGATCAACCCCAACAATAGGTCAATCATCAATGAAAAGACCTACTGAGAAGTATCTATCCACAATATCAACGAAAAAACGCTAGTCGAATGCAAAATGAAGGACGGCAGTCCGGAGGATGTCAATATTTGCCGAGTTAAATAGGCAGATCCAAGAGTTTGACAATTTAGCTTGCCCAAAGGGCATTCGCAAAGAATCATTTGAGTATCGATGGCTCCAGAATAACTGAACTCCCGGCCAAATTATTTCAATGCGGCTATCGTTTACGAAACTCTATGCATGCTCACCAGGGAAATAACCAACGAAACAGTTGTTAGTGTTACAACTCGAGCAACCTATTGTCACAGATATTACTTGAGAAACTTATTGTCACAGATATTACTTGAGAAACCATCTTGCCCCGGATATAACCCAAGGGACAGATTGCCACAGAAATAACTCAAGAAACCGTATTTCCAGAGTTATAGCTGAAGAAACACATCGTATATATTCATTGCGAAGACGGAGATAGTATGAGAAAGTTGAAACTCAATGCAGATCGCCAAAATACATTGAACTGCTTTATACTTTCCACTGAGGGTGAACAAACGCATCCACTGACTGTATTGTTTCCTTGAGGTATGAGCTTACAGTAAAAAATGCCTCACAAGGAAGATAAGCACTTAAGTTTAGACAGTAGTTGGATTTTCCGCTTCTAAAGGTGGCCTGAAGATTTCAGGCTAAAAAGTTGTTTCGTTCCTAGGGCTATAGGGGGGACAACCTGATATACGTGCGTTATCACTAGAGAGACCTGTGGCTTGGGAGATAAATTGATCACTGTCGATACCGAACACATATATACGACACATACACGGAGCAAATACGAGACATATACGAGGTAACTTGAGTGATAGCCCAAGCAACAGTGCGGTAGTCTTACCGTAACTGCTGGCTCGAGTAGCTGTTAGATTGATGTAGGACTCGAAAACGGGGTGATTTTATGAGATATACAAGCCACTGAAGCATACAACCTTAATTTAATAGAAATGATCGAATTTCATAAAACAGTACTGTTTATGGCCAAAGGCCAACCATTATACGCGAGAGGATTCTCTTATGGCAGAAGTTTGCAAATCACGGCAAACCTTTGGGGATGCTTGGACTATACTGACATTACTTGCGAGTACAAGTTATGTTCGAGCTGGAAAAAGCTGTAGAGCCGTTTATATGACAAGAAATGCATTTTAAGAGGCGCAACTTGCCTAAGGGCTCAAGCTTTTACTATTTGTAATTTAGCCCAAAGCTCAAACATTTGTGTTGTTGACTGCAATCGCTCGAGTAACTGGTTCCCGCAGCTATCACCTAGGGCTTTGGTTTCTTCAGTTATATGTTTCTTCAGTTATATCTTGGACAACTTGTTTCTCCAGTAATATCTGAGGCAATCTGTTTCTCCAGTTATATCTGTGGCAAAACGGTTCCTCAAGTTGTAACACTAACAACTGTTACGTAGGTTGTTTCTCAGGTGAGGTTGGATTAAGTTTCCCAAGCGATAGCCGTAACTCGAATAAATACGAGTTACTGTAGACATTAAAACTCCGTTGAAATGGAAAAAGGATGGTCAACCACTTGAAGGTACTTCCAAAGGGGCCAATTCGCGCATCCAAGTTATCCAGACCAGTTAGGTATGCAGTCATTCTAGCTGGGAAGTGAGTTTTAAACATGAGTGCAGACTTCACAACTTTGCTGAATCTTACGCTGCTTTAACGCTGCCTAATAATTTAGCCATTGATGAACTGCTTCCTGTACACCTTTGTGTGCAAGGTTCAGCGCAGTAGCGAAATCATCGAGTTGTTGAAGTGCTTACTTATTTGTCGGATTTTCTAAGTCTTTTAACTGAACTGTTGAATCTCAAGCATTTTGTCCCTCTTTGGGTGCATATAGTACCATTTGGCATGGTTTAATAGAGATTATATTTATATGAGAGAGCAACCAGACTATATCTGTGGGTTTCTTTCTGAAGTTGTATGTTCGTTTCACTCTTGGTGCTGTGAGTTTCATTTGGAATGATTTTTATTTTTGGAACTAGTGAGTTTAGGTTTTATTGAAATGTCATATTGTATTGCAGGCGACACAATGTATTCACTCGGTTTTTCAAGTGTTATTATACATATTTATTGTTTGTTGATCGCCATCAGTAAGCTCATATTGGAGCTTTAGTTTATTTTAATTAAGGTTTACGCATGTTTTATAAAATATATGAGCTATGTTTTGTAAATAATTTCTCTGTTCGAGTAATTATAGTTCCTTGAAAGCATTAGATCCTCTATCTTTGATCATTCAACTTTTGCCGTTTGTATTGACTATTTGCTCTTCGATATGTGTGTGGTTTTCGTTTCGAGTGTCTTATAAAAGCTATCCCTTAACTTTCTCAACACCTAATTATTTGATAATTGACTGTGAAATTTCATTGTTATTCATGGTTGTGTTTGATATAGATTCGAATAGCTTTCACTAACATTAGATCTCTCTAACGATTGATTTTATACCGTCCTTGATCTTGTGCTGTTGAGCAGAGTCTTTGAACTGATGATATCATTGTTTTCATCTGGAAGTGATGCTCAAGCTTCAATGACAATGGTGAACTTAGTTTGATGATCGAACGTTGATGAAGTACCTCCTGGATCTGAGGCCACTGTTTGTAAATATTTGTAGCTTGTTCTGACCGAATAGCTGGTTTTACCGATTAAAACTCTAATAATTTTCTTACCCAATCTGCCAAATGAGATGAAAATGCATTTGTTAATCAGTAGGCTGAATATGATGAGATTTTTATAGAGGCTCAACTCAACAACCTCTTCAAATGTGCAGCCGTTGATGGTAAATCAAGAAAACAGGAGCATCAAATTGGTGTAAATTGTTGTGAATGGAATATTAAAACCTGATTAGGGATAATGAAAAACCCATTGATGTGAATATAAATAATAACTTTGTGTCTGATGAACCTTGATCTGTAATTTGAACTTGTTATGGAGGGGACTTGATGATATTTACCAGCTATAGCAAAACACTTATAAATCACCTTTTTGTTTGGTTCCTAAACAAGTTGAAGAAATCCTAACAATATTCCAGAGGCAACCCTGAAATTAAAGAAGGAAGTGACTGAAAGAGGGAAATTCATTCATTAAATATTAATTTCATGCTTGGCTTTTGTGTCTGTCTGTCTTCTTCCTTTTTGTGGATGTTAGATAAAGAAAGGGGCTTTAGCCTTTCGTTTTTGTGTACAGTTTTTTCTTTGTGTGTTTTTGTGTCAGTTTTTTTCGGTCTTAAGCGGTCAAAGTATGACCAATATTTAATACAAGAACTATTAAAATATTTGGCCAGTAATTGGTAGTTCCATATAACGTAAAAAAAAGTAAATGCTTTCTCTTATAGATGGACTGCTTATACTCTAAGACTTTTCATGCAGTGGATCACACGCTTTGTAAGGGTTTTTTTCTTAGAAAATTACATCTTGGGCCTAAATGGCAGTATTGTTTAGGCTGTTTCACTTATATACTTGGAAAACTATGTTATTCACGAAGAACTCACATAATACTTAAATATTTGGAATCTAACTGACTTTTCCTTGAATGGGGCTCGTTGTTACGGGTTAGGGACAACAAAAGTGTGTTGAGCTCATGGCATACCTGGTGTAAAACGCAGGCTCTAAAAAACGTACAAGCAGTTGAAACGAAACGGTGACACTTTCGAGCTTCGACTTTAAGAGTCCTGATATTAATTCTAGTCAGAGCCGGGAAGATTAATTTTGTGTAAATTGGGTAAATTGAAGCCTTTTCCGTCACTCAGAAGACAGGTCTTTCGCTGTATTAGATGACACTCCAACATGATTTTCTAGCATTTCAATCACGCTGCCTTAAGTGGGTACAATTTAATTAAAATCAGCTACTGGATTTTGGATTGACTGTAGTCTTTAGCCATATTCGTTTCTTTTCCATTTGCTCTTATGGAATCGTAGACCTCTATTGACCCACAATTTTTTACATGTGAAACCTTTTAGCTGGTGTTCCATTAATATGAGAGTCGAGACTCGAAAACCCTGAAAAAAAAATATTTCGAGACAATAAAAGCTCAAATAAAATAAAACTGCTATCAATCAGTTTTCACCGTGGAGCATCTCATTCTTCGCTAGGGATAATTTCGATGTACGGAATCAAGAAATAAGAGCTACCTTTTTTGGGCTGATCGATATGATTGGTTGTAACCTGTTGATATCTAAACGTTTAGCTGTTAAAGCTGGGCATCTGAAGAATCTCTATACATATGAAAATTCAGGTTAGATTCAGGGATTTGAAAAACATTTACTGGCTAGATTGGGGTTAAGCGAGTATTGTCATTGTTCATTGTCTGTGATGCTTTGAAAAAGGATGTGTATTGGTTAGATTACAATGACTTGTGAATCCACGTTGAGTACTATTCAAGGGATCGTAAATCGAAGTGGATCCCGCTGCTGATAAGAAGTATATTGCAGCTTGAATATTTAGTCAGCTCGAGAAAGTTTACATGGTATCGGCCAAGACTCAAGAGACCACTACATGCAGTTGATTATAGATTAGCTTGGGAGGATACTGGATTGGTACATTGGTACATTGGTACTAAATTGGAAGATATAAAGAAGTCCTGACTCCTAAGGTGGGAGCCAGTGCGTTATCTGCTTTTTAATTTGATTGAGAAACCTTTCTAGGTAATTCATGATTTACAATATGCTCCAAGTATTTAATCAGGCCAATACCCATTATTTCCTTGCAGTTCAACTTGTTTAATTAGTCAACCATCATAATGCTTTTTTCCAAACCTATATTAGCTTCAATTTTGCTTTCATTAATCACTTCATCTCAAGCTGCACCTTTTTCAAAAAGAGAAGATACCTCTGCTTTAAAAAATGCTAGTTTACCAACAGTTAAAATCTTTGGTACAGGTGGTACGATTGCATCAAGAGGTACTTCAGGTTCACAAACTGCTGGCTACTCGTTGGGTCTCACTGTTGCAGATTTAGTTGATTCAATTCCTGATTTAGCAAATGCTGCAAATATTGAATACATCCAAGTTTCCAATGTTGGTTCACCTTCTGTTAATTATACACATCTAATTCCTCTTCATCATAACATTTCTGAATCATTGGATAGTGATGAAATTGATGGTGCTGTTGTCACACATGGTACTGATACTTTAGAAGAAACAGCATTTTTCTTAGATTTAACTATTAAATCAGAGAAACCAGTTTGTATTGTTGGTGCAATGAGGCCTGCAACCGCACTTTCTGCAGATGGGTCAATGAATTTATATCAAGCTGTCAGTATTGCAGGTTCCGAAGAAGCAAAGGGACGTGGAGCTCTAATTCCATTTAATGATCGTATCAGTTCGGCTTTCTGGGCAACTAAAACAAATGCAAATACCTTGGATACTTTTAAAGCTGTGGAACAAGGGTTTTTGGGTACCTTCTTGAACAATGATGTTGAATTCTTTTACCCACCAGTCAGACCAATTGGTTATCACTATTTTGATATTTCAAATGTCACAGATGCTTCAGATATTCCAGAAGTTGCCATTCTGTACTCTCATCAAGGTTTAGATCCCGAATTGGTGCGTTTTGTTGTTGAGGAAAGAGGTGCTAAAGGTATCATTTTAGCAGGTACCGGTGCCGGTGGTTGGACGTCAACAGGTTATCCTGTTCTACAAGAAATGATTGAAAAGTATAATATTCCAGTTGTTAGATCAAGAAGAACTATGGATGGTTCAGTTCCAAACACTGGTTCACGGTCACAATACATTTCATCTGGATATTTGAACCCTCAAAAAGCTAGAATCATGTTGCAACTATGTTTGCATGCTGGTTATGATATCAGCCAAATCAAAACTGTTTTCAGTGGTGTCTATGGTGGTTAAACATTACAGCCACAAAAAACTTTTCATAAAGTGTTTTAGTTTTCTTTCTCGTGATACAAGAAGACAGCTTCTTCTTTTTCAAGCCGTCTCACATATGTTTAACACAACCTTTTCCCTAATCAAAGATTATTTATTTATTTGAATATCTTGCTTCAAATGTAGAAAATTTGGGTAGCTTATATTGTCCTAGAGTGGAACAGAACACCCTGTATTTACAAGAGCTAAGTATCCAAAAGTTGGAGTTCTTTGCATATATTTGTCTAAATAATATAGTTCACTGGAGAGTCAAGATTGTTGGTTCACCTTATTCATCTCAAAAAAAAATTGCTTAAAACCCTTATAGTATTTGAAACGTTTGGAGTGTTTCCCCTTGATTTACAACCGCATGTCAGAATTTTTAGATCCAAGTACATGTTTTTTTTGACACAAAAACAGGACACAAAAACAGTATTAATAGGGAAGTGATTAGGAGCTCGTAAAAAGACATGGGCCAGAGCTTTTAGTTAGGCTTAATTGTTCCTTTCTTTCAACATAGTCTGAAGGCAGTAGCCTGAAAGCTTAACTAGTATATAAAGCTTATCAAATGGTGTTCAATGGAAACTTGAAAGTCAAAGTATTGGCCCTTGGACTGCGACTCGGGTTTAAGCGGAGACACTCATAATATTAAAAGCTATTGCGCTGTACTCAATCAATACTTGTTACACAATTCATATTGATGAATAGGATGTTCAAACGAGTTTTCACTACAAAGCAGGTGCTATAATCATTAATAATGTTATCAATTTTTTTTTTGTTTTTTTATTGTACAGCTAGTATTTAAATATGTGTAGTTATATTATTATTATTAAATGCTAAAATTATAAAAACACTAGTTAGTCACTGGAGACTCAGTCTATGACTAATTTAAAAATTAAGAGAATAAAAGCAGGTAATTAAAATGACTAATATTTGCTAATGATATTAATGATTGCATTATTTAATTATGTTCAATTCTAATTATTATTAACCAAATTTTGAATAATTATTAAATCTGCATATTTGAAATTCGAAGTAACAACAATAAAAGACCAATATATTCATCATATAACTTAAATAATTAAATATTATTAATTCTATAATGTTTTTCGATATTAGCTGCTAGTAGTGTAGTCCGATTTCAGCATTAGACAATATTATGAATTATATTATACGCCCTGATTAAGAAGCTATTTTTTATTAGCGACAAGCTTGATATGAATCTTCAACGACGTATTGGATCTCCCAGACTTGTAATTCAATTCCATACAACTGATGTATCAAAGCACTGCAGCCATAAGTCGACATTGCACCAGATGTTCCAAGTTCTTATTTGACTTTTATGAAATTTCTTATGATCATTCATTAAGTGCCAAAAAGATGAAGTAAACACACAATAACTTCTGGATTTAATCCACTACAAAACAATTTAATAAATTATCAAATAAACTCGAACCGTAAATTAATTCCTAATATACAAAATTTACCTAAACCAACAGAAATAAAACTAAAACCCTAATACACACATACAAATTGTTGCTTCAATCAAATTAAGCAGAAGTTGATGAAGAATATTTGGTAACAGCTCTGGTACCTTCTGAAACAGCATGTTTAGCTAATTCACCTGGTAAGATCAATCTAACAGCAGTTTGGATTTCTCTAGCAGAGATGGTTGATTTTTTGTTGTAAGCAGCCAATTTTGAAGCTTCAGTAGCAATTCTTTCAAAGATATCGTTAACAAAAGAGTTCATGATTGACATAGCTTTTTGTGAGATACCGGTATCTGGATGTGTTTGTTTTAAAACTTTGTAGATGTATGAAGCATAAGTTTCTTTTCTAGCTTTTGTTCTCTTTTTTGGAGCATCAGTTGAAGATGAAGTTTTTTTAGCAGCTGGTTTTTTTTCAGCTGGAGCTTTTGAGGCAGGTTTCTTTTCAGCTTTTGGGGCCATTGTGAATGATTAATAGATTGATAATAAAGTAAGTGAGGAAGAGGAAAAGAAAGAAAAGAAGAATCGATTAAGGGCTTGATTGGCAAAGTTGTAGGAAATGGTGGTGTTTAAATAATAATGCTGGGAATAAACACAATTTGGCACTTGTTTACGTGTCCTGCGAAAAGTAAACAAAGAGGGCGTCGTGCTGGATGTTACGCGTTGGCTGCGTGTAAATATGGGCACTGGGTTTGTGGGCGGCCCATAGTTAAGGATCGGGCGGGCCACACCTCGCGAAGGAGCGGTGCAGCGATTTACGCGTGGGCCCTGTGTAAAACACAGCACCGCAAGGAGCAGTGCCACGATTTACACGCGGCAGGGGCGTAGAACTGGGACCGCCACGAGCAAAAGGTAAACAATCCAAAACATATATCACTTGCGAACGCATCTGTATATAAAGCCACCTCTTCCCTCATCTCCATCCAATATGTTTACCATCTTCTCTTTTCTTCTGTTTTCTAACAACAATTCAATTTTAAATCAAATAATATCATATAACAATGTCTGGTGGTAAAGGTGGTAAAGCCGGTTCTTCTGAAAAAGCTTCTCAATCAAGATCAGCTAAAGCTGGTTTAACTTTCCCAGTCGGTAGAGTTCACCGTTTATTAAGAAAAGGTAACTACGCTCAACGTGTTGGTTCAGGTGCTCCAGTTTACTTAACTGCTGTCTTAGAATATTTAGCTGCTGAAATCTTAGAATTAGCTGGTAACGCTGCTAGAGATAACAAAAAAACCCGTATCATCCCAAGACATTTACAATTAGCTATCAGAAATGATGAAGAATTAAACAAATTATTGGGTCATGTTACCATTGCTCAAGGTGGTGTTTTACCAAACATTCACCAAAACTTATTACCAAAAAAATCAGCTAAAGCTACTAAAGCTTCTCAAGAATTATAAGTTGCTTTGTAAATTATAATTTAATTCATTGAAATGGGTTATATTCTGTACATTATGGGTTTTATTTTGTTAGTTTAGGTGGATACTAATTTTATGATTTTGGAAGTTTAGTTTTAAGAAAACAATGTTACAAGAATACATTTGTAGTTTACAGTAATTTCCTTTTATACCATTAGTCATTATACACCATCACTTCACATCAGCTATTATGTCAACAACAATGTTGATAACTGATACCAACACTTCAACACCAACCAAAATGATAACAATAAATTCCAAATATTCTTCGTTTGAATGACCCAATTGCTCTTTAAGCATTTGTAAAAGATCAGAAATGACTTCAAGTCTTTGATTCAATAATGCAACTCTTTGATTGATTTCCAAGTACCCTCTTGTAGCTTGATAAATAGGTTCGAGATGAGGCTCTGCCCACATAATCTCTGGTGAATCTAAAACTGATCCATGAAGATTGATGTTTATTCTCAAAATAAACAATTCTCCAATACTCTTCATGATTTCATCTTTATTCATTTCAACTTTACCAGCTAACGCAATTTGTTGAGGAATATCTTGTGTATCCTCAATCGTATTATCAACCAATTCTTCAAAAAGTGAAATCTTGACAGATTGTGAGATAGCATGGGAAATAGAAAGTTTAAGCATATAATTTGAACCGTCTCTTAGAGTAATGAAATCATTATAGATCCTAGGTTGGTAACTCTTGGTGATATAATAGTTGAATTCTTCAATTTGGATATCCTCTTGAGCTAATTTTTCATTCTCAAATTTCTCTAAATCATTCAAAAATGCTTGTTCTTCTCTTAATGTAAAACCCCAAAGAACAACAACACCATACTCAAATATAAACACATCTGTATGTCTATCATCGATTGTGATTTCACCACCTTCATCATCTAGTCTTATCAAATCTTTATCCATTCTTTTATCACCTCTCCAATCTTTATATACAAATGGTGTATACAGACATTCATCAAATAACTTGGGATGAGACTCAAATGTACGCTTATTATCTTTCAACCACCTTATGAGATCCTTCATCTTATAACTACTAGCTGTGCAATATGCTGTGACTCTTGGTAATAGAGACCTTTGATTCTTACCCAATCTTTCCGCATCTCTTCTAGCAGGTGTGTCCGTGATTCTATTAACCTGTGAATAAACATCTCTTGAGCCATCAACAGTATCAGTTATCGGCTCCTCAGGTAGCAACTTGAGCTTTTGAGTTGTACGTGATGATCTTTGAGGACCTAGCTTATTCTCTGGAACAGTAGATCTAGTGGAAGATTTAGGCTTTGGTGCTGATTTGCTGCTGCTGGCGTCTTCATTAGACTTCTGGGGAAGAAGACGTGCTGTCTCTGGGTTACTGGATGACATGGTTCATTCAAAGTACCATTAATTTTCGGTTCAACTTGGATACCTCCTCGCAATCCCTATGTAATTTAAAGGTAGCATTTTCGAAATTCTTTAATGGTGTCAAAATTAACGAAAAAATTCGCGGTAGAAAAAATTCGCGAAACATCTGGTTACCCTCTCAGATGAGATGGAAAAAAAAATTATTATCTTTATACGTATTATTGTTTTAAACCTGGTACAAAAAAAGATATTGAACAACAACTGATCATCAGAAGCTCATACTGGTTCAAACCTTAGAAACATGCCAAAGATCAAGACTACAAAGTCGTCTAAAAGGTATGCGTTCTCGTCCTTTCGGGAGAGAGTAGACGCCATAAAGATTGAACCTTCAAAAAAGCTCAATAGAAAAGCTTTTGATGACGCTGAAACTTCACATTTTATATCTTCTTATGAGCGTTGGAGTGAGATTAATAGATCAGCTGTATTTACAGACTTTGTTGAGAACGTCGCTCCATTTTGTCAAAGTCTTCCTCAAATCTTGCACTACAAATCAAAACTTTTTGAAGAGTTGAAAACCCACATTTCAAAACATGATCATTTGTCTTTACAACCATTATTAGAACTTTTGACCCAATTTTGTCATGATCTAGGTCCTGATTTCATGGAATTTTATGATGAATCGTTGAAATTGATCACTTCGTTGGCACTAGATCAAAATGATTCAAACACTCTAGAATGGGAATTCAATTCTCTTGCATATATTTTCAAATATTTATCAAGATACTTGTCTCAAGACCTAATACCCACTTTCCAATCATTGGATCCACTTTTGAAATCAAAAGATCACATATCAAGATTTTCAGCTGAGGCTTTAGCATTTTTGGTTAGAAAGACATCACAAGAAGAACTGGCTAAGGTTGCAACTTTTGTCTTTGAGCATATTTTTGATCTTCAATACAAAAGAGCCGCTATAATATTATTCAGTGAATCAATGAAATCTACAAAAGGTTCTATACACTCCAAGTCATCTTTGATCATTCGTACATTACTTGCAAACGTTGATTCAGATGCTTCTTCTGTTGTCGTTGGTGATGTTCTTTTGAGTGTTATTTCCTATGGTTCTCAGGAAGCTGTTGAGACTTTGTATGAGATTGTTTTAAAAGAAAGTACCAACAAACTTGATGCTGATGGCTCATATTTACAATATCATTTAAGAATTTTGACCACTTTGATCTTTGCTGATTCTGGTAAAAAAGTTCCAAATTGGGAATCCATTTCTTCTTGCATTGAATCAACATTTGAGAAATTCCCTCCAAAAGAAATGAATAACGATTCTAAATGTTTGTTAACATACCTGATTGCAATTTTTTTCCGTAATTCAGAAATCAAAGAATTAACCAAATTACACAGCTTTTTGCTTCGTTCAATGATCACTTTGGATAACTTATTTCTACCATTCATTATGCAAATATTTAATTTATCAAAACAAAGAGCAATTAAATTTTCAGTCCCTTACATTCAAGAATTCATCAATAAACACTGGAAATCAAATGTTCAACAGATTGCATATTTTTTGGAAGATCTTGAAGAGAAAGAGTTGCTAGGAGAAACCAATGACGATGAAAAAATTGCGCTTATAGTACCACTGAATGTTGCTGAAAATTTGAAAGAAGATTTATTGAATTTAAACGTTGGTGACGTCTCTTTATTTGAAATATTTTGGAGATTATCATTGATTTCACATTCTTCGTTTTACAATAAATCATTTGTATCTGAACTTTTCACCAAAATTGATCAGTCAGTTGAGCTGTCAACATTCAAGCAAACTGTTTTATCAAAATTGATTGGTTTATTTGCTTTGGAAGATGCCAATGAGGTTCATGAGTTGATACTTGATAATTTCTCAAAGTTAGTTACCAACAAAGAGTTTATCAAGAATGCTTCAAAGTTTCTTGTTTCATCAATTAAAAGTCTTGATTCAAATACAGTTTTCGAACTAATTGACCTGCTCACTCACAATCTTGCACTACCAGACCATGAGATAAGAGCCAACTCCCTGGAACTCATCAATGCTTTATCACAAACTCTTGATGAAGAATTATCAAATTTGGCAAATCAATGTTTAATTATTGAACAAATTCCACTTGTGCTTGATACTGCTCGTGATATTGCCATAAGAACTAGAAACTTGGCCGCGTATTTCAAAAATACCAAAACAAATGAATTCAAAAACAAAGTTTACTTCCGTTTCCTATTTGGTCTATTGACAGTGAAATTCGCCCCATCATGGGAGGCTGTTTTTGAAGTGTTGCCAAATACTTATCAAAAATCACCGGAGTTAGTTTGGGAGTTAGTGGTTAGATATTTGAACAGACCAAAACTTGATAAAGATTCCATTTCAAATACTTTAGATGAGGTTGAAGATCTTGATTTTGCTCAACAATGGAGCTCAATAGAGACGAGACTAGTCTCCATCATTGGCCATTTGACTACTTCCATCAATAAGTACACCAATTCGCAAACTTCTTTAATGGAGTTGGTTGAACAACAATATCCTGCTTTGAAATACCCAGAAATTGCAGCTGCCCATGCTGTTAAGGTGTTGAAGAAAATTCCTCAATTAGCTGAGAAAAACGCTGCATACTTGGCATCCATTGTTCTTAATGATCAAATTGAAGATGATCAAGATAATGAGGAAGATGAAGGAGAAGAAGATTTGGAATTTGGTAAAATGAATTTAAACAGACAAGATGGTAATGCTGTTCTTGAACTTTTCAGTTTATTCAAAAGGCTCAAAGATTCACCAAGAGCTGATGAATTGTATGAATTATTCTTGAGGTTATTGTCCAGTAAGACTCCAGCTGTCAGAAAAATTGCGTTGAGTTGTCTTTTAAATTTCAAGTTTGAACAAATTAACAAGTATAAGGACAACTTGAACAACTTACTTGATGATTCTTTGTTTAGGGATGAGGTTTCAAATATATTTTCAAGAGGTGATTCCTCAGTATTGGAAGAGAGTGATTTAGACCGTGTTTTTCCTTTGATTTTAAGAATTCTTTATGCTAGAGCACAAATTACAGTCACCAACGGAACAAAGAGAGGGTTGAAGTTTTCTGCTATCAATACACTTCCAAATATCCAACCAAAGTATGTTGATTTGTTTTTAGGTTATTTGTCAGAGAAAGTTTACGGTGGCAATGAGCTAATTGAAGTGGACGAAAAAGCATTAAGTGAAGTTACAATCTCATCTTTGAAAAGAGCACAAGGGTTCTCAAATCTGTTGTTCGATATATTGTCGTCCTTAGGAGAAAAATTCGTCGCAAATACTTCAAATGTGATTACTCCTTTAATTAACTCTCTGATGTTGGCTCAAAAGGTTATAGATGACTCGCAAGATCAACAATTGGCAGCATCAGCAAGAAACACTAGACAATCAGGAATGAAGAGTTTACTGCTTTTATTCAATTTGGCAAATGATTTTAACTGGGATGATTATATCGAATCTATTTATGAAAAAGTATTGGCTCCTCGTTTTGTTCACTTTGAAGGTGAGAATCTTCAACAACCATCATCTTTGTTGAGACTGATGATTTGCTGGTCTGAGCATCCAAATTACCATGAGTTATTGCTTATCAATCAAAATGAACCTGCAATCAAAGTTTTGTCGCTTTTAGGGAACACAAATGCTAAAGGTGAGGTTTTGGAAAAAGTTCTTGATTTTGCTGTAAATATTATAAGCTCTGTGCCACAAAAGAGAAAATTTCAAAAATTATTTTCCATCGTTTCTGAAAGTGCTTTTGAAAACATTCCATCAATTTTAAGCCGCATTTCTGATCAAAAACTGTACACAAAAGCAATTGGTTTGTTATTGGCCCTTGTGGAGAACAAGCATGTTCAAGATCAAAACAAGAGACAAGAATTGGTTGATTTTTCTACAAAATTGTTAGAGAAGCCTTCTGTCAACTTACCGAAAGACATTAGACACCAAATTTTGAGAATTTTACAAGCTTTAGTTGATGAATTTGATGGTGAATTTGAAGATATTGTGAACCTTTTCAAAGTTTGTTCCAAATTTTTAAAAATTTTCACAGAGAAAGAGCAACGTGTTCATTTAGTTGATTTGTTTGTTAAGATTGGTGAGAAGTTTGAGCAATTGCAACATGTAACTTCCTTGATTGCAGACTTGAGTTCGTATTCCAACAAAAGATTGAATGAATATGACTATGATAGAAGATTGGCTGCTTATAAAAAGATCAATGATGCTGGTTACCTCGAACTATCTTCTCTTGAGTGGACCCCTATTTTGAACTTGATGCTATATGCTGTCAAAGATGAAGATTTATCAGTGAGATCAAATTCAAGCTATTCACTAAGACGCTTCATTGATATTTTCACAGTTGAAAAAAAAGAAAGAGACGCTACATTTAATTTGTTATTGAAAGATTTGTTGTTACCAAATTTAAGAACGGGTCTTAGAGCAAAAGATGAGAATGTTCATTTTGAATTTGTTTCATTGCTATCTCACATTGTCAATAACTCTGAATATTTTGACGGCTTCAAAGATCTACAGGTTCTTTTATTTAATAATGATGAGGAAGCTAATTTTTTCATCAATGTTGGGCACATTCAACTTCATAGACGTCAAAGAGCTATTAAAAGGCTTGGTGAATTTGCAAATAAATTATCAAGCTCTAATATATCTCATTATTTGCTACCAATGATTGAACGTTATGCATTTTATGAAGATGAAAAATTAAGAAATATCTCAAATGAAACTGTTTCCACTATTGAGAGTTTGATGAAGTATGTTACTTTCAAACAGTATCAAGCAATTTTCAGAAGATATCTTAGCGGATTGAAAGATGAAAGTGATCATTTGAGAGATTCTGTTAGCTTGATTGTTACTGTCTCAAAAGCTTTGATGAATGTTATTTTAGAAAAGAGAGAAAGTGATGATGAAAGCATACTATCGGGATTACCGAAAGAAGAAGCCTCACTAGACAACCTTATTGAAACTGAACTAATAGGGCCACTATCAAAGATCTTGAATAAAAGAAATGACGAAACAATTGTTTTGAGAACTCCATTGATTGAAGCTTTATCTTGTTTGGTTTTATGTTTGTCTCATGAAAGAATTGTGGCTGTGCTACCGGGTGTTCTTACAAATGTTTGTCAAGTTATGCGTGCTAAGTCAGATGAAACTAGGGATGCAACTAGAAAACATATCGGAAAAGCTGCTTCTATATTGGGTGCTAGATATGTCAAGTTCATCATAAATGAGCTTAAGACCGCACTTTCAAGAGGTTCTCAAATCCATGTTTTAGGATTTACAGTTCACTCTATTCTAGCGTCAATGAATCTTGATCATGGCGATCTTGATGAATCATCAGAAATTTTAATGGAGATTGTGATGGAAAATATGTTTGGCTCAACTGGTCAAGAAAAGGAAGCCGACAACTATAGAACTACTATGAAAGAAATCAAGTTCAACAAAAGTTTTGACATTGCTGAAATTTTATCAAGGGTTGTTAGTTTGTCACGTTTTAATACTATAGTGAACCCAATCAAGCTTTTGCTACGTGAAAGAATAACTTTTAAAGTTCAAAATAAACTAGATGAGTTGATTAGAAGAATTTCATTGGGAACTTATAAAAACTCTGAGTTGAGCTCACATTCTATGCTGGTCCTTTGTTACGAGCTGTTTTCAGAATCCAAAAAAGTTTATGATGGATCTTATAAGGCACCAGCAAAAGCCTCGAATAAGGATGAAGGTCATTTCTTAGTGCAGTTAGAATCTAAACCTTTAAAAGTTGAAACTGAAAATTCATTGTTTATTGATACTTTCCAAAAACTTTCATTGGATTTACTCAGAACTACATTGAGTAAGAATGATACTTTTGTCAATGCTGAAAGTTTGGCTGGATTCTTACCTTTTTTTGAGGATGCACTGAAGTCAGATAATGAAGGTGTTATTGTAAGCACGCTGAGAGTTTTGGGATTGATTATGGATGTGCCATTTGAAACAGAATCTGATATTTTCAAATCATGTGCAAGAAGATGTCTATCAATAATCAAAAACTACCCTTCAACAGAATCTGAACTTTGTCAAGCTTGTTACAAATATCTCTCCAACATCATTCGTCACAGAGAGGATCTTTCTTTGAAGGAAAGTTCTTTAGGATACTTGCTGGTGAGAATTCAACCGGATCTTCAAGAGCAAAGTAGACAAGGTATGGCTTTCAACTTTTTAAAAGCTTTGGTTGCAAAGCATGTTATGATTCCAGAGGTTTATGACACTATGGACAAAATTAGAGAAGTTATGGTTACAAGTCATTCTAAGGAGAGAAGGGACATGTCTCGAAGCATCTATTTCCAATTTATCATGGAGTATGACCAAGGTAAAGGTAGACTTGAGAAACAATTCAAATTTTTGGTGAACAATTTGAGCTACCCAGCAGAGACTGGTAAACAGTCAGTCATGGAATTGATTCATTTAATTCTACAGAAATCTGGACGTGAACTTCTAGAGGCTCTCTCATCGTCATTTTTCGTTGCATTAGCAAAGGTCTTGATTTCAGAAACTTCAACCAAAACTAGGGAAATGTCAATTGCTTTGATTTCTTCAATATTTGAGAAAATGGGGACTGAACCCTATGAGAAGTACATCTTGGGTTGGTTAAATTCTCAAAACTCTTCATTACTCAGATGCTCTTTACAACTTTATAGAATCAAACTCAAGGTTAATTCACTTTTTGGTAATGAATTGGATGATGCTGTTATTGCTTCGATCAAATCAATTTTGGAGAGTTCTGAAGCTAATTCTGTTGAAACTGTGAAATGGGAACTTGTTTACAGCTCGCTTTCATGCTTGTCACTTGTGGTGGAAAAGGACATTAATGTATTTGAAAAAGATATGGTGAGTAATATCATCAATTGTTTGCTTTTCCCACACTCTTGGATTAGACTGGCATCCAGTAGGTTGGTTGGAGTTTTAATGAAAAAGTCCTCTTTATTAAGCTCCGATGATATTCAAAATGTTGCGTACAGGTTAGTCCATCAATTGCGTGCTCCGTCTGTTGATGAAGCACTTGGCTCACAAGTTGTGAAGAATTTAACTCATTGTGTTATTTATTGGGAGAAAACTGATGTTGTTTTCAACAAAGGTCTTGTCAAAAATCAACAGGATGAATCGGAAGAGGAAGAGGAAGAGGAAGAGGAAGAAGAAGCAGATGTTGTTTCCAAGGCTGATCAAAAAATGGATAGTTGGTTGATTAACAAAGTGGGTGGAATTATCAGATCAGATCGCTTGAGTTTCGTCTCTAAGAAGTCATGTGTTCAACTGCTGGCTTTAATGATTCAATTAATGAAAGCTGATAGACTAAAAGAAGTTACTGAGAATTTGATTTCTCCACTATTCAATTTGACAGAGTTTGATACTGACGATGTTCAAAAACAAGAGTTACAAACTCTGGCCTTGGAATGTTTGAAAATGATTGAAGATAAAGTTGGTGTTACTGATTATACTCAGGCATATTCAAATGTTCGCCAATCTGTTTTAGAGAGACGTCAAGAAAGAAGAACCAAAAGAGCAAGACTAGCCATCACAGCACCAGAAGCTGTTGCCAGAAGAAAGATTAAAAAACATGAAAGATCTAGAGTTAAGAGAAAGCACGAAAAGGATGAAAATGGTTATTATCACACAAAAAAGAAAACACAAAGAAGAAACTGAGAATTAGAAGAAAAGGTGAATATTTTGTAAATTAAAAATTATTGCATTACAGAAAAAAATAAACTTCGTAGCCATTTAAATCAATTGATAGTATAGATCATTGTATTTAAGGTTCCGAGTTTTCAACTTTCTCTTGTTTATCATCATTTGAAGCACCCACCTTTACTGCTTTTGCCTTTTTCGGTTTGTTTGCTTCATATATTGCCATTTCTTTTGAATATCTTTCTTTATCTTCGTTATAGATGTCATAATATGGTTTTCTATCTTCTTCACTTAGTTGTTTCCAAGCTTCACCCAAAGTTTTCGATAAATCTATTTGTTTACCTTCAGCTTCAGCTTCCTTTTTGAATTTCTCCTTCTCCAACTCACAAAAGCTAATTTGAAATTATCGTTAGTCTCCAATGTTCTTTTAAAGTTTCAAAATTCCTCAAACTTACACTAAATATGGATTCAAAGGTCTCTTTGGCATATCTGGATCTCTTACAGCACCACCTCCCAAAACACCCTTCTTTCTCTTACCATTACTTTTCTTTTCACTTATTTCAATTTCCTATTCAAAGTCAGTAAAAAGTTGGAAGATATATCTTTTTGTGAAACTCACGCTTGATGAATCTGACAAATTGTCACCATCAGGTATAACAGCTTTCTTTTCTAATCTTTCCAATAGAACTGCATATTCTAGCCTCAATCTGTTGACTGCTATTTTAGTTCTTTCAATTGCCAATGTAGCCACTTTGTTATTATCTTCTACTTCTAGTATTCTTTTCTTTAAATCTTTACATTTTTGTTTATATCTTTGTTCTTTTACAAACATGGTTAATACAATGTTTCAATGCATAGTTTTCTTTCCTGTATGTACATACCTTCAGTCTGTAGGGGTTGAGATGATGGCTTGGATGTCATTTTGACTAGGTTGATGATGTTCTTTCACTGATGTTTTGGGAGATGTCGTCTATGTGTTTTTTTCCCTTTCAAATTTGGCAAAGCGATGAAATTTCCTGTGTCTACCAAAACCTCCACAATCATCATCAACATCAGCTACAACAAACAAATTAAACTATTCAATATCATTCCAAAATACCTTATAGACATAATCACTAGTTATAAAAGAGAAAAAAATAAACAAATAAGACAAACCAAAAATAAAATCGCCATATCCACAAACCATTAAAAGCCCATGTAGTTCCAACCACAAAAATAACCAAAGAAAAAATAATCATTAAAACATAAAAAAATACCTGAGAATTGAAAATTCAAGGACACAAAAAGAACTCATAACGTTCAATGCTCATTATTCAGTATAGTCATCGGTAGACAAAACTTCATATTCATCACTAAAGCTTCCTTCATCATCATCATCTTCTTCAACTTCGTCATCAGTGAAATCTGAACTGATACCAGCAGTTTCATCCATTTCAAGATCTTGATCAACTTCAACAAATTCTGGTGTTAAAGTCATGGTGGAAGAACGAATAGTCTCGTTAGTGGTTGATTCTTGATCATTTTCACTCTCTGGAGAGATTAAAATTTCTCCAGTTTCAAGAACGACATCATCAGGGACGGAGTTTTCACTTGACTCAACATCTTGAACAACAGTATCATCATCAACTTTATCACTAGAATCCTTTGTGGTATCTTCTTCTTCTTTATTCTCCATTATTTCTGAAGCAACTTGTTGCTCAATGAGTGTTGAACTTGAAGGAGTCATGAAAGCTTCATTTGAAGATGTGCTACTAGAGGATGAACCAAAAGATTCACCTTTTTCAACACTTGATGAGTTTTTCAACTTTGGGTCCTCCAATTTAATCAATCCTGAACCATCTGTACAAACACCAGATGCATAAACTTGGTTATCATCACCAATTAATTCAATTGTGAACTTATCACTCAAGTTGAAACCAATCCCATTAGTGTTATAGTAGAGACGTTTATGGCCATTTGAATGGATTGAGTGTGGACCCATTGAAAGACTGAATTTGGTTAACGCATTTTCATTACCTTGACAAGTGAACAATAAATTCAAATTTTTTGGAGTTGAAACAGCTCCTTTATTTTGCAAATGGAAAACAATAGTTCTAGCAACTTGTGAAACTTGAACAGTTAAGCCCTCAGTATTTTTGGATTCTTCTTTACCGAATTTTTGTGAATCAACATATGACTGGACAATTGTTGTTAATAATTGTCCATTATTGTCTGTCAGTTCAAGTAAATTGTTAAAAGTTGCTAATTTTTCTTTCAACTGTTTCAATTTATCAACAGTATCATAATTTTTCACAAAATCAACAATTGCAGTTTCATATTCTTTTGCACCCAAAGTATCAACAGGAATATCAACAAAAATACAATTTTGACCAATGTTACTAGTTGCTTCTTTCAAAGTACAAGGGTATGATGGTGGTTGAGATGGTAGTTCCATTTCAGGGAATGATGGTGGTTCTTGAGGAGCAGGAGCAGCTGTTGTTGTTGCACTTGGGAAAATTCCTCTTCTCTTTGGAACAGAGATTTTATCCATTAAATGTTTTGAAGAATGAGAGTTTGTTGCTTTACCGCTTTTGTAACACTTTGAGCATAAATCATAATCAAAACATTCCTTACATTTAAAACGATCACCAATGATTGGAGAAATGTTTGAGAATGGGTTACAAGCATCACAATAAACGCCATGATGAACAGCAGTATTAACATCTTCTTCATCATCTTTCCCCTTGATGATTGACTTGTGGATATCTTCAATTTGGCTCATCAATTTCTTGTAATCGTTATTTGGGATTGAAACCAAATCATCTTTTGTGGCATGAGTATTAATTGCTTTATCAACAGCACCTGTAGCCTTATCTTCAGCAACATCTTCAACTTTCAACTTCAAATGGTTTTTAACTTCAAGAGATCTAGCCAGAGCTCTGAAGTCAGCATTCTCTTTTAATGGGACATAGTCTTTAGATCTTTTAGACTTTCTAGTTAATGAAAACTTTTTATCTTTTGGAAAGTTCAATTCTTTTCTAACAATTCTGTTCAATCTCTCCTTGTTAATTTTGGAAGCTTCGGCCTCTGTGCGCTTTGTCACTGAGCCGTAATGGATTGTAATGTTAATGATTTTCTCCATCTTTTCACTCATTGAATTGAATATTTGAAATGGATTGTGAAGAAAAGAGGAATTGGAAAGGATTTCGTTTGTTTGTTGGTGGCAATTTCAGTTGTTATCAAGTTTCTGGGGATTTTGTGATTTTGATCTAGGCCTTATTCGCGATAAAGCAAGCAGTACCCGGACATGACGACATATAAACATGATAATGATTATATTGCTAAAGGTAGAACTACTTTTTGAATTAACAAATAGTGTAAAATATATTAAAACTAATTAAGCAGCTCAAAAATATAAAGAAAAAAAAATTAATATTGTCCAACAAGTTATTAATGTAAAGAAAATTAAAAGTAAAATAAAGGAAAGTAACAAACTCAACAGATGATGATAATCATAATAAAAAAAAGATGGAACAAATTAATAAATGATGATATTATCAAACACTAAAAATACATAAAGTTGTAGCAATTTCAAATGAATTTATGAACAAAAAACAAAAGCTCTAATATTAATGACTCAAAATTTCTAAACTTTAACACTCTCTTCATAAGATGGTGGAGGACCTGTAACTTCATAAGAACCTTTTTCATTATATTCAGTATGTTCATCAGAAACATCAACTTTACCACCAGTTTTAGCAATTTGATATTGAGAAATACCAGCTGGATCTTTTGGAATCCAAATATGAGGTTCTTGATCAGTAACTGCAGGATCAACATAAGAATTATCCAAATATTCAGTTGAATAATTTGGACTTAGGTTGAAAATATTTGGTAATTGTGAACGTAATAAAGAGAATGAATAACCAGATCTTGGATCGAAAAATCTCTTCAAGACAACCAATGGTTTTTGTTTAGCTTGTTGTTCAACTCTATTGATATCATCTTCATTATTAATCTTTCTCTTTTCTTGTTCAGCTTCAGTTAAACCATTTTCTTTAGTTGTATCAGTTCTAGTGTTATCATTAGCAACAGTTTCATTTCTTGAAGAATTTGAATCATTTGTAATGTTTTTATTATTATAAATGTTTTTATTTTCAGATGAAGATTCATAAGTTTGATTATCACCAGCTAAATCATTATTGAAATTTCCAACTTTACCACTTGAATCACCTGCAACATTTGGAATATTTGAAACACCACTAGCTTCATTATCAGAGATATAATTTTGACCAACTTGTTTAATTTCTTTTGAACCTTGATCTTTTGGATATAACGCACCAGAATCACCTCTAGCTTCATAAATACCAGAAACTGGAACAATATCAAACAAAGGTTGGAATTTACGTTTCAACAAGACATGACAAGCAACAGTAACGAAAATCATAATACCTTCTAAAGCAACAGGACCCCAAGATTTAGACATAATGAATAAACCCAATAAACAAATTTCACTTAAATAAAGACCAACAAAAGTTTGTAATAAAGCCTTTGGATAATTTCTACCTCTCATATCACTCTCTTGTCCTTTAACATAAACCAAATTGTAAATATAGGCAATGTACATCAATGATAAAGTAAAAGTTGCAAACAACAATAGGATTGGAGCAATAATTGAATAACAAAGCATAATAACAACCAATAATTGATAAGCAGGGTATAAAACACCATAACTTAAACCTGGAACAACATTGTATTTTTCCCACTTCTTTCTTGGAGTATTTTGTAAAAATTTCAAAACTTTAGAAACAATTAAAGGACCAATTTGTAACAAGGCTAAAGCTGGAGCAGTTAAACCTTGTAATAAATAGAATGAAAGATAAAAATTTGAAGCTTTTGGTAAATTATTAGCCAATAGTGTCATTGCAGAACCTGGATCATCAATGATTGCAGTAACAGTTGAAGAAGCTGAAGAGGCTAAAGTAACAACTAAAAACACTTGAACAACCTCAAATCCGAAAAACCAAGCTTGACAATACAATTCAACCTGTTGTTTTGTAACAAAACCAGATTTTTTACCAACAGCTTTGATAATAACAGGAACCAAAGACATCAAGATGGCAAGAGCAACAGTTGGCAAGATACCAGTAATTAAACCTAATAAAACTTTTGGACAATTGTTGATAAAGCTCAAGAAATGAACTTTTTCAATTAAAAAGTTAATATTTGAAATACAACCAACAACAGCAACAGGAATAGCCCAGAAAATGATCAATAAAGTTAAAAATGTATTTGCTAAAATTCTTTTAATTAATTTTGAAGTTTTAGACATTTTCAAATTTTCCCAAATGATATCATCAGGAGGGACACCAATAATACGAGAACCTTTTGTTAAATCAGTATAAGGAACAGCTTGGAAGGCTCTTTGAGCCTCCAATTGATTTGGGAATTCAATGAAAACAGAATGTAATTGAGTAGCAACATTAGCATTTTTTTGAACATCACCAATTTCAGTATTTAATTCACCAATACGATCAATTGAATAATCAATGGTGTTAACTTTTTCACCAACAAATGGGATTTTACCCAATTTATGAGTTGGTTCTTTTTTAATAAAACCTTGAGGTTCTTCAGGTAATGGTTCACCCTTTTTAATCAATTTTTGACGAGTTTTAACACCTTTAGAAATGACACTGTTTAAAGTACCTTCATACTTGTTACTCAATTTAGTACGTTCTTGAACCAATTTAGACAATTCAGTGTAATCTCTTGCAAACCATAAACGAGAATAAATTGGGAAAACTCTTCTAATTTCATTTTCACTTAGGTAATCTTCAGGGATATCAGTCAAGATCAAAGTTCTTGAAGATAATAACCCATCATATAATGGAGTAGTTTGGATTGAATGTCTTAATGAGACATAATAAACCAATTCTTTGTAAATGACAAAAATGATTAAACCAAAGTATATCCATGATAAAAACACATGAGCAAAGAAACGGTTTTCATTTTTAACATTTGAGAAAGCCAACAATTCAAAACCTGATAACCCATTACCATTAGTAGCATTAACAGGCAACAAGATTGGGAAAAGGATAATACACCCAATGAATGCTAACCCAGCAAAGATTGATAAATAACGTAAAAACAAATACCCATCTAACCCAGCATAGTGTAACAAGTAAGCTTGAGGTCTTGATAACAAGAAGGAGACCCAAGCAAAAGGACCACTTGGGACTTCAGGAGGTCTTTCTTCAGGCTTGACATTTTCTAGATTCAAAGTTTTTGGTTGATAAACACGCTTGTTTTTAGGTCTTAGGAAGACGAAGAGCAAGATCAATATGAGGAAGATGACCCCATTAAAGATCAAAGCTGAGACGAAGGCTGAAGTTGAAGAACTAGCATCAGAACCACCCGCCATGATTGTATGTGTGTTTTGTTATGGATTGTGTAGATGGTAAAGAGCAAAGTTTTCAGCAAAGGGAATGTTATTGTTTATATAATTGAGAAAGTACCTGAAATTTGTTTACTTGCTACTCGATGCACGACGAAGAAATTGGTGCAAAGTGACTGGAATTTCAGAGAGAGGGATTACGTTATGGGGATGGTTTTGGAGAGAATGGAGAGAGGATTACATAGCCTTAGGATATCTTAGATTGGGTTAGGTTAGTATTATGTTATAGTATCTTATTACTGTTATGTTAACTCTTCATGCCCTAAAGCCAGCCTTGCTTCAACTGAAATTGGCGGCCGATCGTGAAATGGGAGGTGCTAAAAGTGACAGGACTGGTGTTACGTGGCAACGGGCGGTTACAATAGCATATTGTATTATATCTATATATCTATTGATTGTATCATATCTCTATTCCATCTCTATTCCATCTCTATTCATTAGTTAAACCCTGTCAAGATTGTGACAGTTTGTGGGTACAAATGATTACGTCTTGGAATTGGACTTGTATTTGCTGGTGTTGGGATGTTGATGATGTTGTTGTTGACGTCATTGTTTACAATTAGTTGCTAGGGGAAACGGATATTATGTAATATAATCATGTGATCAGTCATGTGATCTATATCAGGGTAAACACCACTTAATTTTTAGTGTGTAGCCATCACCAGGGCAAGTATCAAATAACAACAACAAGTAAACAAATGAAGTAACAACAATAAAAAAGGATAATAAATACAGTAAAATACAATAAAATAAAACAAAATAAACAGAATCACACTATTACTATTATCTATTACCATTATCTAATCCATAACTGCTAATAAAACCACGCTCAGCAGGGTAACACACCCCGGAGTCACTTATCCAGAGAATTTAATTCGAGACAGAAAGAAAATCACCAATTTAAACAACCTCATAAAAACATACACACCACGAGTATCCAATATATTTAATTTGAAATCTCATTCCTCATTCCTGAACTCATAACAATCCAATTCATAAACACATTGAAAACACACACACATCACTATAAAAGAGGTTTCCAGAGTCCCTTATCAACCAGCCATCATAAAACAAACAAACATTCTACTGATAACAATTTAATACCCAATATGAAGGTGAGTATATTCCATATCACAACAAATAATTGACCACTAACACCCCTCAGTTCATTGATGAAAACGATATCGAACTCATAAACCAATCCCTAAGTTTTGATACCTCAGATTGTCACGTAACTGGTGGATGTGATTTATTCACAACAAAACCTGTTGGTTCCGATAGAAAGTTATATAAAACTATTGATAAACATTTTGATGCCTTGATTGAAAACAATAATGAATCCCAAAATATAATATCTCCAAATGATATATTCTTGGAACAAAGACGGAGATTTAGTTCAAGTGATGTATATCCACCTCACCAACAACAAAACAATAATGGTGACTACCCACATGTTGAACACTCTTCACCAAGATCTTTAGAAACAACACCTTTTGGCCCTTTAAATCAAACTGCAAGTCGAAGAACTTTTGCCTATCTAATTGGGATTTTAAATGCAACTTATCCTGATAATGATTTTTCAAGTTTAGAACCAACAGATTTCCAAAAAATAAATTTAACAAAATTAAAATCAAAATTTGACAACACTTTAATATCTTTAGGAAAATCTTCAGATCAAAATTGGATTTATGATATAATAAATAGTCATATGGATTTAAATGATTGTGCATTTTATGAATTAAATCTTGATGAATCAAGTTCTTCATTCCTTGATGATGAACCTGGTCATCTTTGGACTTTAAAATGGTTTATCTTCAATAAAAAAAGAAAAAGAGTGGCTTTCTTATATTTAAATGGGTATAGATTATCCTCTCCAAAATTGAATCCAAATTTATCTTTATCAAGAAGAAGATTAACTATTGATAATGATGATGATGATTTTGAAGAATATGACCTAACCTATTCTGATGATGAAGTGATGTATGATGATGATGATGAAGATGGGTATGAGTATAGAAATTCAAATAATCAAGTTGTTGGAAATATTGAATTAGAAATGAGATGAAAAAATTAAATTGAGACCAATCCTTTTGATTCAATTTTAAATCCAACACTTTTATTAATCTTATTTGAAAATGGTGAAAAAATCAATTTAAAACTTCTTTTCATTATCCATCCATTACTATTCAATTCATCTATTGTTTCTCCTTGCTGTTGTTGTTGTTGATCAATATTATTATTATTATACCCAGGTTTGTATGTTTTCTTTAACAATATCCTAACTCCAATATTATTTGTCCAATTCAATCCTAATGTAGCGATCTTATTATTAAAAATTTCTTCATTTTCTTGTCTTGATTTAATATCTTGATCATTCCAACCTGATAACCAACCAATTTGATAATCATAATTAATTTTTTGAACATCTGTATTTAAAATATTTGTTAAAGGTTTATCACTAATTTGATTTGTAACAACAATACTAATATTATAATCATTTGCTAAATTGTTTAAATATAAACAGATTTGATCAATATATTTTTGATTTGATTCAAATATTTTATAATTATTTGTTAATAATTCCACTCTAATATGATGAGAAATTGAATCAATAATAACTAATTTAATGTTTTTCAATGGATCTTTTAATAATATTGGCAATTGAACATTCAAGATATGTTCTTGAGTTTCTAAATCTGCACAATTTATATAGAAAACTTTATCAATTTCTGAATTTATTTCAATTAATCTTTCAGTAGGTAATCTACCTTCTGTAGATATATAAACTGCATTCCCATTCAATCCACCTTCTTCCAGACTTAATTGAACAGTCTTGGTTAATTGCATACAAAATTGTGATTTCCCCGTAGAGCTTTGTCCAAATATTTCAGTAATCATACCTGTTTTAATACCATCACCACCTAAAATTTCATCAAATTGTGCAACTCCAGTGGTGAAACTTTGATTAATTTGACATTCATTTGTTGAAATTGGTTCACTGCCACTCTCCTTCCTCAAAATTGATATGAATTCATTGATTTCATTAACAGGTTTTTGAATTCTATTACTTATTTCAATTGATGAAGTTGATAATAGATCCACAATGCTAATTTCATATTTTATGAAAACTTGGAGTAAATTCTCAAATCTTTGATCAAAATTCAAAGGAGAATCTGGGAATTGTTTGTATAGATCCATAACATATCAAATAAACAACTTTTTCCTTGATCTTGATTTGTTGTTTGTTGTTTTGATTTTTGCATTTCAAAATCTTTGAGTATTAAATTTTTTTTTTTCTCCAGATTTCTCCAGCAACGGTTTTTTAGGGCAAAATTTCAACTACAAAAAATTCAATTAAAAACTTCTATTAAAATTATAAAATCTATAATGTTTGGATTGTTCCTATGTTGACCGTCTTGATCACAGTGTAGTCCTCAATCCCATACAAGGAACCCTCTCTACCAAAACCAGACTCTTTAACTCCTCCAAATGGAATGGAACAGTCTGTGAAAAGACCAGTATTACATGAAACCATACCACTCTCCAAAGCCTCACTCACACTGTAAATAGTATTAATATCCTTGGAGAAAACATAGGCTGCAAGCCCAACATTAACATCATTGGCCCATTCAACAACTTGCTTAGCGTTTTCAAATGGGATCAAAGCTCCTAATGGTCCAAAAGTTTCCTCAGATGCAACTTTCATACTTTGATCAACATTTGTTAAAACTGTTGGTTCATAGAAATTCTCACCTAAATCTTCACGACGACCACCTTTCAATAAGATCTTGGCACCTTTATCAATAGCATCTTGAACATGTTCCTCCACTTTATTCAATGCCTTGGAATTGATTAAACAACCATGTGTAGTTTCTTCATTTAATCCATGACCAATTTTAAAATTAGAAACTTTTTCTGCAAATTTAGCACCAAATTTTTGCAAGATATCTTTTTCAACATATATTCTATTTGCACAAACACAAGTTTGTCCTAATCCTCTGAATTTTGAAGCAACAGCTTGTTCCACTGCATTATCCAAATCAGCATCTTTGAAAACGATAACTGGAGCATTACCACCCAATTCAAATGATAATTTTTTCAAAGTTGATGCACTTTGTTTCATCAAGATTTTACCAACATTTGTTGAACCTGTAAATGAGATTTTTTTAACTTTTGAAGATTCACATAGTTTTAACCCAAATTCTGGTGTTTGAGTATCTGATAATACAACATTGAAAACACCTTTAGGGAACCCAGCTTTTTCTGCAAGATAAGCTAATGCTAAAGCAGATAATGGAGTTTGAGAATCTGGTTTAATAACAACAGTACATCCAGCAGCTAATGCAGCACCTGCTTTTCTAGTAATCATTGCACTTGGGAAGTTCCATGGGGTAATAATACCACAAACACCAACTGGTTGTCTTAATGTGAAAGCTCTATTTGTTGGATTACCTGGTTGAATTGTATGACCATAAATTCTTGGGGCCTCTTCGGCATACCATTCAAAATATGAAGCACCATATTTGACTTCACCTTTAGCTTCTGGTAAAGCCTTACCATTTTCCCAAGTGACTAATTTACCTAAATCTTCATTATATTCAGTCATTAAATTGTATAGATTTCTTAACCAAGTGGCTCTTTGTCTTGGAGTGGTATGTTTATAAGTCTTGAAGGCTTCATAAGCAGCATCAATTGCAGTATCCACAATTGAAACATCTTGATCTGGTAAAGTTGCAATGACTTTTAAAGTGGCAGGATCTGTCACATTGAATTGATTTGGACCTTGAGTCAACCATTCACCATTGACAAAAGCACCTTTTCTGACGATTTCTGGGTCTTTGAAAGTAGGAGTAACCATTTTTAATATGGGAATAATACAATTGACTAATATAAGATGAACTTTTTTTTCCCATAATTTCCAGCTCTTTATATACTAAAAAAACCGTCGTTATGAGTCGCGCGCGCAACTTGATCGTTTTGGGACACGAGGAATAAATGAAATCAGAAAATTCTACAAAAACTCATTTAACATAAATCACAGGTATTAAATTATAAAGACAATAATAAATATAAAAAAAAATGAACCATTAAGTAAATAAAATGAAAGAAAAACGACTTATGAACTCCCTAATAAATTAAATCAATCAATTAATCAATTCTTTCCCCTTAAATGTGCAGGTGGTGGACCTTCAGGTCTACTGAAATTCTCCAATTCAACATCATCAACTCTTGGGCTTGTTGGATTACTACTACTTGATCCGACTCCATTAGTGCCACCAGTATTTGGATTATTATAATAACGAGAGAAATCTCTTTGGAAATTCAATTCATGATCATCACCGGTCCCTTGAGTTTGACCAGTTGGTTGATAAGCTTGAGGAGGAGGACTTGATAACCCAGTGGAGTCAGGTACAAGTGCACTTAAATGTTGAGGTTGACCTGTATAATTTCCTTGCATTGTATTATTATTATTAGCAGCAGCTTCTTGAGCTTTTAGATTTGGATGGAATACACCTTGGTTATCATAATACCCAGCATCATTATCATTAGCTTGTTCACTATAAGGTGGCACGAAAGGTTGTTGAGTATTTGTTTGATGTTGAGATTGAACATAACTTGGGGGTGTTATCCATGCGGTACCTCTTATAGGTTCACGACCTTCTTGGCCCCTTCTTTTGTTGATTCTAATTGCAGCTAATACAACACATAGTATAGCCACTATGAATAAGACAAATAAGATCCAACGACCCCAAACCCAACTACTTGATGAACAATAATACCCCCAACAGTCTAAAACATTTCGGTTAGCCTCATTCATGATCTAGGAAAAAAGAGGTTTATACTCACCATCTCTTTTCTCTAAAGGTAACACGGGCATGACTAATAACCCTCTATCCTTCAATGCAATTTATAAACAAAAACAAGTGAATTATCTTTTTGAATTTATTGAATTCTCATTTGTTTGATGACGAATTATTGGCTTTGCCCTTTTTCCTAAAATAAAAAAATAAAGCTGAGTATTTAAAGTCACGTTCCAAATGACAGAATTGAAAATTGAACCAAAAAAAAGCATAAACAAACATTTCCAAAGTAACAAAAAGTGAGGAAATGAATGAATGAAGGATGAAGTTGTCCCATTTTTTGAAACTATTCTTATGGTTTCTTGCTATTAGATCATTCCAATTATCCATTGTTTACATAACACCAGCACAGTTCGATATAAGTTCTACAACTTATGAAATCACCAATTCATCAACACTGAACTCAATTTTCAATAAATTTATACATTGGGATAATGTATATTTCCATAGATCTTTCAACGAGGGTCCTTCTTTTGAGCATGAATGGGTTTTCGGTCCTTTATGGTGGAGAATCATAAACAAGATTCCGTATAATGGTGATAAATTTTTAATTGGAATCATTTTTGCAAATGTTTTGAATTTTGCAACAATGATGATGGTTTATGAATTAACTTTTTTAAAATTTAGAGATCCATTAAAGAGTTATCTAAGTTCAATTTTTTTCATAATTTCACCAATGGGTATATTTAGTATGACTCCATATTCTGAAAATTTATCAAATTTTTTAATAATATTTGGGTTATATTTATATTATCAAAGATCAACAATATGTTATTTATCATCATCCATATTATTCAGCTTTTCAGTAATGACAAGATCCAATACAATAATCATTGGGTTTTTATACCTTTATGATTTTATCACCAATCAATCAATAATATCATTAAATTCAGGATTAATATTAGCATCATCATTATTCATACTTAATTATATTCCATATTTGAATTTCTGTCCCGAAAGAGGTGAATGGTGTGATTATACAATCCCATCACTTTATTCATTTGCTCAATCATATTATTGGAATGTTGGGTTTTTGAAATATTGGAGTGTTAATAATATTTTCAATTTTGTTATCGCATCACCAATGTTGATCTTGTTATATAAATCAATTTCATCAACAAGGGATTTGAAATTGAAAGTTATAACATTGTTGCATTTGATTTTATGTGTTTTTTTCATACATGTTCAAATCGTTTTAAGAATTTCAGGTTTCATACCTATAACTTATTGGTATTTATCAGATTTGATTATGAAAGGCCAAGGTTCACGATGGATATTATATCTAGTCATTTGGATACCATTACAAGCTACATTATTCAGTTCTTTTTTACCACCTGCATAAATATAAGACTATTTAACTATAAAGGATATTTATCAACTTCATTTTCTCTTGTATAACCCATAGCTTCTTGCTCTTTAACTTTCTCCTCTAAATAAGGCTTAACAACATCAATGAATTTTTCATAACCTCTATATTCTTTAACATCCTCAGTCCAAGAATTAATACCATCTAATAATCTTATTGGGACATAAGGTTCTTTACAAATATCAACCATTGGCACGAAATAAGTTCTGATTGTAAAGACAACAGCACCGGAGATTGGCAATCTTCTAACACTTTGTCTTTCAGATCTATAATAGATTTGATTAATATCTGTAGCTTTTGGTGCAGTATACCAACCAACATTTTCATTTTTTTCATCACCAATACTTGAACTCCAATCCAATTCACCATCAGTTTGAATGAAATAATTGTTTCTAACCACTGGTGCCTCTGGAGTTAATCTTGTGAAAAACTTCTCCATACCTTTTTTCAAATGGGTGTTGTATTTAGGAACATCACCAGTGGTGTGGATTGCAGATAGTGGTAAGTTGACTTTATCTTTGAATCTCCAAAACCCAGCAAGGGCAATAGCACCTGATTTCAAATAGTATTGACCATCAGGTTGTTCAATCATTATGGCAATATCATCTTGTAATAAATTAGCGGCAATATAAATAGGATCATGATCAGGTTTTAAAATGTTGTATTCTTCATCATTGTATAGATTTTTCAAGACACCGTTTTTAAATTGGAATAAAGTTGGATATCTATTTGATAAATAATTTGATAATTCTAGGATTAATTCCATTGAAGCGTTATAAGCTTCAGGTAAAGTACCATAAACATCTATTCCCTTTTCTTTAAATCTTTTTTGCTTCAAGGCATGATATTTTGGCCATTCATTATCTAATTGGATCCATTCATTTGGATCCATTGATCTTATACCCATTGTGACATTATATTTATGTTTGAAAGCACGATATGGGATTGGTTTTGTATTTTGGATATCCCAATCTTCAAAAGGTTTTGGGGTTGGTAATTTGTAATCTTCTGGTGTCCATTTACCAGGAGATCTATTTTTATTATTTGCTAATTTGGAAGGTAATGGTTTTATGGTTTTATTTGATTTTATGAAATAGAATAATAAAGGTGATAAAGTGGAGATGATGAATGATACGATGATGAGTATTTTATAATCATGATGATTCTGCACTATGGATTCTTGTATCGAGTTGATGAATGTGATGAGGACACCCATTTTGATGATGGTGATAGAATCATAATTAAAAACTATAGTATTTAGAGATTTAAAGTTGTTTATAAAGCTACTTTTTCAATCTTGTTGTGTATAATGAGAAATCTGGTTTCTTATACCTTTTCAGGTTAAAAAGATAAAGAGGAGTGGCCATACCGAGATATCTGATTCAAAGAGGAAATTCGGTGAGCAAGGTAAGATTGCAGTACGTTCAAATGATAGAGAGTTGATTGTAATTAGAAGGAATATGGTTCGATTGAATAGTGGTTTAAATTTCTGTGTTTAAATTATTTGTTTTTATATGTTGTGTTTTCATAATTTGTGTTTCTATTGTGTTTGTGTGGGTATTAATTGGTATATCGAAAAAACATCACCAGATTGAAGAAAATAGAATCATCATTGAATCAGATAATTCAATAGTTTACAATTTACAAAGTCTCTACAATCTCATTCTTATAATTCGTATTCCATTAACCTTAATAATAATATACAAACCGTACCAAAATTCGTACTTCCCAAACACTAACCATTTAAAAAACTAATACTTAAAAAACCCTAAACTCAACATAAAACTTATGATCTTTCACCTCTTAATCTTCTAGCTAATTGGATATCTTTCTTTTGGATAGTAACACGTTTAGCGTGGATAGCAGCTAAATTGGTATCTTCAAATAATGAAACTAAATAAGCTTCAACAGATTCTTGTAAAGCACCGATAGCTGAAGATTGGAATCTTAAATCAGTTTTGAAATCTTGAGCAATTTCACGAACTAATCTTTGGAAAGGTAATTTTCTAATCAATAATTCAGTAGATTTTTGGAATCTTCTAATTTCTCTTAAGGCAACGGTACCTGGTTTATATCTGTGAGGTTTTTTAACACCACCGGTAGATGGGGCTGATTTTCTAGCAGCTTTAGAAGCTAATTGTTTTCTTGGAGCTTTACCACCAGTGGATTTTCTTGCTGTTTGTTTTGTTCTAGCCATTGTTGGATGATGGATAACAAGATGATTGTGTTTTTTGTAAAAGTGGGAAAAGGGATGGTTTTTATAATTTCTCTCCTGATTTTCCCTCAAAGTGGCGAATTTCCTTTTTGCTTTTCAGAGTTTTTGAAAAGTGAATTTTGTATGGGCATGTTGTGGTCAAATGGGGTGTGCTGAGGGTTACACTGAGGGTAAGTGTAAATATGAGTACTACTCTGTTTGTTGTGTTCCCAGATTTACACTTATCCCATGCGTAATTCCAGGAACACAAAATACTTCACAAAACACACCGTGCCCAACATTACGCACCCGCTACGCGAACATCTCAGCACTAGCTAATTCCCACAACATGGCCCATACATTTCCCACATCTGAGAAACATGTTAAATATCGCCACTTTCGCACCTCAATTGACCCTTGATTTTCTAATTAATTAACAACAATCAATTATTATTATACAAAATGTCCGGTAGAGGAAAAGGTGGTAAAGGTCTTGGAAAAGGTGGTGCTAAACGTCACAGAAAAATCTTGAGAGATAACATTCAAGGTATTACAAAACCTGCTATTCGTCGTCTTGCTAGAAGAGGTGGTGTTAAACGTATTTCTGCTTTAATTTATGAAGAAGTTAGAGGTGTCTTGAAATCTTTCTTAGAAAACGTCATCAGAGATGCTGTCACTTATACTGAACACGCTAAAAGAAAAACTGTTACTTCTTTAGATGTTGTTTATGCTTTGAAAAGACAAGGTCGTACCTTGTATGGTTTTGGTAACTAGATTTTACATTTTATCAAGTATGGTTAAAATTCGGTTTTTGAAAGGTATAAATTTATGTTTTTTGGGGTTTACGTTACATTTGGGTGTTATTTAAGTTGTATATTATATTTAATGTTATGAGATAGCTTTGAAATTAGTTGTAGTTTGTGTTTTTCTATCCCTTATTATTGATTTTGTATGTGTTTCATGATGTTTATTTTACCGGAGTTAAAAATAAATAGGAAAATTAACTACAATTGATTGATTTAAATGGATAATTAAACACTCTTGATGATACCATATTTCAGATATACATTCAAAGTATCAACGTCTTGTTTATTAAATCATTATTATCCATTGATCTAGATATATCAATGATTGAATATGTTAAATATACTCATACTAGCTAAAATGTCGCACCACAGGAAATTGAGCTATCAAGTGACTAACATATTTCGTTTGCAAAACCAGAAACAGAACATGGTGTATTAGGTTAAATGATCAAAAATAGGTGAATGGTTTGGTGATTTATAACTTACACAGAATAATTATTGTAAACACAAGTAAAAAAGGAATAAAGATTATTCAAGCAACAAATGAACAATTCATATTTCCTAGATTTCATACAATGGTTGTTGTAAGAAAGATGATTGTAAAACAATTTGAATAATAATTCTTGTATATTTATATTGCCCCTTGATATTAGCCGCCCACAAATGAACTTGTATAGAATTGTCGACTCTAGCATGGTACATGTCCGAGTATATCCGAGATTAGACTTGTTGACTACAATTGATTTTATAACTAGTCAAGATGAGAAAGCACTTTTGATGATACCATTTAATTCCAGATATTCATCCCAAGTATCAGCATCCCGTTTATTAGATTATTATTATCTATCAAGATATTAAATATCAATGATTAAATAAGTTAGATCCAATCAACTATCAGATCACAGTACTCTGGAGAAAACTCAAAGCAAATGGCAGTAAAATAATATAGAGGATTTTGACATCGTTTGGTACAACAATGATTATTGCTACTCGCAAGAAGTAGGTGTTAGTTTATGTTTGAATGACCATATTAGCTTGTAATTGTTTTATAACTCACAGTATTGACAAGTAAATATTCTAACAAGTTGAGTGAGCCGATATCCAAAAGATATATGATAATAAAATCATCTCACCTAAAGCACATGATATTAATGTGAAAGATTATAATGAGGAATTCTAGGATCAATTCTTGTAGATTTATAGTAATTATTGCGTTTGTGTCACTTTGATGTTCTAATTAGCCGCCCACAAGTCCACTTTGAATATGGGATGACAAATGATTTGATAGAATCCATTAAGAGTATTTACAATGATATCATTGGATATAACCATCAGAAGGTATATCGAATAGGTTGTTATAACTTGTATAGAAATCTTATTGTTTTTATATTACAAGTCCGAGTATATCCGAGATCCTAGGTTAACTAATAATTAGTCTATACCATGAATTCAAAAATATAGTACTATAAAGCTAGAAAAATACAGCTAACCAACAGAAAATATAGAATCAAGTGATCAGTTAATCAAATATAATTAATTGTACAATTATAGATTAATGGTTAAGTACATGACCTAATATTATGGATTATTTAGCTATAGTGGTATGTGATCCACAAATAATTTATAAATCTTCATATTAATATAATATTGAATATAACCATGAATTAATGATAATTAATTATATTAAATAGCTATTAAGTACCTAATAATGATAAAAAGTATACTACTTATTAAATTTCAATGCTATAATCACTATATTCATTTCTATTGTTAATCTTACATAATCACCCCATATTATATTAGATAATCAAAACTACGTATACGATTAAACCGTATACACTGAGCATATTTAAATCAAAAAATGGGCTATACCATGGGGAAAGTGACCTTTATACTACACAGCTCAACAAGTGACTCATAGATGTGAAAACCCTAAAAGTATTGCGTATATGGTATTTGATCACTGATGTGGATAGGATAACTGTTCACATCCGCACTAAAAAGCAATAATGGTGATGAGCCAATAGGAAGTGGTGATGTGATATGATAGTTTACCATATAGTTACATAGTTGACTATACAATCAAGTATACAACTACACTATCTACAATCAGTATACCCATACAATCAATATACCCTAATTAACAATATACCCATCCCATCACATAATCGATTGTTCTAGAAGAACCAGCAGCAAGTAACATAAAATAAAGAGAACAACAGAAACACAACGACACCTAAAATAACAACATCTTCACTTTAACCAAAATAGAAGCAATAATTCGATCTAGAACACACTAAATAAAATTTCTTTTATTGTGGAATTAAGGGATTAATACCCATCGAAAAAAAAGGGGTGTTACCCTGCCTGCCAATTAATAAGGGACCCAATTTTTGATTATAAACTTGAATCTATAATTCCATCTTAATCTTATTCCATTCCCTTTTACAACATCAACAACTTACACTTTTCTCAATAAACAACAGAGGAAAGTACATTCAATTAGCTAAATCACACTCTCCACATTCTCTTTAGTCTGTACAGAGAATCACCTTCTGGATTACTGAAAAGCTTTGTTTTTTGAAACCGGCATTTTCTTAATCCCTGAAACACCAACAAAACAAGTTATCGTCGTGTCACAAGAACAACAAGACCAAGAACAACAAGCTCTTTCAAAGCTCAACTCCCAAATGACTTCGTTGGCTCTATTTCCTCAACTGCGTCGTACTCTGACTGACGTGATGGAGGATGAATTATACCATGTTCCCTCCATTACTAATGCATCTCAACAACAGCAACTACCTCAACAACAAGGTCAACAATTCCAACCTCCTCAACCTCCTCAACAACAACAACAACAGTCAATAATGTCAAACTTCCATTTCAACAATTCAAACAACAGCTTGTCAAATTATAAAGCTTCTCCAACTTTATCACATGCAAAGCTTTATAGAAATCCAAGCGCCCTAAATTCTGAAGAAATGCTGACAATACCTGATAGTAACAATCATCATCATCACCATCATAACTACTCTTATCAAAGTCAGAATCAAGAGCTTTCCAGAATACCTTCTCATGATATGTATTATGATATCCCAGAACCTTTACCTTTGGATGAAGATAGACATATTTTTAATGAATTTGCTGATCCAAATTTAACTACAACTAATCATATTTATAGAAGTGAACAACAATATGCTGCTCATCATAACCAACCACAACAAAATAATGAATTAAATCCTCATCATCCTCATCATGCTCCTGCTAAACTGTTGAAATTTAATGATGATTTATCTTTAGATTATTTTACAAATGAAGATGATTCAAAATTTGTTATTTATCCTGTTATGTCTCCAACTATGATTCCTGAAGAGATAGAAGATGAAGAATTAAGTGAAGATGACGATGATGATAATGCTTATGATAATGAATTAACTTATTTGGATAATACTATTGAAGATGTTAAAAACCCTTTGAATTATCCTCATCAACAATTTCAAGCTCAACAGGAGGAAAGTCATAGAAATGAAGAACAATTGATTAAGAAACAAGAATTTGAAGAACAACAGAAGCAACAACAACTACAGCAGAAGCCACAACATGATCAAGGTGCACCAATCATCAAGAAGGAAAATGATGAAGATGTCACACAAGATTTAGAATCTGATATTGATCGTATGAGTCTTGATTCTTCAGATGATGAATATTCATCAAATAGTTCAGTTATTGAAGAGGATAGTTATACCCCATCTTTCAAAACTCAACTACAAACACCTCCAAAAGAATTAAAACCAAAACAAAAACGTTCATCATCAACTTCAATCCCATCAACTTCACCTCAAACCACAACCATCAACAACAACAATAATTTCAACAACAATCATCAATGTCAATTAATCAATCCTTCTACAAATCAACCATGTCTTAAACAATTTTCAAGACCTTATGATTTAATAAGGCATCAAGAGACTATACATGCATCAAGAAAGAAGATTTTCAGATGTGTTGTTTGTAATAAATTGGAAGGTGGTTTATCAAACAAGACTTTTAGTAGAGGTGATGCATTATCAAGACATATTAGAGTTAAACATGGATTAACTGGTACTGAAGCTACAGATGCTTTACAATATGCCAAAGATCATGTTGAATATGTTTGAGTTGGTTATGTTATGGATATTTTAAATTTTTTTTTGAGGTACAATTTTTTAATGTTTTTTTCTATTATTATTATTATTTTGTTTGGCTAAATAGAAGCATTTCTATACAGTTTACTCTTATATATATATATAAATATAAATACCCCCGTTACTTTATTAATCTATCATAAATCACATTACATTTGTAGTCTTTTAAAATCCCTCTTTAGCAACAGCATCAGCTCTTTCTTTTGCAATTTTTGGATCTAAATAATACTCATCTTTAACCAAATTCATATCTTTATCCAATTCCATAACTAGAGGAATTGCATTAGGGAAATTAACATCTTTAATATCTTCATCACTTATACCTTTAATCAGTTTCAATATACTTCTACAGGCACTACCATGAGCCACCACCAAAACAACACCTCTCTTATTCAACTCTTTTTGAATATCACCATATAAAATTGGTTTCAATCTATCAACAACCATATGTAATGATTCACCTCTTGGAACTTCATCCAACACATATTTATAACGTTCATCGATCGCACTTGTCCCTGAATCCTCTTTATCAATCAATGGAGGACATCCATCATAGGCACGTCTCCAATACATGTATTGTTCATCACCAACTTTCTCCCTTATTGAACTTTTATCTTTCCCTTGTAATGCACCATAATGACGTTCATTTAATCTCCAAGTTTTCTCAACATCTAGCCATAATAAACCTAATTCTTCCAATATGATATTACCAGTTTGTATAGTTCTTGTTAATTTCGATGTAAATAAAAACTGAGGTGATAAGTTTGATTGTTTAATTAAATTTGAAGCAAATCTTGCTTGTTCTTTACCCTTTTCTGTTAATTTTGCATCAATCCAACCACAAAATTTGTTTAGGTTGTTGAATTCACTTTGTCCATGACGTAGTATGATTAATGTGGGCATTGTTTGAATGATTGATATTGAGTTTATTGGTTAAAATTGGTTTAATTGTGTGAAATTAGACACATTTTTTTGTGATTGTTTTATACCTTCAGATTTCAATCAAGTGATGGTTTCTCGAATTTTTCTTTTTTGGGATGTGATGATGATGTAAACAAAAACACAGGGAATTGAAACAAGTTTGAAGAGATAAAGTGTTTGTTAATGAAAAAATGACGATTCAGTGATAAGATTTTCTGATCGAGCGTTCAAATTGAATCGATAAAGGTCAAATTCAGTATGTGCTCTTTTTTTTCCAGGTTGATTGTGATTTTGGGTAGTGCTGCCATTTGAAAAAGTGTCACTTATCCACCAGAAATATGGAACTTTCAGCTTTATTTACAACTTTTGAGAACCAGTGAGCAAAGCTTGAAACAATTAGACATTGGAAATAAATTTTGATTGATCAGCAATACAATTAGTAATTTCAAAGCGCATATAAACCCTTGAAGGGCCTTAACGGATTGCAAAGACGGTGATAAGTAGAATCAAGTACTTTCCGTAGGCCTAATGAAGATAGAGCTCTAAAATCAAAGAATACTATAACCAAATAATAATAATAATCATACACTATAAACGTAAATAACGCTTTTAAATTTTCAAAAACTTGAATATGCCACCGTTAATAGCGGGTTTAGGACGGGTTTTAGACGCTTACATCAGCGGAAGCGCTTCGGTTTTAATCGTATTTAACAGGAATAAAGGTGTTGAAAGCAAAAAAAATTATTAAATGGAATTCAAGGACATTTGTTGATTTAACTTCTTTTTAATAATGATGAAATTAATATATAATGGAATCATTCTCTGGTTTTATGTGAAACATCTCTTGGTATTACGTACATGTCAAAACATATTAAATTGAAAACAATATGTCGAACACAGATAAAGTAACCAATAATAATGATTTAGAAAGTGGACATGGTCCATCAACAACTACTGAAAAGATCAAGGAAAAGTTCTTTGAAAGTAATGCTGGTGATGGTACAACCGTTTACGACCAATATTTACATGGGTTCCCATTATATATGTGTCTTGGTTCATGTTTTGCCTCATTGTTTTTAATTGGTTTGGATCAAACTATTGTGATCACCATCCTTGAAGAAGTTGGTAATAAATTTAACGGATATGACAAAATGGGTTGGATTAGTGCAGGTTATATGTTAACTATGGCAGTCTTCGCAGCTACTTGGGGTAAGATGTCTATAATATTTGGAAGAAAATGGTCATTGTTGTTAGCTATAGTGTTATTTGAGGCTGGCTCTTTAATGTGTGCTTTAGCAAATGATATGGATGTATTGATTGGTGGTAGAATTCTTGCAGGTATTGGAGGAGGTGGTATCCAAACTTTAGTCTTTATTGTCTGTTCAGAATTAACTCCAATTCATCAAAGACCTTTAGTTTTTGTGGTTCTAAGTCTTTCATTTGCTTGTTCCACGGTTACCGGTCCATTGATTGGAGGTGCCTTCTCAAAACATGTTACTTGGAGATGGTGTTTTTATATTAATTTACCAATTGGTGGGTTGGCTCTTGGTTTATTGACAATTTTTTTCAATCCCCCAAGAGTGAAAGGCTCAATGAGAGAAAAATTGAAATTAATCGATTATCCCGGCACTTTCTTACTTACTTCAGGTGTTGTTATATTCTTACTTGCATTAACTTTTGGTGGTGTTCAATATTCATGGAACTCTGGTGCTATCATATCAATGTTCATCATTGGTGGTGTTTTGTTGATCATGTTTTGTGTTTGGAATTTCAAGTTTTCCAAGAATCCAATCATTCCATACTCAATCATCAAAGTTCGTCAAGTGGTTTTACCAGTTTTAAGTTTAGCATTGGTGTTTTTTTGCTTTATGTCAGTTGCAATCTTTCTAGCAACTTACTTTCAACTTGTTTTTGGTATGAGTCCATGGCAAACAGGTGTTCGTACTTTACCAGTTATTATTCCACTAGTTCTTGCAAGTTTAATTTCGGGTATTTTGATTAGAAAAACAAGATACATTAAGCCATATTCAGTGTTTGGTGGTATTTGTGGTGGTGTCGGTGTGGGATTGTTGTTGCTATTGGATATTGATTCTTCAAACTCTGCCAAAATTGGGTTATTAATTTTACCTGGTGTTTACACTGGTATTTGTTTGCAAACTTGTATGATTACTTCTCAATTGCACGCTCCAAAAGAAGCTGGAAGTACTATTTTAACAACATCATTGATCAATTTTAGTAGAGCTTTAGGTGGTACTGTTGGTGCGGATTTGTCACAAGCTATTTTCAATGCAAGTTTCAAGAATAGAATAATTAAAGCATTTGAAAGTTCACCTGATGGTACTCTTGGTGGACTAACAAGTAAAGATGCCACTATGTTGATTGCAAGTCCAAGATTGATCCAAAAATTAGATCCTGAGGTCAAGCTGGTTGTGTTGAAAGCCATAATGAGAAGTATCAAAAATGTTTTCATTGTTCTTACAGCTATGGCTTCTGTTTCATTTGTTTTAATCATCTTCTGGTCCAATAAAAGACTACCAAAAGGTGATGATGTTAAGCAACAGGAGACGAAGGAAGAAGAGCAGAAGCAAATGGATGCCAATGAAAAACTTCAAGATGATGCTCCTTCAGTAACTGGAGAATCAGAGGAACCGCAAACCAAACCTGAAACAACGACTTTGGAGAACAAATAGTATAACGGGGTGGAAATTGTATATAGCTGCATAAATAATTAATAGGATGCATAGCGTCTGTAAAATTGAATTTCTCGTAGTCGACTTTAGCTAAGTCAATACGTATTTTATTGAAGCTGCCAAAATGAAAGTGTAAGATACATAGATGATAGAACTATCTCTAGCTTGTAACTTTTCTGTAGAAGTTCCAAACAAGCAATAGGATTCACATGAAACAACTAAGAATGCCAGAGTGGTAACATATGTGAATCATGGGCACTATCTTATTAACCTTACTCCATGAGTTAGCTGAGTGATAATATCCATCATCATTAGGTTCTTCATCTCGGTCTTGAATCCCTAAACAGAAGTGAATGCCGAAGTTTTAGACGTTAACGATTACATAAGAAATTAATCATCGGAATTAGCTCAAGTTCAACTAGGACTGGCTAGTAACTACCTATGTTCCAGAAAACTTTATAGCAAAATGTTGTAACGTAGAAAAAATAAAGAGAAAGCAGATTAATGTTGTGGAAATTATATTTTTTGAGTATGGTGGATCAATATAAAAACGGTACTTTGTTCCCTTTTTCAAGTGGCAAGTGCTAATCCAAGTTCTGGTAATCTTGGTATACCTGAAAATGTCTAATACATTCAATCAACAAGATCTAAAAACTGGTCATGGAGCGCCTCAAACTACTGCTAAAAAGATCAAGGAAAAGTTCTTTGAAAGTAATGCTGGTGATGGTACAACTGTTTTTGATCAATACCTACATGGATTCCCATTATACATGTGTCTCGGCTCATGTTTTGCTTCATTATTCTTGATTGGTTTAGATCAAACTATTGTGATCACTATATTGGAAGAAGTTGGTAATAAGTTCAACGGGTATAATAAGATGGGCTGGATCAGCGCTGGCTACATGCTAAGTATGGCTGTTTTTGCAGCAACATGGGGTAAAATGTCTATAATATTTGGAAGAAAATGGTCGTTGTTATTAGCTATAGTGCTATTTGAAGCTGGGTCTTTAATGTGCGCTTTAGCAAATGATATTGATGTATTAATTGGTGGTAGAATCCTTGCGGGTATCGGTGGTGGTGGTATCCAAACTTTAGTATTTATTGTTTCCTCAGAACTCACACCTATCAATCAAAGACCTTTGGTTTTTGTCATTTTAGGTTTATCATTTGCTTGTTCTTCAGTCACCGGGCCTTTAATTGGTGGAGCATTTACCTTGCATGCAAGTTGGAGATGGTGTTTTTATATAAACTTACCTATAGGTGGATTAGCTGGGGGATTATTGACAATTTTCTTCAATCCTCCAAAAGCTAAAGGTTCAATGAGAGAAAAATTGAAATTGATTGATTATCCTGGTACTTTCTTACTTACCTCAGGTGTTGTTATATTTTTATTAGCTCTTACTTTTGGAGGTGTTGAATTTGCATGGAACTCAGGTGCTATTATATCAATGTTCATCATTGGTGGTGTTTTGTTAATCTTGTTCTGCGTCTGGAATTTTGAATATTCAAAGAATCCAATAATACCACTCTCTATTGTCAAAGTCCGTCAAGTTGTTTTGCCAGTTTTAACTTTGGCGTTGGTGTTTTTCAGTTTCATGTCTGTTGTTATCTTTTTGACGACATATTTCCAGCTTATTTTTGGTATGACAGCATGGCAAACTGGGGTTCGTACATTACCAGTTATCGTTCCTCTTGTCATCGCTAGTATAGCTTCTGGTATTTTGATCAAGAAAACCAGATATATCAAGCCTTACTCAGTCTTCGGTGGTGTCTGTGGCTCTGTGGGTATTGGTTTATTACTTTTATTAGATATTGATACTTCAGGTTCTGCCAAAATTGGGTTATTGATCATACCCGGTATTTACTGCGGTATTTGTTTACAAACCTGTATGATTTCCAGTCAATTACACGCACCCAAAGAAGCTGGGAGTACAATATTGACCACATCTTTCATCAACTTTAGCAGATCTATAGGTGGTACTCTTGGAGCTGATTTGTCACAAGCTATTTTCAATGCAAGCTACAAGAACAGAATAACCAAAGCGTTAAAGAGCTATCCAAATGGCACTCTTGGAGGACTCAACGGCCATGATGCATCAAAATTGATTGCAAGTCCTGGGCTGATTCGTAATTTGGATCCTGAAGTTAAGAAAGTTGTTTTGAAAGCAATCATGAAGAGTATTAGAAATGTTTTCATAGTCACCACAACTATGGCTGTTGTTTCCTTTGTCGTGATTTTGTTCTTTTCCAACAAAAGACTCCCTAAAGAAGAAGATGTGCAGCAGACAAAAGATGACAATGGACTAGTACAATCAAATGATTCAGAAAAACTTCAGGATAATGCTCTTTCAACAACTGGTGAATCATTTGAACTGAAAACGAAAACTAACGAACGCGCATCAGATACCAAGTGAACCAAGACACATCTAAACCTGTACTAATAGTCATCCTAATAATAAATAATAGGACACCGTGTCTGCATTTACTCCAAAAATGTGTAGTTTAAGTAATTTTTTTGGTGTCAAAAAGTGTTGAAGTAGTGGCCCATTTTCAAAAAAATGCTGGTTTGTTTTTGTTTTGCCTAATCGGGGCTTAATTGGATCTGTTGATAAATGGTCTGAAAATTTGAGGATTTGAGATTTGTGACAAAAATAAAACTGCTTTAGAATCTTTGCAATAGTCAGTTTGAATAGACAATAATCATGAGTTCACTCAAGGAAACGGTCGAGAAGACGGTCAATATGATCATCCCATCAGCTGCTGCTAATGATACAGTTAAAACCCCTAGAGAGCATTCCTCTCAGGATTCAATCACTTCAACCACTTCAAATCTATTGAAACAAAATAAGGAACGAGATTCATTCGAATATTTACAACAAACAGCTCAACAAGAAAGAAATAGATTGTCAGATATGTTGGATAGCGTCAGAAGTAGCTCAGAAGGTAACGATAATGAATCATTCACAGATGCTGATGAATTCATTTTCAACAGATCTTCAACAGATAGTTTACCGCAACAACATCAAAGAGAAGTTGAAAAGAGCTTTGAGGCAGCTACGCCTTCAAGAGCTGGTGATGATACCATCGCTCAAGATAGCCCAGCTGGTGGTGCTTCCATTCCAAGTGATCAAAGATTTGAATTTGAAGTTACTCAAGCTACACCACCAAGACCAAGAGCTATACAAGTCATGACTCCAACATTTGCAGGATCTTCAAATAGTGTTGTTGCGTCACCATCAAGTGCTTTCAATAGAAGATCAATAATATCTGATTATACTCCAAGTATTCACGAAGTAAACAAAGTGGCTTACATTGTGGAGGGTCAAACAGACCAAGAACTTGAACAACAACAAATTGATGATTATAATGACGAAAACCAGCCTGTTATGGGAAGCTTTGAAGAAAAATCAAAGTTATCAAGAAAACCATCAGTTATCAAAATAAGCAGAAACTCATCAAAAGGTAGTAATAAGAATGCTGAACATCATGAAAAGAATAAAGAAAGCATCAATTCGTTCTCTTCAAATACAAACAGTGGGAGTGGGTCCTCAAAATATCCAGAATCATCCTATAGTGGGAAAGATTATGAGTTTGTTGAAGGTGAAAAGCAAGCTCAACAAGCACCACAAACTGAAAAAATCTTGGAAGAATCTGAATCAACATCATCTTTTGAATTTAATTTAGGTCCTTTGAAAACTACAAAAGGTGAACAACAACCAATTGAAATGGAAAGATCTCATGTCACGAGTATTGATCCTGCAATTCCTTCAAGATCCACAAGAAGACCAATGAGTAGTGCATGTATTAAACCACCAGTGAATAAATTAAAAGAAGAACAAGAACAAAATAGACCAAGATCTATTGATATTGGAGGTATTGATAACTTAATGGTTGAATTGAATAAAGAGATTTACAGATCACCAAACACAAAGAACTCTTCACAAGAAAGTGAAGTTGATCACAAAAGACAACAATCTGCAACTGATTCAATAAATAGTACTGAAAAGGCGAAAAGACCATTACCACCACCACCTGTTCCAAAACATGAAAAGAAACTAAGTATGACAACTGCAAATGACGAAGATTTTGTTACAGAAGATGAAGATGGCGAAGAACAACATCATGAATCTAAAAGTGTTAAAGAAAGTAAAAAGAAACACAAGAAAAAATCCAAACACTCGAAAAAGAGACATTCATCATCAAAAGGACATTTTAATCATGATACATTAACTCAACTACTACAAGTTACTGAAGGTACGATAATTGGACAAGAATTCCAAAATATTGGATTAGAACCAAATGAAAAACAATTATTAGAAAGATTGGTTGATTCTTTATCAAGATTAACTGCTGATATGGTTATTGATTCTGATAGACATGATGAAAGTGTAAGAAGATTGAATAAAGCCATCAAGGCACTTGAAGGGTTTTGATTAGCTTCTCGTTATTTGATTTTATCTTTGTTTAGGACTGTTTTTCCCATCATGCTTTTTTAATGTGTATTTTTATATTTTGTGTTTTAATGAATGATTTTTATTGCTTTACTACATTATAGTTTCCTTACTCATTTACCCATTCTTCCATTAAAAAGATATATCAATACATATTATACATAGTTTTCCTTTTCCTTGAACCAAAAAACGCAAAAAAAAAGAGGTAGCATCCAAATTGAGGATGTTTATATATGGCTTATGAATATGAACATGAAACGAGTGAATGTGCTGTTATGTGTTGAATCGTTATGGTAATTTTCATTAGTTGGTGGTTGTCCTATTTTTTTTCATTATTATTATTTGACTTCTTCAGAAGTTCTTCAGTGGCTTTAATTTCTTGTTCAATTTGATTGAAATCTTTGATTTCATAGATCCCAACATCTTCATCCAATACTTCTAAATGTAGACCTGAGTTTAAGATTTTTTCATAATCAGGATGGTTCAATTTCCATCCTAATTTATTTGATAAATAAGCAGCCACATTATCACAATAACCTAACAAAGAGACATCAAATTCGGCATGCTCAACCAGATCTTTATTGATTAATATTTGTGGAACTTCAGCAGGCACCATATTGACAATCTCACTAACAGGTGCAACTTTTAAAGAGGTACCAATACAAATTAATAAATCACATTCTTGGACATCTAATTTGATGGAATCGTGAAATTTCTTTGGTAGATCTTCACCGAAAAAAGTAATATCAGGCTTCATAACACCATAAGATCTTGGATAATAGTTTTCATCTCTATTGAATCTTTTTTCTCTTTCCTTGTAACAATTTGGACACACTGGTAATTCCAATTCTTTAATATATTTGAAAATCTTAGATCCATCAATTTTCCAACGACAAGTTTGACAAGTAGCAGCAGCAAATGAACCATGACATTGAATAGTTTTTTCTTTTGAAATACCAACATTAGCTTCCAAATTATCAATATTTTGTGTATAATTTCTCAATAGCTTGCCTTTATCTTCTAAAAGTTTAATGAATGCATGCAATGGTGTATAAGACCCTAATGGTGGTAAGATCATATGAGCAACACTATAGAAAATAGTTGGATCTTCTCTAAAAGTTTCCAAATCGAAAACTTCTTGAGGATCAGATAAACCTAAATGTTTAACTTGGGAATAAATACCTTTTGAAGATCTGAAATCTGGAATACCTAAACTTGTAGAGATACCAGCCCCAGTTAAAACCAATATTTTACTGGCTTTTTCAATCTGTTGTAATGCATGTTCCACTGTATAAATATCATCAAGTCTTGTACGCATGTATAAAACTCTATTCATGGCTCTTTGTAATAATTTCACAATTTTCATGAAATTTTGTTCATCATCAATATCATCATCAAATTTGATTGAATAGAACCCTAATATGACAACAACGTACAACATATCAGAACCTCTTGGATTATCGGGTAGGTAATAATCCAAGAATTTATCCATACCTTGAGTTTTCAACAGTTTTCTAGCTTCTTGACATTGTTCTCTGGTAACTTGGGGTAAGATCCATTTCCCATCAACTTTCTTTATTCTGCTTCTCTTTGGAGCTTTTGAACCCTTTGGAGGTGTTGTAGATGATGAAGCACTTGAACTTTGGGTAGTTGTAGTTGTAGTTGAAGGAACAGCATTGGTATTATTATGACCATTTGAGGTTGATGGCGGCGCTTGCTTCAAGTTTAGATGTAAAGCAGCACTTGGAGGCAGAACAGGAGTAGCAGCTTTGGCATTATTGGTGGTAGCACTCGCTATAGGATGGGTCTGTGGGTGGTTAGGAGCATTGTTTGATGGGATCAGTATACGTTGAGGTGGTTTCTGGTTGGTGATGGTTGGAGCTGTTTTACCTGGCAATAACCCGGTTGTGGACGTGGTTGAAGAGGAACCTGATGAGCTGATTGGCTCTGTTTTGGCCTGTTTGTGGCTGGAGTCCTCGCGCTGAGAATCTGAGGCGTCTGGCAGGGGTCTCTTGCCTAGCTGGGAGCTGTTGAAGTCCATTTCACCTGACGCTTTAGCTGTTGTTGATGGGCTTTTGGATTGTTTTGAAGATGGTTTCAAATTTCTTTCCATTTTTTTGACCATTTTAAATTTTTTTCTTTTCGCAAAGGGAAAAATCGTGTTTGAAAGGGATTTTGCAGGCAGACACGGCGCGCGCTAGGCTGGAATGAATTGTTTGATTAGGCAGAACAGATTCAGTCTAGATAGCGAAAGCCAGGTCTCACTCACAAAAGATACTGAGAATAGATAGAATCAAACTACAAAAGACTCTTCATTAGCCTCCTTTATATACCAAATCTATTGGTTTCATGACTTATCACTGATGAAACAGATTTGAAAAAATCCCATTTCGTTGCTTGGTAACGTCGTTGTCGGTGGTGTTTGGGTGTGTATGGTTATACCAAATTATCTCGAAAACCAACCTAGAAGTAATATTTGAAAAATACATAATCGTGAAATTTGAGACTGTTTATATCCGAAAATGACTTCTTTGAACTATGGTTATTGCGCGAAATTTTGAGCAAACTTACAATTTCCATTCCCCAAGGCCATTCATGGCCAAAGTAACCATTTTTTGTGCCATCGCGAACTTTACCCGCAAATCGCCTGGAGAAATGGTCAAAAAAAATTGATTGAAAAAAACTGAAGATCAAGAGTGAAAAATAGTGACAATTTGATAACAAATCTTGTTACTTTTGTTGAGATATTGTTAGACAAGATGGCCAATAAACCTGTTAGACTTCCCCCATTACCAAGACTACGTGTCAAGAAACCAGTTTCTCAAACACAAGCTAACCCTTGTGTTGTTGTGATGTCAACTTTATTGAATTGTTGGTCTTCAAATGGTGAAGGTGCAGCTGAGTGTAAACAATTAGAAAGCAGTTTGAAAGAGTGCATGGAAATAAATGTATGTATTTTCATATGACTTATGATTAATTGGAGGCTTCCAGTACTAACTATATAATAGAAAAAACCAGTTGTTGTCAAATCATCAATCAATTACCATGCTTCTCGTCTATATCCAAAGATCAATGGTAAACCTCATGATTAGGTTTATTGTATTTAATTACAAATCACAAACACAGCATTCAAACCCCATCATACCTTCATTTTCACTCCACATACTTTCCAATATTGAATCACAATTTTGACATTTTAATGTCACCTTGTACATAACATCAACAAAAGACTCCAAACAAACTATGGAGAATTAATGAACCAAAAAAGAACACCGTGTTCAACATTATTTATATGATCCAATAATCTTGTGCTTTTTCTTTACATTTTGTTAATTTAACGTTCTAAAATATAGATGATTTCAATTTTGTAGACATCTCGTAGAGTAAATGTTAGTTTTGGACCAAGGTCACATGACCTCAAAAATTCAAGCCTTACAAAAAATAGGTGCACAATTCTGGAATCACTCTATAAAATCTAGGGCATAATTGAATGGTGATTACTTGCGTGATATCTCTAGAAAATGATGGAGACAGACGTATGGGATTGTTCACTGAGCATGTGGTTGATATTGTACTGTACCAAATTAGCCCAAAGACAGTATCAAAATGGTTTCAACGGAAGCTGGGGCTTGGTTCTGCCGAGAGCGCGTTTGTGCTCTGCCTAGAGCTAGAGAGAGGACAGCTGTACGACGAGCCTAGCCTCTGGGCAGAGCACCAGCCGAGGCGGGCTCAGATCGGTTCCCAGATCTGCCAACGGCCAAACGACGAGCGTCTCGTTTAACAAAAATTTCCAGATTTCGTATTTTGTTTTTTTTTGGGAACGACGAGCTCTTGAAAAAAAAAAACACGTCCTTCGTTTATATAAAATTCACCTTGGACAGCCTCTATTATTCACTCCCTGGAAACCTCATCGCCTTCGTTTCACATATTCAACCATCCCTCTTTTAACAGATCAAGTTCCATTTCAACACGGTCCTTTGAATTATATTTACCCATTCCACAACAAATTAATTAACCATGTCTTCAACAGCCGTTGATATCAAGAAAACTCAAGCTGAATTCTCAAAATCCCTACATGGGAAAGAAGTTGGTACCAAAACTGGTATCTCTGCCTTATTATCCAAAGATAAAAGCGCCCAAGAAGTTGCTGTCGCTGATTATCTAAAGCACTGGGATGGTAAAACTGATAAAGATGCTGAAGATAAAAGATTAGAAGATTATAACCAAAGTACTCATTCTTATTATAACGTTGTCACCGATTTCTATGAATACGGTTGGGGTACTTCTTTCCATTTCTCAAGATATTATCCAGGTGAAGCCTTTTCTCAAGCTTCTGCTAGACATGAACATTATTTAGCTAACAAAATTGGTATCAAAGAAGGTTGGAAAGTTCTTGATGTTGGTTGTGGTGTTGGTGGTCCAGCTAGAGAAATTGCTAGATTCACCGGTGCCCACATCACAGGTCTAAACAACAATGATTATCAAATTGAAAAAGCTAATTACTATGCTAAGAAATTCAAATTAGATAACCAATTGAATTTCGTTAAAGGTGATTTCATGAAAATGGATTTCGAACCTGAAACTTTTGACGCTGTTTACGCTATTGAAGCTACTGTCCATGCTCCAGTCTTGGAAGGTGTTTATGGTGAAATCTTCAAAACTTTAAAACCAGGTGGTGTCTTTGGTGTTTATGAATGGGTTATGACTGAAAACTATGATGAAACTAATCCAGAACATAGAAAAATCGCTTATGAAATTGAATTAGGTGATGGTATTCCAAAAATGTATTCTGTTGACGTTGCTAGAAAAGCTTTAGAAAATGTCGGTTTTGAAATTGAATATGAACAAGATTTAGCTGATTTAGATGATGATATCCCATGGTATTATCCTTTAACTGGTGATGTCAAATATATCCAATCATTATATGATATAAGTACTTTTGTTAGAACAAGTTATTTGGGTAGAAAAATAACTACTGGATTTGTTGGTTTATTAGAATTCTTACGTATTGCTCCAAAAGGTTCAAAACAAGTCACCTTAGCCTTGGAAGAAGCTGCTGTTGGTTTAGTTGAAGGTGGTAAACAAAAATTATTCACCCCAATGCAATTGTTTGTTGCTAGAAAACCACTTAAATAAAGAAAAAAAAATAACAAAAACGAAAAGATATAAGGTATAATTTGATTTTATAGTTTGTTTTGATTTTATTTTTTTACTCTGCTAGTTGCTGCATTTAATTTACTAATTATTATTATACACGATATTACTATTACGAAATTAATTAAAATACTATGTATTAACACAATGAACACTTATAAACCTTTTTATTCCATAGACAAATCACCATCTTGATCAACATTACTCAATTCACCAGTATCACTTCTCAGTATATTTTCATTCTCATCAATATCACTATCACTTTGCTCATCGTCGTTTCTTTGACTCTTCTCCTTTTCACTTAGTTCAATTATTCTGCTCTGTTCCTCTTCAAACTCTTCATCAACTTCATCTTTTTTTGGTTCTTCTTCTTCTTCACCTTGTTTTTCAAGAATAACTGAATATTCTTGATCTTCTTCATTAACTTGACTTTCTTGTTTAGCTTTAGCAGCTTCAAACAAAGTTTCAATGTTTTTAACAAACTTATTGAATGCATTTCTTGATGGCAGATCTTGAGCTGAAACAACTTCCTCCCATTCTTCACAAGTTTCAACTAATTCTTTCAATTTTTCAAATTCAATATTAGTTCCAATAAACATTTTTGGTAAACTTGTTAAAATCAATTTTCTATATTTCTTACATTCAACTTCATCAAATGTATTTAACAAATCAATAGCAAGTGAAACGTGTGATAAAGATATTGCCAATTTTTCATCATCTTGATTGACAACATTATTTGGATCAGTCCAGTGCACAATTTGCTGTAAAATGATTGATGGTGAAACCATTTCTTGTTCGTTTTCATCTCTTTCATCAACATGAGCAGTGTACAGTCTTTTAAAAGCATCAGCTGCAACTCTACTCATTCTTTCTTGATGTTGGGCATGAGAAAAACAATAGACTGGTAAACAAAAGGTGAATGCTTGTAACAAACTTTGATTTGAAGCATTTGCTGGATTATAATATGTTAGGATTAGTGTCTCAAAAAGTTCATCATCACTTAAAATATCAGCCAAATATAATTTACATAACCCTTCAGCTGTTAATGCTTGGACTTCTGGAATATCTGAACTTTTCAAAGTTCTATAAAGTAACTTATGGAATGATAATGAATCAACACCATCTTCAACATCTAAAACTTTAGAGCCATGGACTGATAAAATATCAAACATAACTTTGATGGCAATAACCCTAAGTTCTTCATGACCTTTTGATAAACACAGACCGAAAAGATACAACTGATCAGTTGCCAATTCCAAATCCAACAAACAGCATAGACCTAAAGCCATAGTACCTAGTTCTCTGATTGTACTTACATTGTTTCTGACAGCTGGATTGATTAATGTATCAATTAATGATGTGATTGAAATGTTATCTTTGAGTGGTTCATTGGTTAGCTCTAACATGGATTTACATATTGATAAACAATGAATTGTGGTTTTTTCATTTTCTTGAACCTCTGCAGTACCATCCGCTTCTTGTTGATCAATATCGTTATCTCTTATATCTGTAATGATTTCATTAACCATGGAACAAAAATCTCTTTCATTGATTGATAATTTTCTCAAAACTTGCAACGAAACTTTAATCAATTTATCTGTTAATCTATCATGTGTTAATGACGATCTAATCACCTGTAGCATTGCTCTTCTACCAATTTCATCACTAAAATCATAGTTTACTCCAATGGTTAATAGCTGCTCAATAACAAAATCTAGATCTTCTGCATCATCCAAAATTTCCAAATTCTTTCTGGCTTCTAAATATTTTGACAGTAAATTAGCCATTTCAGCAGATTCAGGATAGTTTGCATCTATGGTATCATTTAAAGTGTTGTTGAAGCAATGATAATAGAAAGTTCTAGCTAGAAATGCAATTTCTGGTGTTAATCTTAACCAAATTTCCTGAGGAAAAGTAATCTTACCAATTAAATCTTTTCTATTGTTAAAAAAATGTTTCATCGCAATTTCAGCAACTTCACTATTGGTAACATGAAGTCTTTCCAAGAGCTCAATCAAATCACCGTCAATCGTATTTAACCAATCTTGGGACAACATTTTCACACATGCTTTTTGAACAGATTCTTCACGATCTTTTAAACCCCACAACAAAATCTTCTCTCTTGTTCTTGAATCGATAGTTCTAAAATCACCTAGCTCTTTCACAATTCTTGAATAGACCAATCTTCTATTGATTGAATTTGTATCTCTAGCTCTTTCTAAAAGGTAATGTTTAGTGACGCCCGATTTGACTAAATTTAATAGAGCAGCCCTTCTGACTTCTGCACTTGAATCATTTTGGATGGCAATCAAAAGCTTACTTGTAGCTTCATCAACTTCATCAGAAGTACCATCATCTTCAGTGTCTTGGAATCTTGCAATACAATGTAATGCTTTGATTCTAACGCTTGGTTCTTTATCATGGATTCTTTTATCTAGAGACCACATTAATGATTCATACAAGTTATCATCAATTTCCCCTAATCCACTCATGGCAAAATCCAAAAATTGGACAACTCTGTATCTCACGTTTTTATCTTTTGAATCAATACCCCTTAATAAATGAGTAATGAAATAATGAATAAATCTGGTGAATATGTTGTCTTCACTATCTGATTCTTCATATTGTTCTTGCAAACTTAGGATGAAACTAGCAACCAGTTTAACTATTCTATCACCAACAGATTCTGATTTCTTCACCAATAGCACCTTGTTGATCAATTTACAGAAGAAGTAGTTGAAACTATCTTCATGCTCTAAATCATGGGCTCTTTGTTGGATTGTTTTCAATAAAACCACCTGTTTTCTGTGACCTGCCACTGAGCTTTGAGACTCTTGGAAAACCTTAGCTAGCGCGTTCTGAATTTGCTCTGGTGTGCTGAGAGAGTCCACCAGCTTCCTGGCCTGCTTAGGAGCTGCGACAGTAGCCATTTGCTGTTTAATTCTTTTGTTTGCCTTTTACAAAAAAAATACGTTGTTTATGTTTTGTTTTGATTTCAAAAACGTAAACAAACAAAATCGAGAAAAAAGATCGGTACGGGGCAACACGATAAAAATCGCGAAAACATTTCAGAGAGGGTAAAAAGCGCGAAATTTGATTAGAAAAAAAATTTTGTCACTTTTATTATTGTAGAGCTCATCTCATCGCTACAACAAAGACATATTTCTCGAGGATTCAAGAGCTTAAATATGACCGTGGATGTTCATCGTTGCCGTTTCGTGGACTACCAACCACATACCATCACTGGGCTTTCATTTTCACACAAATCAACCAAGAAATTCTCCCCAGCAGACTTGCGTTTAGCTGTTGCAAGAAATAATGGTGATATTGAAATATGGAATCCAAAGAATAAATGGATCCATGAAACTACATTATACGGTGGTAAAGATAGAAGTATAGAAGGCTTAGTATGGTCCACTCGTGAATCTGAACAACCAAGATTATTCTCAATTGGTGGTTCTACTGTCATTACTGAATGGGATTTGAAAACTGGTTTACCATTGAAACATTTTGATTGTAATGCTGCCATCATTTGGTCAATTTCCATAAATGAATCACAAGATAAAATCGCAGTTGGATGTGATGATGGTACCGTAGTGGTTGTTGATATTTCTGGTGGTCCAGGTTCTATTGAACATTTTGCATTTTTACAAAGACAAGGCTCTAGAGTTTTGAGTGTTACTTGGAAAGAAGATAATTATATCATTGGTGGTTGTGCAGATGGCCGTATTAGAGTATGGAACTTTGGAGGTGATAGTCAGCTACATAAATATAGTTTATTATCAACAATGAAGGTTGATAAATCCAAGCATGAATCAACATTAATATGGTCTGTTATTTATTTACCAAATCAGAATCAAATAGTTAGTGGTGATTCAAGTGGATCTGTTAAATTTTGGGATTTCTCTCATTTCACTTTGTTGCAAAGTTTCAAGGTTCATGCTGCTGATATCTTGACTTTGACTACCGATTTATCAAATGAAAATGTCTTCACTGCAGGTGTCGATAGAAAGATTTTCAAATTTCAATTAATTGAAACCAGCACCAATACAAACAAAAAGCAACTAAGATGGTCTAATGTTTCAAATAGATTATTCCATTCAAATGATATCAGATCAATGACTTCATATGAATCCAAAAATTTTAACTTTTTACTATCTGGTGGTGTTGAGAAAAGTATCGTGATAAGTTCATTAAAATCATTCACTGATGGTCAATATAGAAAATTATCAATCATTCCACAAGAACAACATGTCACAATGAATAAATCTCAAAACTTGGTGGTGATGTGGCAAGAACAAACAGTTAAGATTTGGAGACTATTGAAACGTAAATTGATTGATGAAAGCGATGATGAAGAGGATGAAAGAATGGAAGATGCGGATGCACAAGAAGAAGATGAAGCTAATTATAAGGAAACTTTTGAATTAGCAGCCAAATTAACTTTAGCAGATGATGAAAACATAACATCGGTTGCATTATCACAAGATGGTACCATTTTAGCAGTTGGTAGATTGACAACTACAAAATTATTTAAACTGTCACCAAAATCCAATTCTAGCAAATTGAAAGTTTCCAAGATTGATGAACAACAGATACAAGCACAAGGTTCAAAACATTTATTATTCAACGGTAGTGATTCATTAATATTGACTACACCAGATAATGAAATCTATAGATTCAATTTAGATGAAGAATCCACAGATGAACAAGTTATTGAATACGAATTGAGTGACTTACCTCGCTCAAAATCTAAATTACCATATATTGAAAACATCAACCATATAAAATTGACCCATAATAATGAAAAGTTAGTTGTGTCAAGAGTGTCTGGTGCCATTGATTTAATTGATTTGAACAATTCGGATAAGATAGAGTCTACGCCATTCTTGAGACTTTCAAGTTATATCAATAGAATCGAAGTTTCTTTGAAGAATACATTGATTGTTATCACACATGAGAATAAGATTTATGAATTTGATTTAAATAATGAATCAAATTCTGCACATTTAACAAATTGGTCCAAGATTAATTCAGAATTTTTACCAAAACAATTTACAAGCTTACAAGAATCACCATTAGGTATATTTTTGGATGTTTCAAATAGAGATAAAATTTGGATTTATGGTTCAACTTGGTTATCATGCTTTGATCTAAGTTTAAATATTCCAATTAATAGATCCAAAAAGGATAAGAAACGTAATAGACATGGTGTTCAAATTGGTGTTAATGAAGATATTGCCGTTGAAGATGAAGGTTTAGATGAAAGTGATGATGAACAACAGATCGAAAATGAATTATTACAGGATCAAGTCACACGTTTATTAGAACGTAATGACTTCATCAAAGAAGTTGCTACTGGTGACGAAGATAAGAATGGTGTTCCATTCGCTATTACTCGTAAATATAAACCAATATTGTATGCTAATAGTTTATTGAATGAAGGTGAAATCATTGTCATTGAAAGACCACAGTTTGCATTATCGCAACCTCCTGCATTTAAACTAAACCAAATCAGAGTTTAGGAGACTACTAGATCATTAATAAAAGTTACATTTGTATATTAAGATAAGGGAAAAAAAACATAAAGCTGTAGTAAAGACATGAAAATCACTAGCTTTTAAAGGAAATCATAGATAAAAGCAAAGATGTATAATAGCACATATTTAAATCAGAAAAAAATTGTTCGGTAGTTTAGTTGTAAGGAATGTCTGGAATAACTCTAGCAGCTTGGAACCAAATTCTAGCAGCAGCACCAGATCCAATCAAAGTTTTAACTAATGGCTTATCACCTGGACCACCATCACCTTCTTGAGCTCTTTCTTCGTTATTTGGATCAAAACCTTTAGTACTACCAAATTGTTCACAATATAATTCCCAAATTTCTTTGGAGATTCTATGAGCTTCAAACATTTGGAAATATAAGCCATCATTTGGATCATAATGATATTTCCTAAAGAATTCTAAATGACGTTTCAATTCTCTTTTGATTGCATTTGCAGTTGATTCTGGTGCTTCATTACCAACAACCAATAAATAATCTGCAAAACCTTCAAATAGTAATTGAATGAAATATGAAGGATCCCTCCAATATCTTCTATCCATTTCATTGTAATCTCTGCAAAATAATGACTTGTTACGGTTTGTAGCAGCTGCGGCTAATTCATTGGCATGTTTTAACCATTTTTTATCCTTGGTGTATTCATACAATAATGAAGCAGCACTCAAAGCAGTACCAGTGTTGTAAGTCCATTTCATTCCATTAGCACCATCAGAATTCTTATCAATACCATCCAAGATTAAATAATCACCTTTATCTAATAAAACATCAAGTAACCAATCGGTCGTTTTAGCAGCGAAATCAACATAAATTTTTTCTTCATTTGGGATAAATTTGGCAATTCTTAAGGCAGCCAATGCAACTTCACTTGTTGAAATGGCACTGATATAAGGCTTATCTCTATGCCACAAGATCCCACCTTTAACTTTAGCTTTTGAGTCATTATTCAAACCACCCATCAAATAACGAACCAATTCTCTACCACTATCTAAATACTCTTTATTACCAGTGACTTCATAAGCTGCAATTATGGCAAAGGCAACTTGAGCATCATCATCATAATAAATATCGTTATTACCTTGGAAATTCTCCACAGCACAATAACCGTAAAATTGAGGAGATCTATATTTGTAAAGAGCTTTGATACAAGGGTCAATTAAAGGTCCCAATTCTTGAGGATAGATTCTAGCACCATCAACCACGGCCTGAGTAGCAACAGCTACTGACCAAACATTGAATTTACCTTCATCACCATAGACACCGGAACACTTTGGTCTTGGAGTTGTGAAGGTATCTTTGTTTGAATTCCAAAAACGTTTCCAGAAAGTTGCAACAACGTTATAACCTTCAAGATTTGGATTAGATACTGGAGGATGAGGACCTGACATTGTTGTTGATAATAATAATAATAATTGTCAACAATTGTCTTTTCTTCTTCCAATGGGATTGAACTTTAATATATAGGCATCTCAAGAGTAGCAAATACAAGTGAAATTGCATCTTGAAATTGCCAAAGCAATAAAGTCAATCTGTGCACGTGAGGCGATGGCAGAGCTGTATGACGACGAGACAAAAAGAATACGTCAAAAATCCTCGAGAAAACAAAAAAACAACAACAACAAACAACAAAAACAACTTAAAATATGTCAGATTTGTATGAGGAAGAGATCAAGAATCTCAAGTTCACTAAAGAAGCTTTGAAAGCGGTCGAGAAACTCACTGGGAATCTGCTCAAGGACTTGGAAACATCTGTGAAAAACCATAAATCCCTACAAGGCTCAACTACTCAACTGATGGAGAATGCAAATAATATGTCAATCGATCAACAACAACAATAATAACTATACAATCTTTCCAGCTAATGCTTGGTCTTCAAACCCATCAATATCATCACTTAGGTATTCTGCAGTTTTTATACAAACTGCAGTTAGAACAACACTAACCAAAAATATCTTGTCGAACCAATTATCCAATTGAACGATTGAAATGTTTTGATTTGTTAATGAAAATAAAGTGTTTAATTTTGAACTAAAATTTGAAGTTAGATTTGATTTCAAGATTAAGATGGTGGCTAAAGTATAGATCCCTGTCAATTCACTTATTAATAAATTTTTGATGATTGAAACTGATTGATATTTGGTATTTGGAGTTGTTGTCTTGCTCAATTTTGATAGATCTAATGGTAGGAATCTGTATAAATGTTGGAATGTCATGAATACACCATTTATTGAACAAAGAAACAATGCGCCGGATACTATGAAACTCAATTGATTTGTTATGAATTCTTCATCTTTGACTGTGATGAATATTTGAATTGTTTTCACAATGGTTAGCACCAGTGGATCTGATTCCTTTGTGGAAACTTCATCATAGAATTTAGAATTGAAAATTGAGATGATCTTTATTGATGTCACTTGTAGTATTTTGAACGTACAATATATTGATAATGATAATTGAATGATTTTCCGTATTTTAACGTGAAATTTATCTTGTGATGTAGATTGGTTTATATTTCTTTCAACTTTTAACATCTTGAGGTATATATCATTTTTGATAATTTTCAAAGAATTGATCTCTGAAATCAGTTCATTTTCAACTTTTGACGTATTACTTTTGAAAGGGTTGAGTGTTTGATTTAAAGTATTTAGATCTAAGAATGATTTCTTTGGTTGGAATCCAGGTCTTTTATTCAATTGAGAATCATCGGCATATGGTCTTGATGATTGTTGTTTTTCATATTCAATTTCTTTACTTTTGATCATGTTACTTGTATTTTGTAAAGTTTTCTCCAGGGTTTCCAGATATTGAGGTGTAGATTGTTGAAATGATGAAGTTGAATTAGATCTCTTGAATCTCTTGAAGAAATTATAATACGCTGTTGAGAATGAACCAACACCATTGAGAGCAGCAATCAAAGTTATACCAATGACTGATATTCTCAATAGGTAATATGCAATAACATGTGAGTCTGTATTGTCCACAATGTTTAAATCTGTGAATGAATCAAATTTTGATAATGTGAGACACCAAAAGATGAAAATTATCAATGTAGCTATTGATTTGATGGTCAAATTATTGAGCAAACTTGATTTGAAAAACTTGTTAACCAGTAAGACCGTTATCAGTATAGGATGTATTACTATCAGATTGATTGTAATCACCACCAGGTTCAAATTCCATAAATTTAGAGCAGTATGATTATCTTGATTTCCACCATCACTAATAAAATGATACAGAATAAATTCAATGACTAAAAAAGATGTTGTAATACTTGTTGAGAATGCAATTCTTGAAAATTTCTTCAAAAGATCTATGATTCTTTGGTTTGATATACTTAATTCATCACTTGATATTAGTTTGACAAATGAACTTGAGTTTAAATCATCATCTTTAATGTCTGCATATTTTGAATTGAACTTTGTGGGTTCAAAGATTTTGATTATTTGAAACCAAAGATGTGTATATGTGTTGTAGAACACCAGCAGTGCAGATACAAGGAAGAATAGTGATACAGATATGCTCATTAGCAGGCACTTTTCTTTAGCTCAGGTAGCCATGATCTAAATCTAACTTGTTCCCATCAATTTATTGATATTATAACGTTCGTTGAAATTCGACCACAATTAGATCACGTGAAATTACCACCGGAAATGACGCGAAAGTGGAAAATCAAAAAAAAAAGTGATTTCAAATTATAAACAAATTTCCTATTTCATTTAAATTGTCAACATCAACATCAAAAGCGAAAACAGTCTTTACAGGAAGAAATTATCTGACAAAAGCACAATGACTGTCCAGAGAGGGTCCAGTGTGAGAGGCACCAACTACACAAAGCCTAGACCTTTTTCCACAAACAACCCATTCAGAAACGCATCCTACGATTCAAACATTGGCTCGAGAACAGCAAGCCAGAACTCTGAACAACAACAACATTTCAACAACTGGGTCGCTAAGAACCAGAGTCAATTGAGTTTCAGTAGTGATGACGAAGATGGCGACCTGTTTAAGGTTCCTCAGTCCATCGGAAGACCAACATACCAAAGAACACAGTCCAACAGTTCAGCGGGTAGTGCTCACTCAGCTAGAGGAATCCCACCGTAAGTATTGATATATCAAGAGCACTAAGAAACACTAGAGAGAAACAAATAAAGCGAGAAAGAGAGAGAGAGAGAGAGAGGAAAGAGCATTGAAAGATATTTATGATTATTCTATTCAACATTTCATTCATCTTGATGTTTTGATCTGTTTTGTTTTCTGAGAGATGAGCTGTGGTTCTGGGCCTGGCCGCCCGTTTTTTTGGGCTGTGCACAGCAGAATTCGCGAAGTTCGCGAACAACCCTCAATTTTTTCAACAGGGCATGTGACCCTTGTTTTCATTCATTCTTCATCACTAGTTGCTCATTCTTCTCAAGAGGCTATACAAGTTACCGCTACAAATTACATAGCAAAAGAGATATCGATTTCATCATCTTTTATCAACATCAAACCTTCACAGGACAGCAACCAACCAACTCAGTCTTTCGCTTCTCATTTTCATAAAATAGATAGAGGATAGATTTTTCCACTCCACTCCCCATTTGTTTCACATCTCTACGTGTTTCTTATCAACAACACCAACAAATAAAGCTCTTGATAACCAACAACAACAACAAAAAGTAACAGAAAACTAACTAGATTATAGAAGAATGTCCGTGCCACGTCGCTCATCAAATAATCCTTTCTCAGATTCTTTATCCCCTGAATCAACAGGATCAACTCACCAATCTACTTCAACCCCTCCACTATATCCATCAGAAAACTCAAACAACCAATATTACAATTCAAATGAAAAATCACGCTCAAGACGTCAAGAGGGACGCACTACAGATGATTTACCTCCTTCATATGAAGAAGCTGCTGGTCCAAAAGCTGCTAAAAGCTCATATCCAAGAGAAAAAGAAGGTTCATCATCTTCAAGACCTCAGCGTACACAAAGTGAATCAGATAGACATAGAACAAGAGTTCATCGAGAATGGCCAGGTGATGGCTCAACAAATGGTTCATCTAAACCACATCGCTCTGGTGAAACTCGTTCGAGTTCTCATCGTCATCGTGAACATAAAAGTGAACATAAAGGTGATCGTGAACATCGTTCCCATCGCTCTCATCGTTCTGGTGAAGAAGGTTCAAAATCACGTCATCGTTCATCATCAACAAAACATAAGAAAGATGGTGCTCCAAAACCAAAGAATGTTGATACCATTGATAAATTAGATGTTACTGGTTTATTTGGTGGTACTTTCCATCATGATGGTCCATTTGATGCTTGTACACCACAACGTAATAAAAATCAAAAATCTGCTCCAGTCTTAGCATTCCCAGCTGATGGTCCAAATAATTCAATCAAGGGTAAAGCACCAGAAAGCACTAAAGATTCTACAATTGATTATGTTATGGGACGTTCAACAGATTATGGTGATGATGATTTATATACAACTTCAGTTTCACCAAGAAAACCAACTCCATTGTTAGCTCAATATAACGGTGATGCTAATCAATCACAATCCACCATTGCTGCTGTTAAAAACACTGAAAACATTACACAATTTGATACTAATAAAAAAGCTACACCAGTTCATGGACAAACCACATTAGGTCTTGGATCTTCAACATTTTTGGATGGTGCACCAGCTGCAAGTCAAACTGCATATGAAGAAGCTGAACAACGTGCAAACATTGGTGGATTAAATAGAAAAAAATCATTGAAACAAAAATTCAGAGATACTAGTGGAGGCTCAGCAGGAGCATATGAAGATGAACCAATACGTTTCAGCCCTGATAAATCAGAAAGCTCAGGTGGTAATTCATTATTGAAAAGGGTTAGAAGTTTGAAGGTTGGTAGAAGTAAAAGCTGATTGTTTGAGTTTATTTTCATTTTCATTATTGTTTTTGTTTTCTTGTGTTTTATCTTGGGAGTTGACCATTTTGTTGTACATTTATTTTTTATCTTAAAGGCTTATATGTTGAAAGATTTTGGCATATTTGATATGATATGGAATTGGTCTGATTTTATGTTCTTTTTTATACATCACGTTTGAATAATACTTAAAATGGGAAATTTTTGTTCAATTCTTTTCAAGTATTTTTTATTTTTGAGATACCCTTTTGATGTTGAGATTAGGTGCCAGATGAAATAAATCAGACACATGGTTATTATTTTTGAGTATTAGTATTTTTTGTAAAACGGTATTAAAGACAATTAATTATTTTTGACCAATATGCAGTACATATTGTAGAATTTTATCATAAATTTACCATTCGATTGATCTATATACATATCATGACTCTGTTATTTACATACCTCTACCAATACGACCTTCAACTGTGTAATTTTCAGATCTTGGAGGTAGTCTTCTTGTGATAATATCCCAATCTAAAGCTTTCCAAACTTGTTCCAAATAAGTTTTTTTACCATAAACACCGTAATCATATAAATAAGCCTTTGGACTAGCATCGATGGCCAATATTGGTTTATATTCAGTATTGCCGTAAACTGCAACGTTTCTGGCATCCACTAATGATAAAATTGAAGAAGCTGGAGGTTTGAAGGTCATTGATTTATCTTCAGATTGTTCAGATAATTTTCTTAATTTTTCTGAAATTTGAGTCAATTGACCAAATCTAACTGAATTATTTGGAGTACCTGCGTTATAAGTGTTTAAAACGTACAAGTTGTCATATTCTTCTTTTGTTGCACTTGATTGGGAAGCTAATGATTTTCTTGTTTTACGAGCAACTAACCAAGTAAAACCATCACCATTTATAGCATTTGCAGAGTTTAATAATAGAGTTTTAAATTCTAATACGGAACCAAAAGAATCTTTTATCCAATCTTGGAAAGTTTCGTCAATAGGTTGATTTGGAATTTCATGACTTATGTCTGGATTTGATAATAATGATTTTGAATCAGGTTTTGCAGGTAAAGAATCTTCATTTCTAACACCACCAAGACAACTCATTGCAAATTCAGTATTGTATAACAATGAAGCATTATTGAATAATTGTAATTTTGAAGAAGATTTAGCATATTGGTTCACTAGTACTTCTGGGTCATGAGCTGCTAGACCTTCTCTTGCAATTTCCTTATCTAATGCATCGCAATATATTTCAGCACGTTTATACCATGCGTTTTGTAAACCTTGTTTAGAGAATAACCCATTTATACCATTGGCAGCATTTACGTCAATTTGTGGGATTTCTGGTGTTTTGTAGTATTTGAAGACAGAACTTGTTGAGTTGAAGCGTCTGGATGCCTGTAGGGCCTTGGACCTCAATGAAAGCATGGTGAAGAGGTGGTGAAGAGGTGGGTTTGCAACAATCTTGATGCTTTTTCAGTTGATTTGAGATTTTTCACTGTTGATTTTTTTTTCGTGGAAACGCTCGAGAATTTGTTAGTGCTGAGGTTTACAGAGGGAGGTTTCCTTTGAGATGGGTGGAATAACATCTTAACGTACAGATAAAACTGTAAAACTCACAAATAATACTATCATTAATAAAATACATCGCATAGTCTATTTAAAATCTGTATACCTTTGCTCTATGTCTATGCTACCATACAAACAACCCGTTCCCATATCTACACACTTCCCAATATAGAGTATTTCCGCTTTGGGTGCTTTTTCTTATCAATTTTCTATCAGTTTTTTGGCTGCTTCAACTGAAATTGAAAAAGCATTAAACAATCCATCAAACAAACAAGAGCACCAAACACACTCAAATGCCATCAGCATGAGCTCTGAAAACTTCTCCTTCTCCAAGAAGCCCATAATACACCACTCCACCAGCAAGAGACACTCCGTCATCTCAGACATCATCCCAAACGACTCCAACAGCAACTACACTACAACAGCATCCTCAAGGAATCCAGGAGACAGTACCAGAACATTCTCAAATAACTCTGACTTGCAAAACAACACCAACTTGATCAAATCCACGGCTTCTCCAGATGATCCCCTGCTAGATTATGATGAGCAAATAAGAGCACCAAAGTTTCAGACGAAAAAAAGTCTGGATGATATTGGATCAGCTTCTAATCAATTTGAATCAAATGACTTGATGGATAAATCAGCTCAAAAGGCCAAAAATAGAGCCAACAAGAGGAAAAATAGCACTAGAAACAATCATAACGGTGAAATATTAACTGATTATCAAGAATCACTGGCTTCATCTTCAACATCCACAAAGAATACCACTTCTAGATCAACATACCAACCAGCAAAATTGGTTGATATGTCTCAAGTTTTATCAACTTCAGACTCATCATTGCCCAAACCAACAACTTCAACTTCATTAGGTGACAACTTGTACAATATTGAACAATATCTTGTAAATTCCACTTCCTCAAATATAATTTATAATCATGCACCTTCAGAATCAACAACTAATAATAATTCCACAGCAACAACAACTCCATTATCATCAAAGAAAAATTCAAATGAATCGATCCATCAGTTTTCATCGAAAAAGATGCCACGATTTTCAATGGCTCCATTACGTCCATTAGATGATCCTAAAACTCCAAATTATATTCCATGTGTATTAAGACCAAATTCTTATAATTCTTCAGCATTTGATCAAACTTCATTATTGGATCATATGCAACAAGATGACACAATGGAACAAGCAAACACTTTGTCCCATGATCATTGGAAACCAAACAATGCCTCAAGTAATTGTTTTGATTGTGATCGTCCATTTTCATTAATAAATAGACGTCATCATTGTCGAAAATGTGGTGAAATTTTTTGTGGGAATTGTTTATTATCAAAGGCAAAATTGAATTTTGATTGTAAATTTGATATTAATGGGATTTTAGCAAAAGTTTGCTTTGCATGTGGGAAATCTTGGAGTAATTTTATTATTGAAAATTTCAAACAAGTTGATAGATCTCTTTATCCAAATTTTAAGAAAAGAGATGTTATAACTTCAGAAGCTGATCATCATCAGGAACAACATCAACAACAACAATTTGCAGATAAGGCTGGTAGAGAGGTTTCAGTTCCTGCAGATTGGACATGGAGTTCTTTTTAACTGTGCCTCCATTCATTTTCAAGACTACTATACAAACATTTTTATGATAGATTTTATGTTTTTTTTTGTTTTTTCAATTTTTTATACCATCTTCAATTCTTTTGTGCCAATTATACTAATACTTTTTGATATCGTATCAGTATGTGGTGACTAATATTTTATTATTTCATTTGTCGTTTATTACTTGGATTTTTTTTTAATTATTACATGTGTCGGATAACATTTGGATTTCAAAGGGGGTTTCATTATACCATTACATTATTTACTACATTCGCTTCAGATTAAATAATATACTTAGAGACTAATTCTTTTGCTGTAGAAGTCCTACGACTTTAAATCATTCTAAATAAATAATTCATAAAGTTAAATAAATAAATAAGAATATGCAAAACTATATACAACTCTTCCTAACTATGAAGAAATGATGCATTTTGATAAAAAGTTAACATTGGATTCTCACCGGTCTTTGTAGTGGTACCTTCAATATCACCCCATTGCTCTAAAAATTCAGCATGTTTTGAAGTCTTGACCAATTTACCACAAACGTTAATATATAAATCTCTAATAGTATGGAAATCTGTTGGGAACATTATATCAAAATACCCTTGTTCCACCATGAAAGTTGATGTTGTGATTGCTTTATCTTCCAGCATTGTTTGCACAACTGGTGCATTATAACCTTGTGATGCATTTGGCAATGAATCAAAATCTGATAAAACGATTTGATGTTCTGGGAAATATTCATTCAATACTTGAAATAAACTTGTTAATCTTGTTGGAATGAATTCCGTTTTAGATAATGCATTATTGAAAGGGGTCAAGAAATTTCTAAATTGTTGTAATGTTCTATTTTCATTTAATGGATGTTTAACAGTCTTCATATAATCAGAAGGTTCTGATAAAAACTCTAACCCTCTCAATCCCAAGAAATTTTCTGTATCTTGATTCAGTTCAGGGGTATAAAATTGATGGAAATCACCATGTTCATCAATAACAACGTATCCTTGATAAGGTTGACCGTCGTAAATATCATACTTAACCATATCATGTGCTAAATTATCCAAAACTTCTAAACCAACAATAAAACAAGGTTCAGGAACAAATTCATTCCAATCAAATATAGATTTATTTATGATTTCCACTTTTGAACCATGCTTGGCTAAACTTTTTTGTAATTTTTGCTTTTCACTTAAATTTTTACTAATTTCCACAATTTTATACCTTGTTTTCTTATAAACCTCTGGTTGATTTGTTCGTATATAATCCAATACATTAGCCATTAAAGTACCGTTACCACCACCAATTTCATAAATTATCAGATCATGATAAGGGTACAGGTTTAATTTATAATTAACTAGTAAATATCTTGCAATAGCTTCACCATAATAAGGTTGAAACAATTCAACAGGGGTATGCCATAATTGTAATGCAGGTTGTTTACCATAACGGTCATATTGCTCTTTCCAACGAGTAACAAATTCATCTGTATCTTCTAAATCAGTATATGCAAAAGGTTTCCCCGTTTGGAAGATCTCAGCTTGCTTGGGAAAGTAACCATAATTCGGATTGTATAAGGAATCATCAATAAAATCACTAGCCAACATTCGAACTTTCCTTGGACGTTCAGTTCGTTTCTTCAATTTTTTGAAATTTGTCAAGGGGAAACTATAGAAAAAATCAGATGGTGATTTCCCTTGTAATGGATCATTTGATAAACTTGACCACAACTGACCAATTGGGGTCTGGGGTTCTGGATCTTTTGGTTCTTGGACATCTTCATGATCCTTGAATGTATCAGCCTCTATTCTTGGGGGTAATCTATGGGTGTAAGCTATTGGAGTATGTGTGTAGTCGTGAGCAAATGGCGTGCCTGGTGCCCTTGTAGACAGAAGCCTCCTTCCCACAAAACACCGTCTCATAATCAGCAGCCTTTTGTCTCTTTTAATCCAATCTTCAACTGTTTTGTTTACAACTTTTCAACTCGAACGAAAACCAGATTCGCGAAAGTGTCGTGGCCAAAACACAAAAAAACGAATTCGCGAAGTGTTTTGAAATTTTTCAGAGATGAGCTTCAGCTTAAAGCAAAACAACAACTTTTGCCTTCAAAGCACTCCACCAGAACCAGCTCAAAATGGGTGTCCCAGCCTTCTACAGATGGCTGTCCAGAAAGTACCCCAAGATCATCTCCCCGTGTCTCGAGGAGGAAGCAGCAGTCGTGAATGGCGTCACCGTGCCACCGCTATACAGTAACCCAAACCCAAATGGTGAACTAGACAATCTATATCTTGACATGAACGGTATCGTCCATCCATGTAGTCATCCAGAAAACAGACCACCCCCAGAAAATGAAGACGAGATGCTCTTGGCTGTGTTTGAATACACAGACAGAGTCCTCAGCATGGCAAGACCTAGAAAAGTGCTAATGATCGCTGTTGATGGTGTTGCTCCAAGGGCAAAGATGAATCAACAGAGAGCTAGAAGATTCAGATCTGCCCGTGATGCCAAAATACAGGATGAAGAGAAAGCTAGACTCGCTGCGCTGAAACAAAGTTATGGTGAGACTATTGATGATGCTATTAAAGTTAAAAAGACTTGGGATAGTAATGCTATTACTCCAGGTACTCCTTTCATGGATAAGTTAGCTTTGGCGCTTAGATATTGGACAGCATATAAGCTAAGCTCTGATCCAGGTTGGAAAGATTTACAAGTTGTTATAAGTGATGCTACAGTTCCTGGTGAAGGTGAACATAAAATTATGAATTTCATTAGAAGTCAAAGATCAGATATTGAATATGATCCAAATACAAAACATGCTATTTACGGTTTAGATGCCGATTTGATTTTCTTGGGTTTAGCTACACATGAACCTCATTTTAGAGTGTTGAGAGAAGATGTCTTTGCTCGTGATACCAATAAAACTATGAGTTTACAAGATAAGATGAACCTAAGTGAAGAGCATCGTAAATTAATAGAGGAGAAAGAATCCAAGAAACCATTCTTGTGGTTAAATATAAACGTTTTGAGAGAATATTTGGAGATTGAGTTGAATGTTCCAAGATTACCTTTCAAATTCGATTTGGAAAGAGCTATTGATGATTGGGTCTTTATGTGTTTCTTTTGTGGTAATGATTTCTTGCCTCATTTACCTTCTCTAGATGTTAGAGATAACAGTATTGATATTTTGGTTGGTATTTGGAAAACTGTATTACCAAAGATGAAAACATACATCACTTGTGACGGTGTGTTGAATTTAGAAAATGTTGAAATTTTGTTAGGTGCGTTAGGTCCAAGAGAAGATGATATCTTTAGAACTCGTCAAGCTCATGAACAACGTCGTAATGATAACGAGAAAAGAAGAAAAATATTTCAAGAAGAGGATAGAATCGCTAAAAATCATTACCTTGCCAATGTTACAAAAGGTAAAACTGATAAAGGTACTTATACACCTGTTGAAAGTTTACCATTATTTGACGTGAATAATGAAAGTGTTGGTAAAGTTCACATGTCAAACAAAGATTTAGTACACAACAGAGCTCAATTAAATCTAGCAACCACTGATGAAAAAGTTGCTGCTGAATTGAAAAAGACTTTTGAAGAAGGTGCATCAACTGCTGAAAACACTGAAGAGCCTGAGGAACTTAAACCTGAAGTTGTTGAAAATGCAAATCAAGCAAATGTCAGTGCTGCTGCTGCTCTTAGACAAAAATTATTGGCAAATAAAACCAAGACAAGCGACACTGCAGCAATTGGTGAAAAACGTCAAGTGCCTGATTCTCCAACTGAATCTCAACCAAGTAGTGACTCGGAAGCTATGGATTTAGATGGTGATCCTGTTAAATTTCATGAACCTGGTTATCATGATAGATATTATCAAGTTAAATTCCATGTTGATAAATCAGAAGTTGACAATCTACGTAAGGAAGTTGTTAAACATTATATTGAAGGTATTTCTTGGGTTTTGCTATATTATTATCAAGGTTGTCCCTCATGGAATTGGTATTACCCTTATCATTATGCACCATTTGCTTCTGATTTCACTGAAATCAAAGATTTATCAATCAAATTTAAACAAGGAACACCTTTCTTACCTTTTGAACAATTAATGAGTGTTATGCCTGCAGCTTCTGGTCACACTTTACCTGAGATCTTTAGACCATTGATGTCTGATCCAAATTCTCCAATTATTGATTTTTATCCAGAAGATTTCCCAATCGATATGAATGGTAAGAAAATGTCATGGCAAGGTATTGCATTGTTGCCTTTCATTGATGAAACAAGATTGTTAGAAGTTGTTAGAGAACAATATTCCAAATTAACAGATGCTGAAAAATTGAGAAATGTACGTAAAGAAGATGTACTGTTTATTAGCAATCACAACAAACGTTTTAAAGATTTTAGTAAATTATATACAGATGACAAAATCAAAATTGTTGATTTCCATTTCCATAAGTCAAAGTTATGTGGTTCAGTTTTTCCAAATTCAAAATTCAAATTCAATTCAATTTTACCATGTCCAGTTGGTGGTGAGCATTCTTATAGTGATATTCCAACTGATTCATTCTTGAAAGCTGATTACAAAATGCCACCAAAGAACACTGGTAAATCAATCATCTTGACTGGTTACATTAAACATACACCGGTTTTGACACAAGAAGATAAAGATAGTGTCATGTATGGAAGAGGTCAAGGTAGAAGAAACTTCCATCACAATTCTTCACAACAAAATATCATCAAAACAGGTCCAGGTAGTGATACTGTTTACTCTCCAAGATTTGGTGGTTATAAGTTCTTTTTGTTATTGGCTGCTCAACATCAACAACAAGCCCAACAACAACAAAATATTCAAAACTTTATGAGTCAAAATCAAGGTCAAAGAGTTGGCATGAATCCAAGCGTTCAACCTTCTGGTACCCATAAAACATTCAATGATTCTGGATTACCGCAACCAAGTCGTAATGGTGTTTTAAGAAGATGAAGGAAGGAGAGAGTGAGAAAAAAAAACATTTTTATTGTTATGATTTTTATTTTGTACCATAGTGTAAGGATAATTAATATATAGTTACAGCTAATGAATATTTAAAAAGGGGAGTGATCATGTCATGCAAATGCTTTTTTTTGTGATTCTATTTACAACTCTAAATTAAAATAGCTATATGTATCGTGAAATATTTTGTATTTTGTGTCATTATTTTGTCACCACTTCATCTAAAGTAGCTGATAAGTTTTGAACAAATTCAGGATCATTTATAACAACCTCATCGTTATCTTGTTCAAACTCTATTTCCCTTCTATCCTGTAAGTTCATATATTGAAGTTTCAACAAGCTGTGATCAAAATCTTCTGGTAATTCCCAGCCATGTTTTTTTATAACTTGAATCAAATCAAAGTGTGTTATTGATTTTCCTAATGTTAACAATTTTTTATACCATTCATATGCTTCCTCGTAGTTCATGCGTTTATCATTTCTTAAAATCATAGCTGTTATAGCATAGAACCCCAATGGGGCATGTAATTTACCCATGATGGTTATAAGTTCATCCAGTTCATAATGTTCAGCATTATCTCTATTGAAGTAAAGAATCATACTAGCAGCACGACCATCAAACCTTCTAAAATCACAGGTTTGCAAAAACGATTTGAGGAAAGCTGTAGCTAATGAAGGATTTTTCAAATCTTCAATTGTTCTTCTGACGAAAACGTTAACGATACCTTCATCCATTTTATCTTTCGAGAATGGATGGTTTGGGATATTTGCTTCTTGGACTTGAACCACATAATCTTTAAACTTGTTGAATAACTCATTAAAAACAAATTCACTGGAGTACTTATGCTTATGAAGCCCAATATGATTCAAAACAGTGATGTACAACTCAGTCATATTCTCTATAGTTGGATAGCCATCTGTTATTTTGATGAAATCAGAGACTTCAGACTTTGAAACTGGTAGATTGTTGTTTAAATTTCCAATCTCATCAACTGTTCCATTGTAAATCAGACTTAGCAGCCCTAGTTGGTTCAACATTATTTCAGAGCCGGGGAATATGGATATGAATTGGCTAATCAAGACTTTGGGGTTATCTGGGAATTTAGCTCTCAAAGTGATCAACAACTCACCAATGATCATGTTTTTATAGAAATTACCAACATTTTGATACTCCATCATTTCAGCTGCTTTTCTAAGCACAACTAAAACAGCATCAAACATTTTTTTCTGTCTAAATGAAGTTGCTAAAATATGTAGTAATTTTGGGCTAATTTCAATTCCATTATTTTTCACAGTTTCAAGTAACCCTATGGCTGATTCATAATTTTTCAATCTAACAGCATGATATGTTAAAACTTCATATAGTTTAGATGTGAGTATTTTTTGATCATGATGGCCTAATTTATCTTTATCTAACGCATACTTCGTCAAGAGGTACTCCATATAAAATTCAACTTTTTCAGGTTCACCTTTTTGAATATATTTCACAACAATTTGTTTAATCATATCAAATGAATAGAATGTCAGCATTTTTCTTTTCAAGAAATCCACCGTCTCTTTATCAGCATGTGTAAAAATCGCAGCAAATTCGAAAACTTCTTGTTCATGAGGTTCACCGTGTGATAGGGCATGCCTTATCTCATTGATTGAGTTTGACGAAGCAGTTGAACATCCAAATTCCAGCAGCTTTATGTAAAATTCCAGATAATCTGAACGGTCTAGTATCTTCAATATTTCTCTGGCGTTTCTATAATGAATAATCAACAAATTATCATGTTCCAGGCCTTGTTCTTCAAACTGTTCAATAATCTCACTTGAGATCTTTAGCAATTCATATATCTGGTTCATTTTCTCGTTGTTTGTAGTCACTTCATCTAGAAGTAGTAGTTGAATCTCTTTGTTCATGAATGCCACTATGTATTTTGGATTGTATATGAAGTAAAAAATGGGTATGGCTGTATTACTCAAATGCTTCTCAAAGTATTTTATCAAGCTTGGAAACTTTTTGAAATTGCTTCTAATCTTTGTAATCAATTGAACTAGTTCTTTAAGCTCATCAAATTTCAATACGCTGATTTTTAATAGTTCCAACTCCAAGAATTTCAATAACACAAGTCTAAATGGAGAATCACCATTGGCTAGTATACCATTCTGTTCCAGTATAAGCTCTGCTTTCTCATATGAAATGACAGAACTATTATCTGCAACATCCTGACTGATAAACTGTGAGCTATGGAGTTTGGGTATGATTGAGGCTGATCTTGTGGATTTTAGGTCTGACAATTTGTCCAGCTTTGTTTGGATTACTTTGGGTATTTTCTCTTCATGGAAAGTCCTGAGAGCGCAGCAGGGAAACCTTTGGTTGCTCCTTATTTTCGCTCTTACTAAGTTTGATCTGATCATATTGACTTGAGAGTCATTTCAAGGTTGTTCTTTGGATCTGCTTTGTTTCGTTTTGGAGGTGATGATTTCGAGGTTATTTTTTTTTCAACGTCTAAATTTTTCAACCATTGAAAAAGGCAGACACACTACAAAATTAAAGCCGTTATCGAAAAAACAAAATGCGTCGTAACAAATGCAAAATTATATATAATATGAGTTTGAGCCAGTTTATTGGTTTGTATGGCTCTTGTATTTTCTGATTCTCTCATTCAAGCTTTTCAGCTCTGTCTTGTGTAGATTCTTGACCAAATTCGATCTCATCTTGTCCTTGTTCAACCGTACCAAAAGTTTTTCAATGTACTTGTATTTCAAAGAGATGTCGTCAATCTTGGATATCAATAACGTTTCATCTTTGATGTTTATCTTTAGTCCATCATGTTGAAAGAAATTCAATCCCAACTCTGGTTTTTTATTGATCAACCATAAACCAATATCCCAAATAAGATCTTCATCATCACTAAAATGTTTATAAACCAAATCAATAATCATTGTTAACCCTTCACCTTTCTTAAAAGAGCCATCTTGCTTCTGATTATCTTCTAATTCCTTATAAATTTGAAGTACTTCTTTGAATTTACCTTGTTTCATATAAATCTTAGCCAGGGCTAGATGTTTCCCGTGATCCTTCAAAATCACTATTGTTTCTGGTAATGTTAGGCTAATATCTTTTTCCACTATCTTTAAAACTTTTGAATTGTCAGAAAGTGATTCTCTCAAGTTTGCCAATTCAACAGATTTCACGATATCGGCATTCTCTGTATATGACTCTTTAGATATCCACTTATCCAAAAAACTTGCAAAGAATTTCTTGAGCTTATTGTCTTTTATCAACTTTCTAACTTCTTCAATCAAGCCTTGTAAACCATTGAAGCACCAAACTTCACCATAAACTTCATATTTAAATATATAAATCAAGATTCTTGGATCTACTGTACCGTTTGTCCATATTTCAAAAGCTTGTGAATAGGTTTTGTTTTTCAAATGTGTCAATCCAATTAATAAATTAATATATTCCAGTTCTATAACACCTAATTCCGTACTTCCATCAACTGATTTCAATTCATCTTCCAATTCTTCAACATTTTGGAAAGTTTGTAGCCGTATTAAACGAGGTTGTGGTAACAAAATTTTGATGAAATTGGAACAATAACAGACTAATGATGTCGTTATGGTGGATATCTTAAAGACAAATTCTAATTCTTTCACTTCTCTCTCTGGGTCTTCACCAATCAAAGGCGACAGTTTAATCAAATCAACAAGATCTTCATATGGTTCTGTAAATGCTGAACTAACATTGATAATTTTCACATCTCCACTAAATTCTATGCTTTGCACTTCTGACTGATCATGTAAAGAGTAAGCAATAACCGAGCTACCAAAAGATGAAACAACGTGAGGATAATTTATACCCATTGAAACTGGATATTTAGCCAGTGGGATCGTACCTCTTGACACATCCCCATTGATGTTTATAACCAGCCCCATGGAAGGTTCATCTTTAAAGATCCCACAAGTTAATAAGAATTCATCCTGCCACACCGGTAAGATGAATGGATCTAGTTTTGGTTTTTCATTTCCTGTTTCATCTTGCACGGTTAATATTGGGAACAATGGAATTTTTTGAAAATTTTCCAAATCAATCAAGTCATAATTTTCTTTGGATGCAACTAGTGAATATTCAGATCTTCTTAAACCCTTTGTAGATTCCGTATATGCAATATCTTTAACTAACCTCAGAGCAGTTGGTGTCACATTGATTATCCGTATTTGGTTTTTAGTATAAACTGTGACATGAACACCTGTACTATCATTTTTGGCCTTATTGTCAAAATCCAAGCTTATGTCATTAACCTCTTTCACTCTTCCAATATTTGCAGGTGAGAATTCAGGTAATAGGAAACATGACAATAAACCACCAGCTAGAACCAATGCTTTTTCGATTTTGGGTAGTAATAATATCTTTGTTATTGGCCTTATACGTGATTGATGGAAACTGTTCCTTGAAACAAGAATAAAATCATTTTCAATCTTGAAGAAATGTAGAATCTCACCATGTGAGGTCCCTATGTAGATATGATCATCTAATTTCTCAACATATGTTGGGTAAGCATTTTCAGATCCATTAATATCTGGATTGTGTAGTGGTAATTCTCCTATAATATCATGGATCTTGTAGGGTCCTGGTGATGATCTGATGAATTTGGTTGGTTTAGGTTTTGGTTTAGGCTTTGAATCTGGACTTGATACAGATTTCAATGTTTCCAGGTGTAATTCAGATTTTGACTCATTGATTATTGAATCTTCCGAGGCTGAACCCTTTTCATCTGAGAGCACTGAAATTGAAGGCCTTATTGGGTTGGAGGAAACTTCAAGATGTTCTGTTTCTTGCTTGTGATCTGTGTCAATGCTTGGTTGTTCAGCTTTAGACTCTTCAGCAGTTTCTTCTGACTTTGATTGTGTTTCATCAGCTTCATATTCCCCATTGGTTCTGTGTTTCTCTTGTTTGGTAATGGAATTATCACCATTATTGTTCAGTTCTTTGACGTTATCTTCTTTATTATCCTCTGTATCTTGATTTTGGTTACTCTCTGGATCCTTATCATTCTCTTGATCATCATCTTTTGTAGTATCATCTTCACCATTTGCTTCCTCTTTAGTCTTATTTTTAGCTGTATCTAAATCATCCTTATTAGCTTCAACGCTATCATTATCATCATTATTTTCAATTACATCCTGAACATCTCGATCTTGAACCTCATTCTCCAAAGATTCATCTCTGGGCACCTCTTCATGATATTCTTCTGATTGTTTTTCAGCTTCATTGCCACTTTCTTGATCAGTACCATCACCTCCCACTTCACCAACATCATTGGGAACTAAGTGGTCCTGTGGCGGGTTGGGCACTTGTTGATGGTCTTCTGTATTGACATTGGGTTTCTGAGGCAAGGGGCCCTTCTGCTTTGACTTGTTGCCCTGCTTCTTCTTCTTGGCCATATTCAACGGCTCCTTTCCAGTGATTGCACAGAAAAGCCAGTCTTCTCTTATAGACGAGAGTATGGATTGGTTAACTAATTGTCAGTTGTTGATGTCGTTTTCAGACGATGTTTTCAATGGGCTGTAATGGGCCAAAAATTCGGCCGCTTTGTTTATACAAGATTTTGGACACGGGCCACTACTCGCAAAACAGTTTGGGAAAAGGTAAAACTCATTGAAACACTACATTTTATATAGACAAATGGTGTTGAAAATAGGATATTTGAAAACAGGGATACATGTTTAGTTATAGTATCAAGTATTACTCAAAATGGCTCTCAAAATATAAAACTAATCAATACAACGATCAAAACCGATAACCCAGAATACCTAGAAACACCTGATTCAATACCAACTAAATGAGCATTGGCACCATTAGCTGAAGCTTTTGAAGACCCTGTTGTCACTGGAGCAGTCACGGTAGATGTATCTGTGTTATCTGTAGCAGTTGAAGCTATAGATGCAGCATATTCATTTGGGTAATAGGAAGAAATAGCAGTTCCATTTGAGGATCCATATGGTTTCAAATAAATCAATAACCAATCATTTTGACAAATTGCAGGTGATGAAGCTCCTCTCCATGTCAAAGTGTAATTATGAGCATCTGGTGTACTTTTGCAAGCAACAAATAGCTTATGATATTGATAATACAAATAGTTATCATTGATGTAAAAAAGGCCGTTAGATGTTTTGCTATCTTTTGAAACACTCACAACACCCGATACAGGGTTAATAGTTAAATAATAATCTTTACCCTCTTGACCAATTGTAAATTGGCCAGTGCTCAAGATACTAGCATTTCTCACTGTTTGTGTTGCACTGTCATATGTTTTGGCCTCACTGTCATAAAAAAACACTTCATTACTATCAAAGAATCTTAACAACTTTAGATCTATAGTCTCAGCATATTTATCGTAATCCAAAGGTGTGACTTGAAGGGATCCAATATTTTGGGATCCATCAGCTAATGAAAGGGAAGCACAAAGAAGGAGTACTAAACCTGTGATGATTTTGTAAAACATGATTTGAATCTGAGGTTTTCCAAAATGAAAATTCAATAGGACAGCTCAAATAGTCCAAGCACTAAAAGAAATCTAATCCATCTTTATATATTTGAGCCTTTTCATTATTCTCTTGTCTTTGGTCGTTGTGTCCACTAAAATTTCTTGTTTTAGTTCATGGAGTTATCGTTGATCAAGATTCTGGGTGCCAAATTATGGACCAATTTGGGAAGGCTAAAATGAGATGCATCAAAACCGTTGAAGATCTTATACAGAAGATGAAATGTATAAATCCTCGAGACAATAGATATTTCAAACCATCACAATTCAAAAGTACACTCTTCATAGCCTTTATTAATCCAATCTTGAACATTTTTCAACTCCGAAGACTTCAAGTTCTTTTAGCTTCGATGATTATGTAATTTCTTTGGTGAATCACAGCAAATATAAAAAGAAGATGGCACATTTGCAATTCAACAAACTCCTTTCCATTTTAAAAAGTTGTCTGTATGCTTAAATCAATTACAAAGAATTCAATCAATCAATTCAAATTACAAACTCATAAATTCAACCAATCAAGAAAGATGCACGTTCAATACATTAAAATGAGATGGGGAACTGGTGATAACTATTCCTATCTATTGACGGATGATAAAACAACAGATTCATGGATCATTGACCCTGCTGAACCTCATGAGTATGTCTTTCCCCATTCAATTATATTAATCCCATACTAACTTTATTGAATCTAGAGTCCTCCCTGAATTGGAAAAAGCTAGTGTCAATTTAAAGGCCATAGTTAATACCCATCATCATTATGATCATGCTGGGGGTAACGAAGAATTACACAAGAAATATAAAGTCCCAATCATTGCTGGGAAGGATTCTCCATTAGTTTCACACGTTCCAAAAGATGGAGAAGTTTTAAAACTTGGTGATTCAATTGAAATCACTGCAATTCATACACCATGTCATACCCAGGATTCTATATGTTATTATGCCACTGATAAAGCCAATCCTGATCAAAAATTTGTGTTTACAGGAGATACTTTATTCACTGCAGGTTGTGGTAGATTCTTTGAAGGTACCGGTGAAGAAATGGATACTGCTCTGAATTTCAAATTGGGTAAATTACCAAAAGATACATTGGTTTTCCCAGGTCATGAGTATACTAAAGGTAATGTAAAATTTGCAGTTAAATTACTTTCAAACAATGCTATTCAACAGTTGGAGAAATTTGTTAATGAGAATGAAATCACCACTGGTCAATTTTCCATTGGTGATGAATTAAAATTTAATCCATTTATGAGATTAGATGATGAACAAATCACAAGTAAATTAAAGATTGATTCAAGAAGTTTGGTTATGGATAAACTAAGAGAGATGAAAAACAATTCATAAGTATAAAACATTTATTTATTTTAGTTTAAAAAAGAGTTGTAGAGCTTCACTGTACCATAACGTCAAAAAGATTCACATAGAGAGTAAACCTCGACTTTATAAAGGAAAGTGAAAGCACCTGGATTTCAATTTAACTCTGCTGTCCACACTTTTGCACCATGGAAGAAAAGGTTATAATCAAAAGTTCTATCTATTTTCAGAGTCAATTTTAAATTATCTATCTGAAGAAAAGGAAAAAAAGAGTTGTAAAAAGGTTTAAAAAGTTTATGGATTTGAAATTTTTCTTAAATATCAGCGAATTTTACCCTGCCATTGTGACTTTCGCGAATATATTATTTACTTTCGCGAATGTGCTTTACTGGTTTCAAATTTGGGGGCAACGATTAACAAAGCATTTCCAAATGACAAGTGTTTGAATTGAAAAGTCAATTGAGTGTTTAAAGATGGCTAAGGGAAATAAGAAAAGTGAAGAGAAAGTGAAGGATGCTACTCCTGCTGAAACTACATCTGCTGCTGCAACTGGAGAACAAGAAGAAGGAATCATTTTGAATGATGATCTATCTGATGAAGAAGTGGAAAAGGAGAAGAAAGAAGTGAAGGAAGAATTGGCTAAAGAAGATGAAGAGAAAGAGGAAATAAAGAAGGAAGAACTCAAAGAAGAACCAAAGAAGGTTGAAAAAGAGGAAAAAACTGAAGCTATTATTGATGAAAAAAAAGAAGATATTGCTAAAGAACCAACATCAACAACTAAAGATGATGAAGGTCCACCTCCTCCTCCAAAACCAATTAGACCATTATCACCAAGACAAGAAGCTAAGAAGAATTTGAAAGATGCATTCCCAACAGTTGAAGATTCCACAATTGAAGCTATATTGATTGCATCTTCATTCAAATTAGAGCCAGCTTTTAATGCCATGTTGTATTTATCAGATCCAACAGCTATGAAATTTGAAGAAGTTCCAATTGTTGAAGAAGCCCCAACACCGCGTCGCCAATTGACTCAATTAGAACAAGATGAGATGTTGGCTAAGAAATTGGATGAAGAATTTAACAAGAGTCAAAGAAGACGTCATAGACATCATCAAGAAGGTGGACAATATCCAGGAGAAGGTCAACCACCTCGTGGAGCACCAAGAAGGTCGCAAAATGTACAAGATGAAGATGAAGATGATGATATGTTTTCAAATTTTGTTGAAAAGGATTTACCACAAATTAAAGAGCAATTTTCCAAGAATTTAGAAGAAACGAAAACAAAATTCAACAGTTGGGTATCTGGTTGGAAAAAACAATATCAAACTACAAGTGAAGAATGGCAACAAAGAAATAGACAACAAGGAGGAGGATTTGGTCAACAGCAACAACCAAAATCACAGCAACGTCGTCGTTATGAATTTGAACAAGATCCTGAAGAAGTTGATGTTCGTGATTTCCATGGTATTTCACTAGGTAATAATGATGATGAAGATGAAGAGGATAGACCAAAGTTACCAAATCGTAATAGAGCACAATCCACAGATTTATATGGAACTCCAAAACATGGTTCTAAACCATCCACAACTACCTCAACAGGAGGAGGAGCTCAAAACAAATGGGAACCATTACAAACAAAGAAACCAGATCCTATAAGTTCAAGTAATGCGGCAGAAGATGATGATGATTTCTTGTTATCAGATGATGAGTTGTTGAGCAGCTCAAAGAAGAATTAGGATCGTGTTTTTATTTCAGCCAATTTCAAGATTATGTACACAATTATTTTTATTTGTAGAAATTAATTCTATTAAAAACAATAAACACTAAACAAGATAAAATAAATAACGATAAAAAACAAATGCAATAAAAACCTTTTGAATTGAAAAAACCTCTGTAAAAAAAAATTTCACCCGTGACCCCAATTTTTTTTCTTCGGGTATACGATCTGGGGTACAAAACAAATAACATAAATGATGATGATGATGGTAATAATAATAATACTTCGTAAAAGTCATGAAAATGGCATGATATCTATGTCTCTGATCATAGATACACCAACTTAAGATCTAGGTCTCTCTTAGTTTAGTTGTCTTTTGTCAATGACAACGGCAGTAAAGAATTGGTTTGAATTGGAACTCAAGACCGGTTGTTGGATAGATAAAGTTGGGAATTTTGTAGGTTGTAAAGTAGTAGTGGTTGAGAGTGATGATAGAGTTAGGGAGGCTGAAGTTGAAGGTTTTGTTGATACTGAAGTTGATGATGGAGAAGGAGATGGGAGTGATATTGGGGAGCCGTTAACAGCAGCGATGATGGTTGATAGCAAGATGGTGAAGTAGACAGAGAATAGCATTGTAATAAGGAGTGTGTTGAAGTTGGATGGTGATAGTGATAAGGAATGAATGAATAGTTGGGAGTAAAGAGGGAAAAGATGGTGATTTAAATGAAGCCATTCTTTAATACTCGTTGCAGGGATGTGTTTTAAAGATGTTTTGCAAACTTGTGACCGCGTCCCGGGTCTACGCGACCTGAGTCCCCTCCTGCGACAGGGCTAGACCCCAATGGCTATGGGTGATGCTAGGGACTAGTCCCTCTGACTGTGCCTGTGAAAGTCGAGAATTGGACGGGAAAAGTGTTGAAAGGGGAATTAAATGGTGGAAATTATGGTGATGATGGTGATTATGGTGATCTGGTTACTGAAGAGGGTAGTGTTATTGAAAAGGGAGTGTTGTTGTGGACTAGGACACTCCAGAGTTATCGATCGAGATCATCTCAAATGTACCTAATTCTATTCTACTGGAAACTTTTTATTCCACTATCATCGATGAGATCATATCAGCTTTAATTAGGCCCATGCCATGCCATTTTAAATCTCGCTTTTCTGACACAAAACAGATTGGAAACTCTGATTTTGGAATGAGAATTGGCTCAAAAGAGGCTCAGTGACTGTAACATACTCGATATTGACGCTTTTGGAATGGTTGGAAAGAGTATAAATAGCACTTCCACTGCATTACTCAACCCAGAAAGTAATCAGACACTCACAAATACTCTCACTGCTCTTTTTCACCTTTGTTTTCCGTTGTTTTCAATGTTTCAACACGGTTAAATAATTTTCGCGTTTTTGGGTTGGAAATGTAAACAAACAAGATGAGACATAAACAATCAAACATGAAACAGATTTAGTAGGCACAAAAAACAAGAAACTGCCTTGTACGAAGGAGATCTATCACAATCAATTAGCTTCTGGAAGGTTGCAATTATTTCACTGACTTTTATCTGCCTTAATTGTGGGATTCGATTGAAAGTTGAAACACCTCCTTAAGATTGTACAACTCGAAGACGTGTAGCCTACAGTAGAGGCTTAGAGACAGTAATTAAAAATAGCTTCAGTTCATCAGATGTAATTACTTACAGCTCGTTCATTACTTCGGGAGGCTTGTTAACAATTACAACGGTTAAACAGATCTGAACAAAGGGCTGAGCATAACCAAGTCTCTAAAATTAATCACAACTACATCAACATCCGAAAAAAGAATTATAATGTATAGTAATGACTGTTTTTGGTGATACAAACAATGTTAATTTTCATATGTAAGACTTCTAGTTGTTTTTAAACGAATTGAATAGTTAATATAATATTTTTTTTGGACTTTTGATAAATTGATACTGTTTGAGTTGATTGATGCATGATAAAAAACTTGTAAACTTCAGTACTTAAACGACACATAAACAAATAGCATAGCGAACTGAATGATAATAAATATAATTAGCAATTAATAAATGAATGGATGGGCTTATGAACTTTCCAAAGCTAAAACCAAAACAGTTCTTGATGGAATATAAACTTGCAAGAAATTTTTTCTATTATTCCATGGGAAATCAGTAGTGAAGAATCTTGTATCATTATCAACACGATCATGACCACCAAATTCACCAATATCTGAGTTCAAAACAATCTTGTAAACACCTCCAGTTTCAATACCAACTCTATAATCTGTAAATGATTGAGTTGGATTCAAATTGAAAATGAATAATAACCCAGCTTTTTCATAAACTAAAACTTTATCTTGTTCATTTTTCAAAGAAATAAAAGTATCTCCCTTTTTATGTAACCAACCATATTTTGCCTCCAAATGTTGCATTGCAGAATCAAATTTATATAAGAATTTATATCTTAATAAATCATCATCAACTAAATTGAATTGTCTTCTTGCATAATGATAACTATCACCATTATTAACATTTGGGAAATCTAACCACTCAGGATGACCAAATTCATTACCTTCGAAATTTAAATAACCTTCACCACCAAGAGAATGTGTTAATAATCTGATAATTTTGTGTAATGCTAACCCACGATCAATAACTGGTGTTAATGGTGACATTACACTCATATTTGTATACATTTCAGCATCCATCAACCAAAAAGCCAAAGTTTTATCACCAACTAAAGCCTGGTCATGGGATTCACAATATCCAATAGCCTTTTCAGTATAACGACGATTAGTTAAAGTATGAACGATTTTGTTTAGATCCCAATCTTCATCTTTTTGTTCCTTGATGATCTTGATCCACATATCTGGTAATGCCATGGCTAATCTATAATCAAACCCAACACCACCATCAATTCTTGGAGTACCTAAAGTTGGCATACCTGAAACATCTTCAGCAATTGAAACAAAATTTGTTGAATTTTCCTTAGCAACCAAATTAATTAAATCATTAGCCAACATTAAATAAGTTATAGCTTCATAATCAACAGCTGAATTTTCATGTAAATATTCATTATAGTCACCACTAAAAGCACCACCTGCACCAACACCATGGTGTAAATAAAGCATTGAAGTGACACCATCAAATCTAAACCCATCAAATTGATAAACATCTAGATAAAATTTTAAATTTGATAATAAAAATCTTAAAACTTCATATTTACCATAGTTAAACAGTCTTGAATCCCATAAAGGATGTGAGCCTTTCCCACCACTATGGAAGTATTGATAATCTGTACCATCAAAATTATTTAAACCATCATCAACATTTTTAGAAGCATGAGAATGAACAACATCTAATAAAACAGTTATACCCAATCCATGAGCAGTATCAATCAATTCTTTTAAATCTTCAGGTGTACCGAATCTTGAACTAATTGCAAAGAAATTTGTAACTTGATAACCAAAACTTGCATAATAAGCATGTTCCATAATAGCCATCAATTGAACGGTATTATAACCCAATTTTGAAATTCTTGGTAAGACATTTTGAGTAAATTCTTTATAAGAACCAATTTTAGGATCTGGAGTTGAAATACCAATATGAGCTTCATAAATTCTTAAACTTTGTGAAGGAATTGGTCTTTTATTTTGGAAAACATATGGTGTTGAAGGATTCCAAAACCTAGCTTCAAAAGCAACTTCTTTACTCTCTTTTGGAGGTTGAGTAGCTCTAGTGATCCAAGCAGGTAATCTATATAATTTTTCACCAGAAGGTAAGATTAAAACAATTTTAACTCTTGAATCATGAGGAATAGAACCTTTTGATAAATGAATATCAAAATTCCCAAAAGAATCCTTGGTTAATTTATGAGTAAAATCCCAATTGTTGAAATCACCAACAAGGTAAGCTTCCACTGCATTTGGGGCCCATTCTTTATAATTAATTGAACCATCTTTTGGATCAATTTGGAATCCATATTTTTTATAAGAATCAGCAAATTTAGTCAACCCACCTTCATTTTGATCAAATTTTGTTAACCAATCATCAGCAAGGGCTCTTCTTTTGGCCAATTCATTAGCGAAAGGTGTTAACCAAGGGTCAGCGTCAACAGCACCTTTAACAGATGGTGGAATATTGGACATTGTTGTAATTGTTGGTTTCGAGGGGTTTGTCAATGATGATGAGATGAGAACAAGCAAAAGTTAAGAACAAAGGCAGATTGGATGGTTTGGAAAGGGCCAGCAGATGTAATTGATTGAATTATGAGCAAAAGACAGGATTATTACTCTTTTGGGCAGTCAGGGATCCAATTGTATTGCAACTTTGTCTTGTTTAAATTGATTTGAATTGAATTGAATTAACTGAATTCTATTATCTGGGGAGCAGCCCACCACCACCAGCCAGCAGCCCATAATCAAATTTTAACAAGGGAAAAAATTGGTAGGGGCAGCAAAAAAGAAATGCACTCACGCTGGGGGTCGAACCCAGAATCTTCTGATTAGAAGTCAGACGCGTTGCCATTACGCCACGCGAGCTACTTGGATGTTGCGTTAAGTCTGCTGGATAAACACACTGTGTAGTGCTGGTTTAGAAATTATAATTTTTGAAGGCTTTATGAAAGGAAATACTAGATATAAAGCATACTGAATTAATCGTTAAATCAAGGGCTATCTTTTGAATATAATTTTAGCTTGTTTGGAGAAGTTTCAAAAAAGTAATTATTAATTTATTTTCAAAAAAATATCATGTACTATTTAAGTATTTAATGTCATATATTTATAAAGTGCTAAAATAACCACTTGTCGCGGACGACTATATAATTATTATGCAGATTTATTCATTGATTTGTTATAATTATTCGTTACTGCAATGTATCTGACTTATTATTCTTGCTTTGATAGAGAAAAAAAGATATTCAGTTTCTATGATTTTGAATGATCACTAGTACAGCTCTTTGATAGTGAATTTTCAAAAATCAATGGAGAAATTACTAGACCAGAGGAAGATCCGTCATTTGAAAGTATTTTATACAAAGGTAAGCATGAACACTCTCGTCCCTTCGTGAGCTATAAGGTTCTTTACTTTATAGTATATCCTATCGGTTTTTAATACATTATTTCTTGACGAAGTGCTCTGATAACTGTGTATAAATTGAATTTTATTAGCTGTATAATAATATACACCACTTCAAAGGAAATAGGTATAACTATCTGAATTATCACCTCTAGCATCAGGCTTTGAAGTCCCATTCAACAAACGATCTCTTTTTTCAATATTTTTACTTCTAAGATATAATCCTTGAGCAGCATAAGAAATAATAGCAAAAGAAATACAACCCAATGAGAATCCATGACCCAATTTATACTCTGGAGCATCATTTGATCTATAAATTTGACCTATAACAACACCGGCAACATTTGCAAGTGATAATTGTATCCCAACAGAAGTAGCTCTTTTCAAGTGTCCAGCAGTGTTATTGTTCAACCAACTCAAGTTCAATCCAGGACCAGCAAAAGCTCCAACTGTTAATATGTAGACACCACACATTCTAACTGAGTTACTATTGGAGGCAAGCAACATGATATAACCAATGATTGGGAAACAAGCAGCGAGTATTAAGAAAGGTAATCTTCTTTTGAAATAATCTGAGACAGTTGCAATCATAATGAATGATATGGATCCGACAACATAGATAGGAATAGTTAAAAGTTGAGTTTTCAAAGTTGTATAACCCATTGCTTTAACAATTTGAGGTAAGAAGGTTGAAAATCCATAAAACACAACCTCTGCGCAAAATTGACTAATAGCTGAGAGATAAACTTTTGGATCTTTAAAAGCAGCTTTAACATCTTGGGAACCTTCTTTTTCCTTTTCTTGGTCTTTCAACAAGTTATGTTCATGAACTCGTTTTCTCATTGAATAATAAGCTCTTTCCTCATCATTTAAAAACCAAGCCTTTTCCATATTATTTGGTAAAGCACCTAGGACTAGAATAGCACCAGTGATGGATATACAACCTTCAATGATGAATAGCCATTGCCAACCTTTTAACCCATGCAAACCATCCATTTGTAACAACCCATAAGCTAGTAAACCACCAATAGCACCTGCCAATGCAGCTGCACTAAACAAATATGACACTCTATAAGCAAGTTCGTTTCTTTGGTAAACTGTAGCCAAATATAATGTTAAACAAGGGAATAACCCACCTTCAATCAAACCAAGTAATAATCTAATAACAACAATCCCACTAAAGTTTTTAACAAATCCAGAAAAGATACCAACCAAAGACCAAGAAAATGTTAGTGTTGCAAGCATCACAGCAGGTTTAACTTTTTTGAAAAGAATTGTACATGGAGTTTCCACCAAGATATAAGTCACATAGAATAAACTAATTGCAGCACTATAGTTTGATGGTGATAAATTCAAATCTTCAATCAAACCAGCAGAAGCGGCATTACCGATGTTTGAACGGTCCAAGTAAGCAATCAAATAGACCCATCCGATGATTGGTAAGATCACCATATCCATTTTACGCAACATTTTCTTCTCCAATTGAGGATTTTTTTGACCTTCATATTCGTCAATAAGGGAATCTGATTTGAAGTCCAACACACTTGTTTGTGATTCCAATTGGGTCTCTGTGATTTCTTCCTGAACGACAGGTTTTTTCTCTTGGGAGCTCATGATTATTGATAATCCAAGATGGATAGTTGATGAATTGGTTTATTGAAAGGATGGCATTGGGGGTCTTATATAGACATTGTAGAGATAGAACCCTCACCTCAGCTTCAAGATGATATTCTTTAGTGATAACAATTATCAAACATCTACTTAATCAAGCATCAAGCTGATCAGAGCTTAACACCATGATGATAATCTGGGTACAATACATTATCAATCAGAATTTTCGTTCATGTGATTTCAAATCTGCCATTTTCAACGTAAAAAATATTCTTTATCTGAAGTTTTATTTTCCGCTTGATGTAAAAAAATGAGTATAAGTTGTTAGAGGGATTCTGGGCTCTGAATAATGAAAGAATAATGATGGAGTTCTACAGTTTCTGAGCATGAGTTGAATCGAATCGAATGGTTTAATCTTTGATCTTTTAAGTGGCTGGTGTCCATTTCATTTCCGTTTGATTGGATGATGAGTAAAAGATGTTTGAGTTACTTGATTCTTTCAGTTTTTAATGGCCGTTTTTTCGAGACTTTTTACATCTGTAAAAACCAGCTGTGATTAAGTAATTGCTAATTCATAGGCCAAATGGACCTCATTTCCAATATAAATAAGTAGACGGGTTTATTTGGAATTTGTTCTTTTACTCTTTGATCCCATTATCAATCAACCATGACTGCCCTCCAAGAATTGCTGGCCATCAGAGGAGGTGCCCCTTTAAAAGCTGATGAAGTCGAAATCACTGGATCAGACCCCATATACAAAACACCTTTCAAATTAGGTGGAACCACTGCTGAGGTATTAGCTGCCTGTGGTGTTGCTGCTAATGATTTATGGGAATTGAAAACAGGTCGTCGTCAGAAAGTTTCAGTGAATGTTGAAGCTGCTGCTGGTGGGTTGGATGAAAAAAACAACAGTTTGGCTAAAAATCAAGATGGTGAATATTCCAGAATTGAAGGTTCTGAATCGATGAAACATATGGCTAGTTTGACTCAACCTTGGGAAACAAGTGATCATAAATGGTTCTTACCTCATACAAATTTAAAACATTTGGAAGCTCGTGTTTTGAAAGTTCTTGAGTGTGAAAGTACTGTTGAGTCTCTACAAAAGGCAATCTCAAAAAGGACTGCTCAAGAATTGGAGGATTCCATAGCTCAAGCTAACGCATGTGGAGGAATTGCTCGTACTGAGGAAGAATGGTTGCAGCATCCTCAAGGGAAATACCTATCTTCTGTCCCTGTTGTGGAAATCGCTAAAATCATTGATAGTCCTAAAGAATCATTATCTGATAAAGGTGATATGCCATTGTCTGGGGTTCGTGTGTTAGATTTGACTAGAATTCTTGCTGGACCCGTTTGTGGACTTACTTTAGCTGAACTAGGGGCTGACGTTTTAATGGTTACAGCTGAGAAACTACCTCAAGTGAATGAGTTTGTACGTGACACAAGTCATGGGAAACGTTCGTGTTTTCTTGATATAAGTAAAAAGGAAGATGCTTCCAAGCTCAAGGAATTGGTTAAAGATTGTGATATCCTCATTGATGGTTATAGACCAGATAGATTGGCTGCTTATGGATTTGGCCCTGAAGAATTAGTGAAATTAAGACCTGGATTGATTCATGTTTCCATTAGTTGTTTTGGTTCTGGAGGTCCTTTCAGTTCTAGAGCGGGCTGGGATCAAGTTGCTCAAGCTGTCACAGGAATGTGTGTTAAACAAGGTGAATCAATAGGATCCAACAAACCTCAATTGACTCCAGTATTTGCATGTGATTATGTTTGTGGTCGTCTTGGAGCGTTTGGTGCAATGCTGGCATTGAATCGTAGAGCTCAAGATGGTGGCTCTTATTCCATTCAAGTGTCTTTATGTCAAGCAGCTATGTTGTTACAAAGACAAGGTTATGTTGATGATTTCCTAGATGCTCCAAATTTGATTTCAAAGGAATTGTTTGAGAAGTATCAAGTAATTGAAGATAATACTGCTTATGGTGATTTAAAAGTTTTAGGTCCAGTGCTTAAACTGTCAGAGACTCCTTGTCAATGGGTTAGAAAAACACCAAAACTAGGACAAGATAAGCCAGAATGGTTATAAAAGTTACACAAAGATATATCCTACATCACTACATTAATTAAAGAAACATATTTTTTTTATCTATAACTGTATTAAACACTTTCATCTCTAAAAGATAACCATGCTAAAAAAAATTAGAGAATTTTATAAAAGAACAAAAAAAACAAAATTGTATTAAAAAGTTGATTAACGAGAATTAAAAAACCCCTTAAAATTCATCATCAGATGAAACATAAGCATCACCTAATTCCTTCTTCTTTTTCATTCTTTCCTTCTTCTTCTTTCTTAATTCAGCAGAAGATAATTTGGTCTTCTTTTTAGCTGAAGCAATCTTGTTACCCATAGCATCAAATTTATCACCTTCATCATCTTTCTTTTCTAATCTTGGACCAGCACCTTGACCAGAAACCCAGTTATGACCTGATGGAGTCATTCTACCATCCATAACAGCCCAGACTTCTTCAGTTAAATCTTTGGTGAATTCAGCAGAATGGGTAATGATAATAATACCACCTTCGAAAGCTTTCAAAGCTTTAGATAAAGCACCTAAGGAATCACGATCCAAATAATTGGTTGGTTCATCTAAAACAATTAAATGAGGTCTTTGCCATGTACAAGCAGCTAAAACTAATTTAACTTTTTGACCACCAGATAAACCTCTGATTCTTGAATGGGAAACTAATTCAGCATCTAGACCCAACATAGCACAGTGAGATTCAATTTCTTTTCTGGTTAAAGCACGGAATTGACCTGAGGCTAAAGCTTCTTTCATATCAACTTCAGCAACCAATTTGGAATGAGTTTCAACCAATTCACCTCTTGGTAACCAAGCGTTATCAACAGACATCATTGGAACCCATCTTTCATTCTTCATACCAACATTTTCACCTAATAAGAAAGAACATTCATATTCATAAGAGTTCTTGAATTTTCTTCTAGCATGAATTTCATGAATACGTCTTGGAGTACCTTCAATTTTGAAGATTTTCTTCATACCTTCTTCATCATTTTCATTAATTTGTCTTGAAGCACGATCCATAGTTTCTCTATCTTCACCAGTTTGGAATCTCCATTGGATATATTCAGATGGAGTCTTATCTAAATGAGAATCAATATGAGCAAAAGCATGTTGTTTAATGTAAGCAATACGAGCATTTTCATGAACGTAAACATCACCAATGGTTGGTAATAATTCACCAGTTAAAACATTAATCAAAGTAGATTTACCAGCACCATTTGGACCAATAACAGCAATTCTTGATGATAAAGAACATTGGAAATTGATATCTTGAATTTGTGGTTTAGAAGTACCTGGGTATTGGAAAGTCATGTTTGAAACTTTAACAATAGCTTTTTGTTTAGTTTTAACACCTTCTAAGAAACCTGGTTCTGGGAATCTGAATTCTAAATCTGAAGCACCTAATTCATAGTATGATTTAGCAGATGGAACACGTTTAACGAATTCTGACAAGTTACCTTTGTATTTTCTTAATTTGAAACCTTCATAATGGATAATGTATTGAACAACATTGTCTAAGAAACCAGAATCATGGGAAACAATGATTGAGGTAATACCACAAGTGTTCAAGTAGTTAACTAACCAAGCAACATTAACGGTATCCAAATGGTTAGTTGGTTCATCCAATAATAAGATATCAGCATTTTTCAAAACAGCTCTAGCTAAAGCCAATTTCATTTTCCAACCACCAGATAATGATTGAATTGGCATAGCAATCATTTCATCAGAGAAACCGAATTCTCTTAATTTATCAGTAATAGCTTCTTTAGTACCTAAAGCACCGTCACCGAAAACGAAGTCCAAGACTGAAGTATCAGCTTCAGTACCATCAATATCATGTTCAACATAAACAGTTCTACATTCTTCTTGAGTTGGGAAACCTTCAACTTGACCGTTAGCAATAGCTCTCATCAAAGTAGATTTACCAGCACCATTTGGACCACATAAACCATATCTTCTACCACGTTTCAAACGGAATTGAGTCTTGTTCAACAAGATTTTAGCACCATAAGCCAATGAAAATTCACAGTTACATAAATCTTCACCTTCATCATCTTCATCTTCAAATTGAGGTGGTTGAGGAATGTTATCAACGGCACGTTTTCTCCATTCATCAATATCAGCTTTAGCTTGTTTTTCATGTAAGAAGACAGTTAAGTATGGAGTTAAATGTTCAAACCAAGCTTGTTGATCAATGATTCTTTCATCAATCAAATCACCAGCAATAGCTGAAGCATATTCCAAAACAAGTTGGAATCTTGGAGCAACTTCGGTTTTTGATTCAGCGAAAATGTTGGTCAATTCCTTTTTGGTAACTTCAGTAGCACCTGCATGGGAAACTTCTGGAATGACATCATCAGCACCGATAGCACCAACTCTTCTCAAAGTGTTCAAAGCTCTTAAAGTAACTTCACGAGCTTCTGGATCAGCAATGGTTTGGTAGTTTGATTTCAAAGCTGGCAACATCTTATCCAAGAAAGGAGCAACAACTTGTGGATCATCAACCAATTTACACATGTTATCAACAATAACAGCAGCTTTACGTTTGATTGAAGTATCACGTTCAGCTAAACCTCTTGATAATAATGGAACCATGATGGATAAAGTAGCAGTGGTGACTTCAGAAACAAAAGTAGTAGCACCTAAAATGTGGACAGTTTCTGGAACTTCAGATGGTTTACCAATACATTCAATCAATTTTGGAATAAATTTTTCAATATCCTTGTTGTGAACAGTGTTGGTAGAAGTGGTGATGGTAGCAGTAGCAGCTTTTTTAACTTCTGGTTTAGTATCCCACATAGCTTCAGACAAGACTGGGATTAATTCAGGCATTCTTAAAGCAACTTGTTCTTCAGCAGATTCAACAACAGCAGTGATGGCAGATAAAATGGCAATTTTTTCAGTCCATTTGTTGGTTTCAGCTAAAGCTTTGGTTAAATGTGGCAACAAAGCTTTGATAGAATGTGGGTTGACAGCTTTTGAGATGGCAACTAAAGCTTTAGCAGCAATATCTTTGATGGTGTTATCTTTGTCACCAGATTTGGCACAGATGGCTGGGACCAAGTCAACAACGAATGGTTCAACAGATGGGCTCAAGTTGTTTTCAGAGGCAATGTGAGCAACAGCTTCAATGGCGTTAGCAGCAGATTTCTTGTTTTCAACAGATTTCTTCAATTCAGCAAAGAATTGTTCTGGAACATCATGTTCAATGATTGAGCCATTGAGGAAAGAGGCAACGTTTGTAGCAGCGGCTTCTCTTTCTTCAGGAGTGGCGACACTCAACTTGGTGAAGAGTTCGTTAAGAACCTCAACGGATTGTTTAGAATCAGACATGACTGAGGTGTTTCGACGAAGAGTTGAAGAGGAAGTTGGAAAGAGAAAAAGTGGAAAAAAAATTTTTTTTATAGATCAACGTGAAAGCAGAGGAAAAAAAATTTTTAAAAAGAAAAAAAAAGAAAAACCGCGAAGAGGCTACCCGGGCGACGGTTTTTAGGTGCGATGATTGTAAAAAGAAATTGGGCTCTTGGTGGTGAGATGTTTCTTTTGGGAGTGTTGGGATTGAGAAGGGAAGAGAGTGGATTTGTAGCGAGGAATTTGTTGTGGGAAATTGTTGGACTCGTGATGGGATTCTGATTGGCTTCAGCACGGACGCTACTGGCTGGAAAGTTTTGTATGGGCTGATTACGTAAGGAGAGGATGTATCGACACGTGTATTTGTGGCAGAACGTATACGTCACGTGGTTGAAAGAGTTAATATTGTATTGTAGCTATATAATCACCATTGAGGACCAACTTTGAACCCAACAAGTTTAGCTCGTTGAGAAGTAATGATATCAGGACTGTTGCGGCTAGTTCTCCCACTGGATCTACCATCTCTAGACTTAACAAGTATTCCACAAAACTCACCTTTGCAGCTAGGTGACAATGAGTACAATCCTATAATGATTGACTTTAAAATCTCATAAACTTGTGACCTAGCCATTGTATTGGTGATCATTTCAGGTGACAATTGCAAGTCAATCAAACTGGACATCTTTCTCATTCTCTTGGTGTATGAAGGCAACAATGTTAACCCATTAGTTGAGAACAAAGTTGTGAAATCATAATGTCTTATTTGAACATCTTTGAAAATGGAATTGTACTCTTGAAATGGATCACGGGTGAATCTTTTACCTGTTAGATAATTATAAACAATTTGCATAGGTAATGTCAATTGATTTGATTGATATATTGAACGTTGCTTATGTGCTTCATTATGGAAATGAACTTCATTAGGTGATGCTCTTTTGGCCTCAAGTGATGAACTTCTTGTAGAGAAAATTGAAAAATCTCTTTCAATAAGCTTTCTGAAAGGAACATAATCTTGTAAAGCAGTGATCAAAGTTGAACGGTATCCATTAGAAACATCATCAATATCAACGATTCCATATGTGTCCTTCAAAAGTTTTGAATTCATATCCAAACATTCATCATCTTCAACAATTAGTACATCGAATGAAAGATTTTTGATAAACTTCTTCATGAGATGACCTTCAATTAAAACATCAAAGACAAAATAAATCAACTGTGGACATTTAGAAATCAATGTCACTTTTGTTTCAGAGACAGGCATCATCTCCATCATGGTTCCCCTTCTTTTATGATACCCATCCCTAACCTCGTCTTCACATGGAGGTGCAACTTTTTTAGTCCAAGCAAAATCAGCAGAATAGATACAGTGGACTGAGCGATAAAGGATTGGACCAAAGATATTTAGGAAATGTCTATTGACGGGCATCATTTCCACTGGTGAGACTCCAAAGAGTACAACAGTTTCGAAAATGTGAGCAGGTAAGTCTTCAATAGTTAGTGGGATTGACATTTTGAGTGTTTGTGAATATAATTACCAAGAGAACAAGAATTAAAGAGGTGCCATTAGTCGGAAACATGCTCTTTATATAATAGTTTTCGAATTAGTTTCTGTTCATTAAAGTACAAAACTTTCTGTCAAGAGTTCGATTGACCCTTACAATTTGGCAGCTGTAACAGAAAAATTTTGAAATTTTGTACACAGAAAAACTCTTCAATAGTAAAGAGAAAGAAAAACATCTACTCATTAGACTCAAACATCTCATGTATTTACATTAGCTATGAACCGATCAACCATACATCCAACTTGAACTAGGACATTTCAATCCTCCCATTCAACTAGTGGTCTGGCATTTTGAGCATCCAAATATTCTCTATCTTGGGGACCAATTTTAAAACCAAGAAGCTTCATTTTATTGTAAGTGATAACATAAGTATCATTGTAATAAGCAGAATCAGCAGTTTTTGAAACATATCCACAAAACTCAGCTTCACAATTTGGACCCACGGATTGCATCCCAACAATCGCAGTTGTCAATATTTTATACAATGAACTTCTTGATTTTAAACAAGGATCAACTAAATCGATATTCCCAGCAATAGCTTCATTTCTTTCCACAAACCCATTTTCCAAGTTATAAGTTCCATCCTTTTGTTGTACAAACTCATCTTCATGTATACTGACACCATCAAAAGCTTTGTCAGGATTTTCAAAAGGATCACAAGAATGTCTTGAACCATCACTAAAGTTATTACATATCTGCATCGTAACACCAAACTGTCTTGAAGATCTAGAACGGGAATCACAATCCAAAGCACCTGAATGAAACGTCACTTCTGAAGTTGTTGGCTCAATTTCACTGCTTTCTGTTCTAGTTTTCAAACGATTCAAATCACATTCTTGAATCTTATGGTTTGGTGCATAATATTGCAATGCTAATGCTGTCACGGAATATCTCACTTGTGAAAAGAACGGACTAATTATAATATTGTCTCTGTTCCTTATGAAAAAATCACTTCGCAAATCCAAAAAATCGGAATTTTCAATAACTAATGAATCAAATGTGATTTTCCTGATATACTTCTTCATCATGAAACCTTTCATCAAAACACCGTTGAAAAAATCCAAAATGTTTTTCTCAGAAGTAAGCAATGTCACACCTTTAACACATATAGATCTTGAGACTGGCAACATTTCAACCGAGCTCCCCACTTCTTGCTCATATTTCTGCTCTTCAGTAAGGTAGTCAGGTCCACGATATTTTGTTTGGTCAAATGCTGTAAAGTCAACATTCATAATACAATGAACCCTTGTGTAAATCTCTCTTGCAAATAAATTAAGAAAATACTTGTCTACAAGCATCATTGTAAAGGGACTCACTCCGAAAAGTTGGAGGTCTAGCAAAACTTCAATTGGTAAGCTTTTTAATTTGAAAACGTCGGTTGTCATTTTAAATGTGATTGTTGATGTACTGAAAGCTTACTGTAAAGCCAGAATAGGGATATGAGAAGGACCCAGTAATCATTTTATATCATTTGCGTCTGGTAAAGGCCTCTTCTACGAACTTTTTCATATGATGAATGAGAGACGTTTAATTTCATTGTAACGCCAGGGTCCGACAGAGAATTTAAGCATGCGCAGTTTTCTGAAGAATTGATTTTGGTGAACCAAAGGCTCAAAAGAGAACATTTATCTTGAAAGACAATTGCACCTCTAGAGGTGTACATACAACTTTTTGTGTCAAAATACCTTCGATAGCGATGGAGTTGTAAAGGTTATCTCCACTACGCTTGTGGTTTTCAAAAAATATACATAAAATATTATACACGCAAGACTAATTGTAGTCCATCCAATGGTCAATAAAATTTTCAGGCTCAGAACTTATAGGTTCCTCTCTGAAAGTGTTATAAAACAAATCAGGAGGACTGTTTTTAATAATTGCACTAGTAGAAAGAGCACCTGATTTATACTCCATTAGTTTCACACTATGTTCACAAATCTTGTCAGCAGAATCGTTCCCTGTTGGCATGTCCACAGAGTTCACCACAAATCCTAGAAACTCAGCAGTGCAACCTTTTGGTACCCTCTTCATACCATCAAGAACTATCATGAGTAAACTGTAAATATATGACTTCTCCCTTACTTTTGAGTTATGCAAGTAAATATCACTAGAGATTTCCTTGACTCTAGCAGCATGTGATTCATTCAATTCACGATCATGATCTTTATTCAAACTAAAGTCACTTTCTCTTAATGCAACATCACTGAACCATTTATTATAATCTGGATCAGCATCAAATCTGTTCCCAGCAATCAACTTATGTGTCATTTGCATCAACAAGTTCATTTGTCTTGATGGACATTCAGGAAACCCCCAAATGTCTCTACCTCCTTTGAAAACAGGTGAATGATCAGTTTGTGAATGTTTCAAATCTGAAGCTCTAGTTGTAAATTTTTTAAGGTCTCTTTGAAAAACGTTTTCTGAAGGACAAAACATCAAAGCACTTTCCAACATAGATTGACCAAGTCCTTCCAAGGGGTAATGGAAAAATGGTTGCGTTCTCACACTTCTCAAGAAATCACCTTCAATAATAATAGTATCAAATGTGATTTGTCTAACAAAATTTCTCAAATATGAACCTTCAATCATAACCTTACTGAAGAAACCTGCAATTTCTTCTTCAGAAGAAAGAATTGTAACATTTTTAGCAAACTTTGGTGGAGAATTAGGAACAGTTCTAATCATGAAGCATAATTCAGAACCATTATCAAGATCATCAATAAAACCTGGACCATCTTCGGAAAATTTTGAAACTTCAAAATCAAAACCCAAGCCGCAATAGATTCTACCATAAAATTGAGGAGCAAAAATGTTGAGGAAGTATTTGTTAACAGCCATCATCTTGAGTGGGCTCATACCAAAGAATTGGAACTCTGATAAGATTTCAATTGGTAAAGTTTCCAAAGTTAGTTTGGTCATTTCGAAATGAGATGTTTCAAAGTATGAGGGTTTAGTGATGAAAAGAAGCAAGAAACAATATTGGATAAGAGAGAATGGTTGGCTCCTTATATATTGTTTAATTGATAGTTGTTTCTGTCATAACAGAACTGAATTCTGTATTCTGTCAAGTAAATTAGACAGTTTCTGTATGATTTGATGGCCGTTTTCTGTTCAAAGGAATTCCAGAAATGGCATCCAAGAGGACAATTAGATTGTAAAAAATCTCTATTACCCACCACAGAAGGAGCCATAGCACATGAGAGCTAGTCTCATTGAGGAAAATTCTTGATAACATCTCAGATCTCACAATCACCATGATAATTCAACACAACACAGCACAGCAAATATCAAACCACCACCTATAAAAAACCAGGAAAAACCGACACCATCACCAAAGCCAAACCATTCTAATTTGATAGCTGATAACCCAGCGACATCCACTCCAAATCGATCAATGCTCTTTCCATTTGCTTCGAAACTTCAACCTTTCAAAAAATAACGTTTCCAGTCAAAACCTCGAGCTTCGCGAATTTTCAAAAAAACCATCAACAGAAAACTGAAGCCAGAAACAGCACCACCACCAGCAGAAACTCATCAATTGCCACACACTCAGTTGAAACCACGATGAAGCTACTCAAGATAATAGGCCTAGGGTCTTTGCTCCACGCAGGATACTCTTCTTACGAATACACACACTCCCAAAAGGCGCACAACACATCCATCCCCTTCCCACAGGATATAATACTCGAGGTGATCATCTCATTGTTGATTCTATCTCTTGATTTACTCTTTAGTTCTAATCAACCAAAGTTATCATTAATCAACAATGATGTTGTCAAATCGCAATTCAAACTGAAGCCAATATTGATGAAGGATGCTGTTGTTGAAGATGAAAAATTGGGTGCTGGTCCTTTCCAATTCGTTGAGAGTAAGGTCTTTTTCACAGATTTTGCTCAAAAGAGAAAAGATTATGCTGAATGGGTTGCAAAGAATAAAAAAGTTTCTGATGAAAAAAAAAGGAGGAAAATACACCTGTAGAATTAAAAGATGAAAAGACTGACGTTGAAGAAAGCAAGGCTGTTTTGAAAGAAAAAGTTGAGAAAGTTGCTGAAGAAATCAAAGAACAAAAAGAAGAAGTTGATGATGCAAAAGCTGTATTAAATGAATCTCCAAAGTCTGAGGAACTTGAGTCACCAGAGCCAGAAGTCAAATCTGCTTCTAAAAAGAAGAATGGTGGGAAGAAGAATGGTAAAAAATCAAGAAAAGCCTAACTACATTCAATCAATACTTAAAAACCATAAAGTGCTGTCCTTTGAACCATATATTTGTTGTATATTATTAAATTTATTCATGAAACCATTGAAATTAAATTGAATGTAGACGTCGAAATCATAATAGAATGAAGAAAAAAAAACCAAAAAAGAAAAAAAAATAATAATTAAAACCATAATAACCATTAAAAACCCTTCCCGTTCTTTTTTAAAATTTTTTATAAAAATGATGTAACCTCTCAAAGAATTGATACTCATCATTAATAATAATTTCATGTCCAGAATTATCAGTAGCCAATTCTTTCAAAGAAACAAATCCGAAATGATGATCCCTTAAAATTGTCAAAAAGATTGAATATAAAATTTTGTAATCAGAAATGATTATAATGATATCTAATAAATGATAAACTGTTTCAATTTGGAAATTTTGTAAAATATCAAAAACCAAATTTGAATTCAAAAATTCATAATCATCCTTATAATCTTTATTCTTTAGATATTTCTTTAATACTGCATTTTTTGATAAATTGTTGTTGAATTTATTGAGTGTATGTTCATTCAAAACACTAAATTTAATCATATTTGTGACGTCATAAGAAACTTGTTCACTAAAGTTTAACAATGAAATGGCAAATAACAACTCATCACCATACTCCAACCCTCTTGTAGAAATACTCTTAAGTTTGATCAATTTTGTTAAAGATTTGTTCAATTCTTGATTTTTTTGAAATTTTGATAAATTTGGTAATATAGTTTCCACAATTTTCTCAATTTCATATTCTTTTGATTTAGGAAATGATGGGATTGAGGATAATTTTGAATTCAATTCTTCAAACTTTTCATAATCTGAATCTTTTGATCTCTCTTGTAAAATTGTTAACCAAATATTTGATCTTAAATTTTCTGGAATCGAAGTTTTAAAACACAATTTTTTCATTTCATATTGACTTGAGTTTCTAAGCACACCGCGATCTTGTAATTCAATCCATCTTTGTATATTTTTTTCTTGAATTGACTTCATTGTGCTCATATATTCTTGCTTCTTTTTATCAACTTTTGCAGCTTTTTCAATCATCTTGGAGATATCACGTTCATGTTTTTTAGATTCATCTTTGGATTTAGGAGGCAACCAAATTGGTCTTGTAGCACTAAAAGAGTCAGCTTTCTCCTTAGAAATAAATTTCATATCTTCTAGTCCCAACTCAGATGCTTCCTTAATGGAACTTGGTAGATTAATTCCATTTGATTCACGATTTGATAATTCTTGAGCAACAAAATTATCACTTGATGCTTGGTAAAACCTTGACAAACTAGCAGCTTCATCTGGATTCTTATAAAAATAGCCACCTTTTGGTGGTGAACCTCTTGACGCAGTTGGTGTTGAAGGAGCTGATAAAGTACCAGGCAATGGGGATAATGGCATTTGAGCAGGTGATTGGGTTATAACATTCTTGAGCATTTTAGAAGATTTCCCAGATGTTGGTGAAAAAATAGTGGCTGAACCTTTAGTAAATGGAACGTTCCAAATCAATCCATCTTCAATAATTTCTTCATCTGAATTGATTTCATCAAAGTATTTTTCCCTTTGACGAAGATTTGCTTTTGCAGAACTTTTGGAATTTTGTCTTCTTAATCTATATTTTTGTGATGGAGTCAAAGTATTCACTGTAGAATTTGACATGTTTGTAGATGTACTACTCATGGGTGTAGAAGGAATACTTCCAAAACTTGAATATGATGGGAATTTGTTCAATTTTGGAGTTGAAACGCTTTCTCCTCTTAGTTTATTGACACTTATTTGAGATTCGTTTTGTGCAAATCTAGATGAATTAGCACTGGATGGAATAGATGAATGATGAAGTTGATATTTTGATTCATGGAAAGATGTATTTGAACCATTATTATGCTGTTGCATGATTGGTGAGTTCGCCATGGAAACACTCGTTATTGAAGAGTTTCTTGAATTCATTCCTTCACTGTACTCAGAAACACTGGAACTTGTAATTGAATCATTAGACACAGGTCTCTCAAGGACCGAAATTTTCGAGCTTGACCCATTAGAATTATTGCATTTACTGAGTGTTTTGAACATGGAGTCACTTGGTCTTCTAGGAAGATTGATTCCTAAACCTTTCACGTTATTTGGAGATGTAGAAGCATTAAAATTATTGGCAAATACTTGAGAGGGACTCTTGTTGATTTTTTTCAATGGTTTAGCAGAAGTGATATCAATGTCATCCAATGACACTTGATCCAGGCCCTCTTTAAGAGTTGGAAGTGTACCAGACACTGGCTCTGAGTTCATTCTATGTTGTTGAAGAGTTGACATTCTTTAAGCGTGTCAGTTTGCTGATGTTGTTGGGCTGGAAATTGGATAAAAATAACCTCAGGAGAATGGAATGATTGCAACTTATGAGAAACAGCAGAATAAAAAGTGAAGATAGCGAATGACTGTTCTGGATGTCTCAATAGTGTGAAGCAAACATGTACTAGTTGTTGTTTAGTGGTCACTGGTTGGTGTCCTTTGAGCTATTCAAACGGAACGAGCTTTTCTTTCGGGTTAAGCGAGAGACAAACAAACAAAGACTTTGGCGGCAGCAATTCTTTTGGGGACTGGGTGGAATATTTGAGCAGCGACAATAGCAGTTGGCAGTTGGGAGTCTGTTTGTGGGTAAGCGATGGTTGATTTGGAAAGAAAAGGGTCTTTAATTTGGTTCAGTTCCGTTGTTGAATGTTTGGTTTTTGTTGTTTTGCTGATTTTTTGTTTTTCAATTTCAAATTTTTTGTAGCTTGTTTTCCATTTTTTCGTTTTCATTTTCGTTTTCGTCTTTCCCACGCTGCAGCTTCTTTTTTTGGCGGTTCCAGCGTGTGCTAAAAAAAGCAGGCAAGCCTCCTGAAGGGAAGGGCTCACGAGTGATTCAAAATGAGCTTGTTTGAAGATTTGTCTACCCTTGCAGCTATCCAGGGATATCCAAACTCAATTACACTCTATCATTGTCCACGAGAGCCAAGTTCATAGAGCTCTTGGTGAGCTTTTGGCTTTTGTCAAAGACAGGCTTGCCTTTTCTGAGATCGGCACCAGCGTAGCCGGAGAAAGCGAGCGTGTGCTCCAGATTTCCCAATCGAGCGTGATTTGGCGCAAACTGTGCTGCGCATAAGCCAATTCCAAAACAGAAATGTCTCGATCTGGAAACTGCCTGCAGCAGGTACAGCGCAACACTTGTGTCAAAATAACCGAAAAGTGTCGATGAAGCGAAAAAGATGAAATTTTTCATGTGTGGAAGGAAAGAATACGCCAAAAAGGGTCTGATGTTCATAATGGTGTTCTAGATCAAGCTGGAAGAAGTACGATTGAAGATAAACCTACACGTCTTGATTCCTAGACTTCGTAATGACATGTACTATAATACAAAGAAATGTTGAGTATGTAGAACTGAATGAAAAATTAAAAGCATGGGTAATATATGAACTGAATGATATTTTTTCTCTTCTTTTTTGAAATAAATGCAATAGAATATGAATAGAATGCAAAACTAATCTGAATTCAATAATGGTTGAGTTTCTGTATCTTTAATACCAGATTGATCATTGTATAGCCAAACTTGATAAAAGTAAAACAAATCAAATACAATAGTACCCGCACTTCCTATGATATATGGTAACTCATTAATAAAAAATTCTAATCTGTTTTCACCATAAATGAAGTCACAACTCACTAGGATTGATGCTGTATATGTTATGTTACCGAATAATGTACATGCGAATAAAATTGGTGAAATATCTTCAGTGGATTTTCTTTGATGGTTTTTAATCAATTGAGGAATTCTAGAGAAAAAATATAATCCAGCACCAAACCATGCAAAAAACACACCATATGTTTTGGAATCTATTGAAAATCCACCAATACTGGTGGTACTAGTCATGAAATCTCCAATTGGGAAAGCACTACTTTGTCCAATATTTGAAGCAACAGCAACCGCTGGAACAGCGGCTCTTGCTGCAGCACCTATGAGCGAGCCTGAAGATCTTTTTCTATTAGTTGAGCCATAGTGAGTACTTTCTTCATTATGTTGATGATGATGGTGATGGTGATGATGATGGTGATGCTTTTTAAGATAATATCCATAATAATAGTATTGACCAACCAATATGAAATCATTGAATAGAAAATATAGAGCCAACACGTATTGGAAGAATAGTTGGTTTGTTAAGAAGCATCCTATAAGACTTGTGATGTCACCAATGACCCATATGGACACAAAGACTAACGACAAACCTTCAACCGATTTTTGTTGATAGGTCTCAATTAGTTGTGGAATAGTTGCAACCAAATTAGAGGCAAAACTTGCACCGCCAAAGAATGCAGAAAGAACACTAACAAGTGATTTGGAATCACACAAGGGTTGTGACATTTTACTTCTCTTTTTTTTTTTGTTTTGGTTGTTTCAATGGGTATTGTTCGTTGGTGTGTATTCAACGAGGTGGTTTGATGTGAGTAATCCTGCGAATGAATCTTGGTGATAAGATTTTTTTTTTTTTCGAAATGAAAGCCAATTGCGAGGGCAAAGTCACGAGATGATAAAAGTAATCCGACCTTCGCTATGCAGTATTGTTTATAAAATTATTCTCATGGTGTTCAGCAACTCCGTCGTCAGGTATTATTCAGGCTCACAGGTGCTTATTTCAATATCAGTTACATATAACTTCACTCGACTCAATTATATTATTTCCTCCATCTCCATTAATCATGTCGACTACATCAAAAAATCAGCAAAATTACTCTCCATCTTTTATTTCAGAGATGATTGAAACCAACGAATCAAAACTAATTGAGAACATACAGAGAGAAGTGAACAAAAGCTTAGTTGATATTAACCATGCAAATCTTCTAGATGGATTTCAGCAACCTTCAGCAGAAAACTTTTATGAAATTTATTTGACAAATCAATGGGTTGATGAAATCTACAACTTTATTAATTCGAAAGTTCGTCGCATTGGGGAATCGGCTGTACAAGATGACTATTCTCCTTTTAATGAATCAACCTTTTTTCTTCTTTGGAAGATTCCAATGTCTTTATCAACATCAACAGGAGTGAGCACAAATAAACATGAGCCAATGAGCCTGACAGGCTCTTCAAACAGCGTCACCCAACTGTTTGGAGAAACCATCTTTGCCAATTTTTCTAAAATTGATGATACGTTCTTGATTGAACAAGTGAAATCAATGGAAAAAAATATTATAAAAAATTCAAAAAACTGCAATAAAAAATCCAATAATTATTGGCATCATTTGAGTTTATTATTGATGAATAGTTGCTGCTGTTGTTTAAATTATGGTTATGACCTGGGTTCCAAGTCAGAATATGACTTATCCTATCAGTTTAACAGGAGGGTCATTGAACCTATTACCCATTTTTTGCAATTTGTTTTCAACGTGAATTTGAATTTTATTCAACAAGAGTCCTTAAGTTTGAAGGAGGAAACACTTGAATCACAAAATTTTGATCCTGTTAGATTAACAAAACTAAAAGAGTTGAGAGCTAGTACAAAGTCAGATACTATTGTTTCTTTGAGAAACAGTACTGGAATTCATGAAAATGATTCAAATACCAAAGATAAGACTTTAGTGATGATAGAGCACAAGCTTCCCTCATTAATCTCGAAGGTCAGTTCCCCAGAAGATCTAAGTAAGATAGAAAGTATAGAACTCCAAATTCTATCTTACAAAGTCTGTGTCAACAGCCTAAAATGGGGTATTATAAACGATCTTTACGGATCGTTGTTGGTGAAGTTTGATCCAGAGGACTTTAAGAATACTAGTGATGATGGTTCAATGATATTAAAGGGGGTTCAAGTCTTTAAAGTGAATGATGTTGAATTTTTCCCACAGGTAGGTAAGGAGAAACATTTTAATTCAAGAATTTTAGTTTCAATGATGATTTACCTTGAAATTAGAAAATATGTCAACATTGGAAGAGATGATGAACCAGAAGAGCCCTTAGAACTTGAAATGAAGAGCGAAAGTGCTTTGGAAGCAAAGGTGACTGGAATAAAGGAAGGTAGTTACAGAAAGCCACTGAAGGTTCTGATCAATCTGAATAAGAAAGATGAAGTTAAAACTTCTAAAAACAAAAGACCTCTGGACTCAGGAGCTAACACCGTTGCAAAAAGAACCAGAGGTCTGATTAAACTGGGGAAGAGAGATCTGAATAATTAGTCAAGACCAACATTGCTATAGTGCAGTTAACTTGTATATTAGCGAAAAAATTTCCTCTGCTGCGTCAACGCATTTGATAATTGTAGAGTACTATAATTTCATCATTTCCCTTCGTCGACACTATTTTATAAATTATTGACGTCAATTACCTGTAAAGCCAAAAAAAAAACAGAACGCTTATTTATTTGAAAAAAAGAGTAAATAAGTTAAGTTTTGTACAATGTATCAAGGAATCCAACCACCAATCTATCCACAACACCTGTAGCTGAGATATTACCAGCAACACCATATAAAGCAGCCGTATCACCTTTAGCAGTTTGAGAGCCTTGTAAAGCGTCCACAGCTTCTTTGATATCTTCAATCAATTCATCAATAACAGGAACTGATAATCTGGTAGTTGCAAGATGTAATGCTGCAGGCTTTTGTAGGGTACTCAAATGCCATCCTTTACCATTCAACAAATCTGAAAGTTGATAAATATTGATTGTATCAGACTTGAATGAAATGACAGAAGTTAACGGGTCGCCAATGATTTGTAGATCTGGAATTTCATCTTGGATTCTTTTTTTCAATTTCCTAGCAGCTGTGACAATTTCTTTACATGATTTTTTATAACCTTCATCACCAATTTTGATCATTGTTGCATAACAACCCACAATCAAAGCACCTGGTCTACTACCTGCTAAAGTTGGACTACCATAGATCCCACCAACCCAATCCGGGTTCACATAATATTGAGCTTCTCTTAAAGCACTGTTTCGATACATTATAATTGAGGAACCTTTTGGTGCAAAACCATACTTGTGAGTATCACATGATACAGATGTAACACCTGGGACTCTAAAGTCAAAGGGTGGTAATTCAAACCCAACTTTGTCCATATAAGAGACAATAAATGAACCAAGACAACAATCAACGTGAACTGGTATATTATATTTTGTACCCAACGCTCCAATACCTTGAATGTCATCAATGATACCATGAGGAAAATTAGGGGCAGAACCAACCAACAAAACGGTATTCTTGTTGATAAATTTCTTCATCTTGTGCAAATCAACTTTAAACGTCACTGGATCTAAAGGGACGTGATGTAATTTAATACCGAAATAATAACCAGCTTTATCAAATCCCGCATGAGCAGTTTCAGGTAGGATGATTTCAGGATCTGTTATACCCTTGTGACGTTTGGCATATTCTTTAGCAGCGAGACATGCTAATAATAATGATTCAGTACCTCCAGAACTTGTACCACCAACTGCATTTGTTGGAGCATTGAATAATTTTAAAGTCATTGAAACAACTTCAGCCTCCATTTTACGTACACCTGGGAAAACATCAGGATGTAATTGATTAGCAACACAAAATATTTTAAAAGCATCTGATTGAATTTTTATAATGTCTTCACCTCCATGATAAACTGCACCTGATACTTTACCATTTTGCCAATCTGAATGTTTAAGATCTGATAATTTACCCAATAGATCAATGATTTGTGAGTCTGATAAACCTTTGTTGGGTATTTCAGTGAAATCTTGCACTTCTGGAGTTTTAACAACTAATGAAGTTTCTAATTTTTTTATTGTATCATTAACCTCATCATCGACTTTATTTCTAATTAAAGGTAATGATAAAATCCATTTAAAAGTTTTTCTTGAATATTGACGAAATATAAGCTATGTGTGTTAGTGAAATCAATTAATTCAATTATTCAGCCAAGGTTTACTCACTCTTGAATACCCGAATATACCATAACCTCTAATATCTAGCAATAAGGAGTTGAGCCAACCTAACACAACACTTTTGAAAAACACATTAGCATTCATGAGCTCAAAAAAGTGTAAAGATTAATACAACTTACGAGAAAAATATCAAATCTCTTATCCTATTCCAAATTGTTAGAATCAATTCTTGTTTCTTGAATTTATACGAGGGTACTCACAATTGGAACAACGTAGCATCCTTCAAATATCTTAAAGCACCATCAATGGCTGCCAGAGAAGCCCACTCTAGATTCTCAAGATGTTCTTGGACGTTCCAAACGTTAGCTTCAAACCATTGTGAACATTCTGAGCTCTTCAATGAGCTTATAGTGGAGACAACAACATCATGAGACAGCAGCTCAACTTTCTGGAGTGCTTCTTGGACAAACGATTGATCCACCACCATCCTGATAGCTGATAGCAATAGTTTTAGAAGAGAGTTTCCTACTTCACACAGCGTCTAAATCAAACTTGACACTGATTCTTGTTTTAAAATTGTTATTGTTAATTCCAGAGATTTTAATTTTAATTGGCCGCGTAAAAACGAGCACACGTCAGCTTCGGAATAACCGGCTGAACTTCCTATTTGGGCAAGGTTATGGTGCTCCTACAATTATAAAGTGATATGATACACAGAATATAATTCACATATATGGTGTAGTTGATCTATAAACACGACCATTTCTACCAACAGTGAGTGTGCTCACTTTCTCCTTTACCGTCTCACTGAGTTTGTTGTTGTATAGTTCCAGGAATTTCAAATTGGCTCGTAATTTCTCAATCTCTTCATTAGTTGATATTTTAACATCTTCATTCTTTAATTGTCTTAATTTTTTACCTTGTCCATTTAGTTTTGTTAACAATTCTTTATTCTTGGAGTCCAGTAGTTTAGCAGTAGTTGATTTTTCAGCGGCTTCTGAAGTGGTTTGTTGATATTCAGTTCTTAGTTCACCACTTCTATTTTCGAGAGTTTTGTTATCTGTTTTCAAATTTGTTAAAAATTCTTCCAATTCTTTCAATTCAGAGTCTAAAACATCAGCTTTTAACTCAATATCCCCATTTCTAATTTTCCCCAAATAGTCCTTCTTTTCTGATAATGATTTCTCAGTTTGTTCATGTTTTTCATATTCCGATTCCAATCTTTCATATCTCTTTTCAGCAACATTGACATCTTCATGTAATTTTTTTGATTCTTTGAACAATTCCCCAATCTTAATTTTAATATTATCTGTTTCGTTATGTCTTATTGTGGACTTCAATCTAAATGGCCTTATCTTTTCCTTGTTCAGGTTTATAGTCTTTTCAATACTTGAAATTCTTGCAATTGTTAACTTTGCCAAAAAACGATGGTATTCCTTAATGTTCAATTGTTGTGGTATTATCAAAGCATCCGTCTTTATTCTCTTATTAGTTGCAGTTTCTCTGAAAACAATTGAATAATCCTGTTCAACGGATTGAATGATTTCTTCATTTGAATGGATTTTGAAATCTGGTAATTCTGAAACGGGCCACTTGTGTTTAAATGGATCTTGGAAAAAACCTTTAAGTTTTTGATATGAGACCCCATAACTCAAATCAAACTCCTTCATATGATCTATTCCTCTATTAGCAATCGCTGAATATAGTGTTTGTTTCTTCAAAGCCTCTTCGTCATAATTGGTATTGTCTTTCCACTTGAGAAGACCATGGTATTGTGATTGAGATACAATGATTTTAATTAATGGGATTGGTGATTCAGCTGAATATGCTGGATTTGATGTGGTTCTCAAGAAATTGACATGACTATCATTTTCATCCAATGAAGGATCAAAACTAATGATGAAATTCAACGCAACACCTTGAAATAGAGTGGATTTGAAATGTTGATGTGTTATAAGATGTAGTGTCAATGGAAAGCCTGATTTAGTGCCCTTAGAGTTTCTTTGTCTTCTCGGTATATATTCATCATCTTTTACCTTTTTATCACCATTACCATTTTTACCATTCTCTTCGGATTTGATTGGTTTTTGTTCATCATATAAAGGGGTACCCGAATATCTCTTATAGTTTAGGTCTCTCCCTAGAATAAAGGCCTCTATCAAGTCAAGTTCTTTAATATTATGACCAACAATAACAACATTTAATGGTAAGTCTTGTAAAACACCCAATAGTTTATCAAACTTGTTGAATTTATCACTAGCTAAAAACAATCTTTCATGAGATTCCATAAGTAACAATTTTTTTGGCATATAATGCTCAACAAGAAGATAAGGATGATTTGAAACAAGTGTTATATTCCGGTATAAAAGATCCTGTAAATCATCATCTGAAAGAATTGTGGATGAAGAATCAATGTCATTCGGGGTACCATTGACATAAGATGACCCCAGTTCATCTTCACCATCACTCAATTGCTTAATGATGGAGTCCTTGTGCAATTTGATCAATATTTCATAAAGGTCCCTTTGCACAGGTGATAAACCAACAGGCAAGTAGTAAACCTTCTCCAAGTTGTCAACGCCAGCAGCTTCTGAGCTGAAGTCACTTTCGGCCGGGTGTCCAAATATCTGCTCTTCAGAGGCAGCAGTAGAAGCAGCGGCAGCAGCAGCATCCACAAGACTGTTCAAATTCATTGTGGAAATACTTTTTCTTAAAGCTGAGTGGAATTGATTGTTTAGTTTTGAAATCCCAATTTCCAAAGAAAAACATCAATTTTCAGATTTTTTGCGGTATGGCCACTCCTTCACGAAAAAAAATCCTGTTTTTGGTGTTGATTTGAAATATTTTGACTTCGTTGTGAGAGAACGAGGGTGAAATCACATATCTTTGGGTTGATCTGGCTGATCAGAGTGTTGTTATATAAAAGGCAGGTAAAGGAGAACTTAATAGACCTATTTGCCAACCGAAGATCAAGCTCATTTCCACTCGTTATTCCAACAACTTTTTTTTTTGCCTGAGCTCGTATAAGTTTCTGGAAATACCCAAAGCCATTTAAAATTGATCGAAGAACACGAAGGGGCAATTATTTCCACAGATGAATGGCAGTGTGAGTACCACCTCATGTATCATCATTGACTGTTACTGACCCCCGGATGAAGGCTGGCTCTTTAGATGTTGATGATATCTATGAAATAGAAGATAAAGATGGTGTCAGATTCAATTGGAATGCTTTCCCTGTGACGAGAGCAGAAGAAGATAAAATAACAGCACCATTGGGGTGTCTTTATACACCGTTGAATCCAAGAGAGGACTTACCAAGGATTTATAGAGCCCCATTCAAATGTAACAATTGTTCAGCGGTGCTTAATCCGTTTGGATCAATAGATTCCATTGCAAAAGTTTGGACATGTTCATTATGTTTAACAAGGAATAAATTTCAGGGGAATTATAATTTTAATCATGTTTTAGAGGAATTGGATCCGATAACTAGCTCTGTTGAATACGTTATGGTGGATCCCATGGCTAGTCCCTTATTGTTTCTTTATGTGATTGATTTGACATTGGAAGAACCGGATCTTGAAGCGTTAAAACAAAAGATAATAGATTCAATAGACCTTCACCCCATGGGAGCATATATCGGATTGATTGTGTTTGATTCAAATGTGAGGTTGTACGAATTAGGTTCCGCATTGATTCCAAAAATGCATGTTTTCAAAGGTTCGAAAACTTATAGTGAGCAAGATGTTCAGAAATTATTGGGAATTGCCGGTAATGGGACTAGACCTTTCAACAGCAAGTATGAAAATGTCTTGGGGACATTGAATAGATATTTTACCCCACTATCGGATGATTACGCCAGGTCTAGGTTGATAACTATTATATCAAATTTGAAAACTACTTCATTGACATCTTCGTCTCAACGACCTGAAAGGTGTACTGGATCTGCATTAGCAATTGCTTCAGGATTGATGGATGGTGCGTTTTTGAATGCATCGGGGCATGTCTTGTTATTCATTGGAGGGCCATGTACAGTTGGACAGGGGAAAGTTGTTGATGTTGAGAAAAGTTCACCAATTAGATCATTCAACGATATAAGGAAAAGAAATGCAACTCATTTGAAAAAAGCTATTAAATTTTATGATTCGATTGCATCAAGAGCTTCTTCACTTACTGCTAATGAGAAAACAGGTGAGAATACTACATCTTCATCAATTTATAGTATTAATGTGTTTGCAAGTAGTTATGATCAACCAGGTATTTATGAGATGAAGAATTTAACAGGTTGGACCGGTGGTATCCTAATTATGACTGATTCATTCACCACGAACATTTTCAAGGAAACTTTCAATAAAGTGTTTGAATTGAATGAGGAAGGTGTTGTTGATATGCAAGCTAGAGGGAACATGACTGTGCTAACATCATCAGCTTTAGAAGTTGCAGGGATGATTGGTAATGGTGCCAAAGTGCCAAATAATGGTAAAAATCATAGTGACGTTGCAGTGGGTGAGGGTTTTACAAACAGTTGGAATTTACCAATGATTTCATCAAGACATGGTTATGCTGTGTATTTCAAAGTTCAAACAGTTGCATATGGTAATGAAAGAAGAGGTATTCCTGGGTTCTTTTATATACAATTTTTGACGAGTTATAAACATGTTGACGGGTCACTAAGATTAAAAGTCACAACATTGAAAAAAGCCACCACGAACACACTCAAATTGGAGGAGAATTTCGATCAAGGAACTGCTGTGGTTTTGATGCTTAGAGAAACAACTGATAAGATACAAAGAGGATTATTAGATCATGCTGAGGTTTCGCAAAAAGTTGATGAACAATTGATTCATCTTTGTAAAGGATTTGGTATTTATATCAAAAAGGAACCATCATCTTTCAAATTGAATGAATTATTCTCATTATTACCACAATTTGTTTACAATTCCAAAAAATCACCAATATTGACAAATTTCAACAACACACCAGATGAAAGCACTTTTTATGTTGATATATTCCAAAAATCCAATGTTGATGATTCTTTAACTATGATCCAACCCACATTATCAATATATACAGCAACTGATCCAACTCCTCAACCTGTGTTGTTGGATTCTTCTTCACTTCAAAGAGATGCTGTTTTATTAATGGATTCATTTTTTTATGTGGTTATACACATTGGTGAAATAGCTGCAGCATGGAGAGATCAAGAACTTGATCGAGAGGAATTTGCAAATGTTTATGAAATGTTGGAACAATCTCAAAAAGATGCAGTGGAGATCATACAGGGTAGGTTTCCATTTCCTAGATATATCATTACTGATCAAGGTAAATCACAGGATAGATTTTTGTTATCAAGATTGAATCCTTCAAATAATGATAATGGATTTGCATTTGTTACTGGTATTACTTCTGATGGCAAAGAGGTGATTTATACTGAAGATATGAGTTTGAATCAGTACTACATGAAACTAAGAGATGTTGTCGTTAAGGAGCATTAATGATAGATTTTATATATAGAGAGTTATATGTTGTAGTTGTTCTTTTCTGCTTCAGTCAATAGCAATCTTTCAGTCTCATCCCCATGTTTAACCAGTTTACCATTCTTCTTTTTATGTGCATAGTCTATTTGTACTCTTTTGTTTAATATGAATTGATTATTCATTTTGGATAAGGCGTTATCAGAATCCTTGAAATTTTTATAATAGATAAATCCATGTTTCTTTGAATTACCTTGATCATCTCTAACCACAATTGGATTTTTGAAAAAATTACCAAACTGTTTGAAGATTGTAAATAATAAGTTTTCATCAACTAATTCATCCAAATTCTTAATAAATAATGTTGACCCAATATCAAGATTATCGTTATTTGCAGCATTATTGCCAACTTTATTCACTTTGATATTCTTCCCAAACAGCTTTGTACCACTCATAACCTTTTCAGCATATTCAACATCCTTGACATTTTTGAACTCCACGAATCCATAACCTTGATGTGTCCTTAGAATACGATCTTTTGGTAGATGTATGTTCTTGATTGGAGCAATCTGTAGAAACAATTCGTAGAGCAGTCCTTCATTAACTTGTTTATCCAGGTTACCGACATACACTGTGCAGTCCTGGTTTCTGTCAGACTCTATTCCCCTTTTCAACATGGCTCTGTGTAAGCAATAAACGCAAATAAGTTCAAGTTGGTATAGTTTTATTGATGGCTCTCTTCAAAGCTCTTTCGATGCCCTCTGCAAACGGAAATGGTTACGTGGCCCTGCCTAGCTCTATAAAAAAAAACTTTGCAAAGTGAAAAGTTTCCTTCTGTAATTCCCACTAAAATCAACGGATCTCAGAGCAGTTTCTCAACGGATGCTACGTTTTGTAGTGTCTGATTTGGGCCCAGAAGGGAGTACACTCTCTTGTCCACTGGGTCCATCTTAGCCTCTGCCCTGGTCCCAGACCAAACAGCCACCACCCAATTAATCACTCATCTATTTATTAAATGACCGTAATAGAATGTGTTTCATGCCTGGGGGACATCTTTTGAAGATAGCTACAATCAATACAAGTATATGCTACTTAATTTACATCGTAGTCATTAAATCTCATCAAATACAGGAGCTTCTACAATCTATTCTGTCTGGAATACACTATAAAGGCCCTCTATGCCTAGCGCTAGGCTCACCCGGTCCACGCACGCACAGAGAACCACCCCCGCCTACCGCCTAAACCCAGCGACGATCTCTGTCCCCATTTTAATTTTTTCTCGAGAAATCGATTGTTTGCGAAGTGATCAAACAACAAAAATTTTTCATCAATTTCAACAACTTTTGATTCATTGTTACAACACAATAAAGTCCATCTCTCCACAGGCAACCCCCAGATCCATCCAGAAGATAGAACACCATCACCCAGTCAATTGTTAACTGCTGCTGTCCTTGTCTTTTGAATTTCCGTTGCCTATTGTGTCTTGTGACTTTGGTTTTAACAGTTTTAGAGAATCGTATGCCTCTAGAGTTCATCTTACGTCTAAACCCTCCAAAGAAACCAGGATAAGTCGTTATTAAATCGTTGAACTTCCAATAACTATCTGCTTGTTGCTTCAATTTGCATCTATATTATCAAAAAAAAATTACATTTGAAGGTTATAACCTACAAATCACCGAGATATCCCTCCCACTCGGTGAAAGCAAAAGAATAGAAACTTGTTTAAAGAAAAGAAAAAATGACTCCAGTTACTTTCAACGCTGCTGAGAATACCTATATTGATCATGAATTGTCAATCAATTTGGATTCAACTGAAGCTTTTGAAGGACCTGAAAAATTGTTGGAAATTTGGTTTTATCATAGTGAAAAAGATATCCCAGGTGATAAAACTCTTAGATCAATCTCATTTGATGATTGGGGGAAGATTTTAGATTTGGTTAATTGTAAAGTTTTATCAGTTAAATCCACTTCAAAATTGGATGCTTTTTTATTATCTGAATCTTCATTATTTGTTTATGATCATAAATTGATTTTGAAAACTTGTGGTACAACAACTACTTTACATTGTTTGGGTTCATTATTTGAAATGGTTAAAATCCAATTGGGTTGGAATTTCACAAATAAGAAGAATAGATTAGAACCATCAAAAGTTTTCTATTCAAGAAGAGCATTCATGTTCCCATTGAAGCAAAAATCAATCCATAAGAATTGGACAGACGAGGTTGATTATTTGAATGGGTTTTTCGAAAATGGGTCACATTATTTAATCGGTAGAATTGATAATAATCATTGGCATTTATATACAACCGAACCAACTTCAGAAAAATCCACTATTCATGATGATGAAGAAATTGATGAAACTTTTGAAATCTTGATGACTGAATTATCACCAGATCGTGCCTTACAATTCCATACATCTCGTAAACCAGGTTTTGAAATTGATGAAGAACATGATCTAGGTCATTTCTTGGGTCATTCCACTTCAAATAATACAGGTTTGAACAACTTGTATAATAAAGTTGAAGAACATGATGCTTTCGCATTCACCCCATGTGGATATTCTTCAAATTCAATCCTGGATGATGATTCTTATTATACTATACATGTTACACCTGAAAAAGATTGGTCTTATGCTTCTTTTGAATCAAATGTTAATCCATTGAAATATGGGTTAAACAATGTTGATGTCTTGTACAAGGTTTTAAACGTTTTCAAACCTCATAAGTTCCAATTCACATTGTTTTGTTCAGGTTATGGTAAAGATTTTGAAGCTTTAAGAAGATTGGATCATATTAAAGGTTATAAGAAAGTTGACAAGATCTTGTATGATCTTGATAATTATCAATTACTATATGTCAGTTTCCAAATTGATGAAGCAGAATTGATTAATGGGCTATCAATTGAATATTGAATTAAAAAGGCCCATACCCTAAGCATAAGCTAAAAAGAAAATTTTATAATAAAAAGTTTAAAAAGAAGGAGTATAAATGGGAGAGAGTTAGATTATTTTAATTTTGAGTTGAAGGAAAAGAATTTATAATTAAATCATGAAAAAAAAATAAAAATCTAGAAGTTTTTTTTGAAGAGCGTCAATATGTTACAATACTGATCTTTGAGAAATCTAGATCTTTTTCTTTTTTTTTTCGGTATAATGATTTAATTTTTGTTTGGGAGGACAAGTAATTATTCATTATAAGTTTTTTTTTATGTTTATGTGTCATAAAATATTGTCGTATGTATAAATTAGCAGTGGATTATAAATATACTGTTGTGTGCTGTGAGATGTTGTTTTGGAAGTTGTAGTTGTTGGAGGTTACGTTATAATGAATCTATGATATTATAACAGAAGATAAAAACATACTGAATGTTAAAACTTTGAGCGGTAACAGGTGTGTTTGAGCATAAAGTTAGATTATTTGAGTATCAAAGATTAGATAGATGTGGATCTTGAATAATGTTGACGTTTATTGAAAAACACCTCTAGCGGATCATCAATGAAGGACCTAGTTCTGGATAAGCTCATGTCATGTCATGAATTACAATAGCTCAAAAAATGAGAAAGCCATGAATTTTCAGCCAGCGCCTTTATTGTTTATGACAGAGTAATCAGCGCTAATAATGTAGTAGTTCATAGTAAAATGAGATGATCATGTAACTCAAAGCGCTTCATTATCCACCAGTTTTCTGTTCAGCATCACTATATCCAGAAGTTCATATGATGGAGCCATGCCAACACTAGCTAGATCATATTCTGCTAGCTATACGTTGCCAGAGATACAGTTGGCCAGATCCATTTTTCATCAATATGAGAAGATTTCAGTTACCACAAAGTCCAGAATTTGAATATTCAGCTCTTTCCAACCAACAGAAAACTTTTCACCAAAGTCTTTATAAGAAGTCATAATATCTGCTACTCCATCTTCATTTTTCATTCATTAACAAAAACAAATATTAGAGCTGCAACAATGGCTACACAATACTACAGAAAGACAATCAACAATTTCAATGGTAAAAAAGGTGTCAAACGTACATTAGTTATCAAATTACGTGATCCAACTGACATCCCAACTCCACCACCAGAACCAAAGACCAAAAGAGTTACCAAATTTTTTTTCAAGCTGAAGAGAAACCCAGAAAAGAAACATGGTTGGGAATTGAAAGGTGCTTACCCAAAAGAAGTTGACGTTCGTGATGTTTGAATCAAATCGATACTCATTTTGCTTACTCCTCCTGAAAACTGCCAACTCTACGCCTGAACTTGAAACTAGGGACCCCCTTGTTCCTAACTAACACATTTTGCCAAATTAACTGTGAATGATTATCAATATGCTCATTATAAACACTTGAATCTGATGACGTGGAACTGCTTGAGCCATTGGAACTTGACACAAAGTTTGATATTTTAGTTCACAGCCACTACATAGCAATATAGAGAGCCTCAAGGGCCTCCTAGATAATAGATTAGAAGATTAATTAGACCAAAAAACCAATACCATAATGATTGTTTATTCTGACCTTCTCATTGTGTAGATTTCTCGAATGAAGAGTTTGATGAAGATTTTTAAGATCTCAAGGTTCGCTTAATGACCCGGGGCATAATGGCAGCACCGCACAGAAACTTTTCCTTCACCAAAAAAATCATCTCAACCCCACAACATAACAGCCAAAAACCATCAGAAAATGCTACAAAAAAATTATCCATAATATACTTTCAAAAATAGACATTTTAAGCCCTAAATCGCATGAAAAACGGCTAAAAATAAAGACTGGTCCCTAGCAGGATCGAACTGCTGATCTTGGCGTTATTAGCACCACGCCTTAACCAACTGGGCCAAGGGACCAATTTACAAAATTTCGATTTTTGCGGGTTTCCACACTGAGCATTTGTGCGTGGCCCTACCATTATTTCGCCAAATTTAACCTGCATTACTGTTTACATTAAAGGTAAAATATTCTCTTCTAAAGAAATTGCAGCGTGAAATTACGTTGACTGGATGTTAATAAAGTCCAAGTAACTCAAGAACCAAGAACCAAAACTTCCAAACTTCCCACCAGTCCACATTAATCGTAGGGCAAATATTTAATCATCTTCCAACATCACTATGTCTGCAGAACCAAGTGATACTCAACTCTTAGAATCAAAAAGGCTTCTCCATGCTAATCGTGACCAGCTATTTGAAAATATTGAAAAGGAGGTGGAAAAGGACTTGGTTGAAATCAATCATTCAAATTTTTTGAAAAACTTTCACCAAGTTAACTCTCCAAACTCTGTTGAACCCCAATTAACAAACCTGTGGATCTCTCAAATTTATACCTTTATCTTACGGGAAGTTTTGAAATTTGATGAAATGCGCTTTGCTGAGAATAACAAGACTAATGTCAAATATGTTGAGTGCGGTCCCTTCAGTTTTACTACCTTCATAAAACTATGGAAACTTCCTTTTTCCATTGCAAGCTCAACCAATGTTTCACTGAAAGGATCATCAAATCAATTGACCAGAAGACTAGCAGACATAGAAATTGGAAACTTTTCCAAAGTCAATTATGAAGGCTACTTGTTGAAAAACATTAAACAAATGGAGGATGAAATTTTTGATAGGGTTAGGAAATTGAACATAAGCTCGTACATATCAGGATTGCAAACTTTATTGCAATTAACTTCAGTTATCTGCTTTGATCGCCATGAATACCGGCTAGCTGCTGCTTCAGAGAATGGTCTTGCAAGTGAATTCTCTATTCGAGTGATACGCCCGGTGGTGGGATTTCTTTCATTGGTTTTCAGCATAACATTAACACACCACGAAGACAGTGGTTTAGGATTTGGAAACACTTTACCAGGTGATTCCTTGAAAAATGAACTAGAAAGTTTAGGAGTTAGTAGTTCACATATTGACAAGGTTGTTACCATGAATCCTGGTTCTGCTAATGAAGACGTGAGAGACAAAAAGGTTTTATTTATTGAACATAGAAAAGCTCCAATGGTTTCAAAAATGGCTTCAACAGATGAATCGGAAACGATAAAGAGTATTTTGCTTCAAATGTTTTCATATAAAGTCTGCTCAAATGAGTTGGAATGTGGTATTGTTAATGACCTCTCGGGCTCTTTGTTTGTTATTTTTGAATCAAATAATTTCAAGTATACTGAAGATGGGCTGTTTAGTTTGGAGAATGTTCAAGTTTATCAAGTTAACGATGTTGAGTTTTTCCACCAGGTGAATAATAAGAAGCAGCAACTAAATTCAAGAATTCTTGTTTCAATGATGATTTACATGAAAATAAAGAACTTTATGAAAGAAGATTGTGAGCAAAAGACAATAACAAATCAACCTATTTCTGGTATGAAAATCAAAATTAACCAGAAAAAATATAGTGAGCCACTCAAAGTCCTGCATTCAAAGTTTAATGAGTCCATAGAAGCTTTGCATCTAAAAAAGGATGAGAAACTTTCAACATTAAAAAGTGATGAACCATCAAAAGGGAAAAAGAGGAAACTCATTAGCTCAAAAGATGCAGCAAGTCGTAAAGCAAAGAGACACAAAGGTCTGAGACTGTGGGATTTGTGCTTTAATTGAATGATTCTGATTCAACTTGAATCATACGCTGGTATAGGTAAAAGCAGTAGGTGTTTTTAAATTGATTGAATGAAACATTGTAGTTGAAACATTCTCCAAGTCAGGACCCCATACTGAGTAAGATTTAATCAACTGATAAAATGAATGTAATCTGGCTAATATCATCAAGTGGTAATCTTTCAAAATGTTCAAGGAAGAAATATCAAAATCTTGAACGTTATACGAGTGTCCCTACCAGTATAGGGTAACTGGTCATCGGTCCGGACACTCTATTGAGGTTTCAGAAAAAAAAATTTTTAGATGTACTATAGAAGAGAAAAAAAGATAATAACAAAACAGTTAATTCAACTTTATTGATTTTGATAAGATCAGTATGGCTAAGAAGGGATCTTTGAAGAGGGCTCCTGTTGTGGAAGCTCCTAGAAAGAGAAAGATCGAAGAAGAATCCGAGGAAAGTGTTGAAGAATCTGAAGATGAAGAATTGAACCAAGATGATGAGATTAATGTTAATGGATTGATTGATGATGAAGCTAGTGAAGATGAAGAAGAATACTCTGAAGAAGAAGAAGAAGAAGATAGTGAGGATGACTCAGATGCTGAGTTTAATACAATGTTGGGAGATGAGCCTGAAAATATTAGTGATTTAGAATCATTAGAATTTGAAGATGAACCAAAAGATAATACTTCAATTTCTGATAAACTATCAAATGTCCATATTCGTTCATTAAGTGATGCTTCTGATAAGCAAACAACATATATTGATGGTACACCACGTGTGATCAAGCCAGAGATTGAACCAGTTTATGAATCAGATGATAGTGATGTGGAAAATTTCAACACGATTGGTAATATTCCAATTTCTGCATATGAGGAGATGCCACATATTGGGTATGATATCAATGGTAAGAGAATAATGAGACCTGCTAGAGGTTCTGCCCTTGAACAGTTGCTAGAATCTATTGATTTACCAGAAGGTTGGACTGGGTTATTAGACTCAAATACTGGTGGTAATTTGAACTTGACTAAAGAGGAAATCGAATTGATTAGAAAATTAGAAATCAATCAATCCACAGATGATAGTATCAATCCATATGAACCAACTATTGAATGGTTTACCTCCAAGCAAGAAATCATGCCATTGACAGCAACACCTGAACCTAAAAGAAGATTCATCCCATCAAAACATGAAGCGAAAAGAGTTATGAAGATTGTTAGAGCCATTAGAGAGGGCCGTATCGTTCCAAACAAACCAGCAGTGGATGAAGAAGAGGAACATAACTATGATCTTTGGGGTGATGGTGCACAGGATAATGTTGATCATATAATGACATTAAGAGCACCAAAGATGGCACCACCAACAAATGAAGAGTCTTATAATCCTCCAGAAGAGTATTTGTTGAATGATGAAGAGATTGCTAAGTTCAATGAAATGGAACCTTCTGAACGTGAAAGAAATTTCATCCCAAAGAAATATGGATCATTAAGAAAAGTTCCAGGTTATGAAGAAAACATTAGAGAAAGATTTGAGAGAAGTTTAGATTTATACTTGGCACCAAGAGTTCGTCATAATAAATTGAATATTGATCCTGAAAGTTTGATACCTGAATTACCATCACCAAAAGACCTAAGACCTTTCCCTATCCGTTGCTCTACAAGTTATGTTGGCCATAAGGGTAAGATTAGAACATTATCGATTGATCCTAGTGGGTTATGGTTAGCTACAGGTTCTGATGACGGTACTGTTAAGATTTGGGAAGTTTTAACCGGACGTGAAGTTTATTCAATTAGAGTTGTTGGTAAAGATAACGACGAAGATCATGTGGAAAGTGTTGAATGGAATCCTGATCAAAGTACAGGTATTTTAGCAATAAGTGCAGGTGAACATATCTATCTTGTTTCTCCTCCAATATTTGGATTTGATATTGAAAATACAGGTCGTTTGAAATTAGAAAGTGGGTTTGGGTTTAATAAATTTGGTAATGTTAAAAAGAATGATTTGAATGTTAATGAAGATTCCGATTTAGAAGAAGAGGCAGTTTCCAACAAGAAGGAGTATGCCAGATGGATCAAACCAAGTGAAGAAATGATTGCACAAGGTGTTGTATTAACAGTGGAGTGTCGTAAGACTGTTAAATCCATTTCATGGCACAGAAAAGGTGATTATTTCGTTAGTGTTTCACCAGATTCAGGTAATTCATCGGTTTTAATCCATCAAATTTCAAAACATTCTTCACAATCACCATTCAAGAAATCCAAAGGTATAATAATGGATGTTAAATTCCATCCTTTCAAACCACAAATCTTTGTGTGTTCTCAACGTTATGTTAGAGTTTATGATTTAGCTCAACAAGTTTTAATTAAGAAACTATTACCAGGTGCAAGATGGTTATCCAAAATTGATATACATCCAAGAGGTGATCATTTATTAGCATCTTCATTTGATAAAAGAGTATTATGGCATGATTTAGATTTACAAACTACTCCATATAAGACCCTAAGATATCATGAAAAAGCTGTTAGATCTATCAAATATCATAAAGGTGGGTTACCATTATTTGCTAGTGCGAGTGATGATGGTAATATCCATGTTTTCCATGGTACAGTTTATGATGATTTGATGACCAATCCATTGTTGGTTCCATTAAAGAAATTGAGCGGTCATAAAGTTATCAATAGTTTGGGAGTGTTGGATATTGTTTGGCATCCAAAGGAAGCTTGGTTGTTTAGTAGTGGAGCTGATGGTGTTGCAAGATTATGGACAACTTGAGGGTTTTGTATATTAGAAATTAAAAAGTACCTTATTTGCATTGAACATCTTCGTAGTCCGTTATTATTTAGCCAGCCGATTTAAGCCAGCACACCCAGTTACAAGTCACAAATTTGAGCTTCTTTTACATGATTTCGATTTCAAGGTGTATCGCACGATCAAATAGGAATAGGAAAACATAGACTACACAAATGGGCAATAAGAGGTACACCACCACCACTTGTACATACCAAGAGAGTATCTACAAACCTTCCTAAAGTAAACGGTAAGGCTGAGAAGCCGAGAAAGTGAGAGGTACAGATTCCAAAGAATGGTATGATGAAGATAAAATGTCCATGTCCTGATTTCCTAAATTTTTTCAACCGTGTAGAAATGAGACAGCCTAATTACAAGGGGACCCCAGATTTTCTATAGATGGAGATGCTATAGGCTGGAGAGAGGTAGTACACCCCTGAGAGGGATTTAGAGCATAACCCATGTGGTTAGTGAGGCTTTTATTAAAGGGGTGCTTACTTGAACTAGATCAAAGCATCATATAACTACAATTAATTAGTCGAAATATCTCTGAATTAATGTCCTTCAATGTCTTCCCTCAAAGCGATCCAAGAGTATGACAACGTTGTAACGGTTGAGTAGAGTTAATTGGCAGTCGAGAATTGGAACTGAGATTGGATGGAAAGTCGAGGAGATGACCTTTGGACTGGTTGATCTGTTAAAACCTAGTTTGTATTGTTGATGGTTGGAGTTAAGAACGGTCTCGAGCACCTGTCATAGAGAAGGGGAGTCATCGACAGCAGAGAGACATGATAACAACCAGCTGGTAACAACCATTACACATTATTGATGATACCATCGATACCATCAGCCACTATTACTCTATTACTCTGTACCACCATCACCATCTCATCTCTCCAGAGTCAGCCTCGTAGCACTAGCCCTTCTGTTTGAACGGTCTTAAGGAGTGCTATAGTCATCCGCCCCTCCATTACGTAAGGTCTTCTCTCGAGTCCCAAGCAGAGACTGGAGCCAGACCCTCATACACACTCTTGTCGGGACATAGTCAACCACAGGAGTCCTACTACGAAAGGCTAAATGATGCCCTAGTTGTAGAGCGTACCGGCTTATCCAGAGCCCTTGAGTTACTTTAGTATACTCACTTTGGTGGTTGTAGAGTTAATCTCCGAGGTGGTATAGACTACAACCGTTGAAATATTGGTTATTTTAGCTTATTCATGCCCAATTAGTTGTTTAAAGTGGGGCCCAAAACGTTACAAAACCACAATCATCTCAATTCCCAGCGTATTCCTTTGTATGTCCTTGTCTTCCCGTTGTAACCTCATTTTTACCAGACATTTCAAACCAATTTTATGCAAAAGTCCCAAAAAACCTGATCCAGTCCCGATATCGAATTTTATTGGAAACCCTCTCTTATATCAAATTATACACACAAATCTTGTTGGGCATCGGTAACTTAGAAATTATATATAAAGCACCCAATCTCCTTTGAATCTATTCCCTCTTTTCTTTGCAATTCCCACCATCAATATTCACAATGCTTTCAGTTGTTTCAAGAACTGCTAGATCTAAAACCGTTTCTGCCAACAGAACAATCGCCCTAAGATTCTTAGCTCAAAACGCTAAATATCTATCAACTTTACAATTACCACCTGTTCCATCTGCTCATGCCACAAAAGATACTAAGCCATACTACGTCTCCACTTATATCAACAACCAACATTTGAAATCAGATGCTAAAGAATGGTATGACGTTTATGACCCAGCCACTGATATTGTCATTGCAAAAGTCCCACAATCAACTGATGAAGAAATGAACAAGGCCATTGAAGCTGCTGAAACTGCCTTCAAAACTTTCTCACAATATTCAATCATGAAAAGATTAGGTTTAGTCTTCAACTATGTTGAATTATTGAAAAAAAACACAAACAGATTAGCTGCCACTATTGTTTATGAACAAGGTAAATCTTGGAGTGCAGCTTTAGCTGATGTGCAAAGAGGTATTCAATGTGCTGAGCATGCAACCACTGTTACTAAAGAAACTGAAGGTTTTTCATTAGAAGTTTCCAGTGATATGACCACTCAAACTATTAGAGAACCAATTGGTGTTATTGGTTCCATTTTACCATTCAATTTCCCAGTTATGATTCCATTATGGACTATTCCATATATTATTGCTACTGGTAACACTACTGTTTTGAAACCATCAGAAATGTGTCCAGGTACCGGTGCCATCTTGGCTGAAATTGCAGCAGAAGCTGGTGTTCCAGAAGGTGTTATCAACATTATTCATGGTAAAGCTCCAACTGTTAACAAAATTGTTAGTGATCCAAGAATCGCTGCTGTTACATTTGTTGGTGGTAATAATGCAGGTAAATATGTTCATTCAGAAGCTACAAAGAATGGTAAAAGAGCTCAAGTTAACTTGGGTGCTAAGAACCATGTTGTTGTCTTGCCTGATGCTGATAAAGATACCGTTTTGAAAGCTGTTGTCACTGGTGCCTTCAGTTCAACTGGTCAAGTTTGTTTAAGTACTGATATCTTATTCTTGGTTGGTGAAGCTAGAGGTTTGATTCCAGATATTGTTAAAGAAGTTGAAAAATTACAAGCTAAACCAGGTTTCCAAGATGGTGATTTTGGTCCAGTTGTCACCAAGGAATCTTTACAAAGATTAGAAGCTGTTATTCAAGATGCTGTTGATAAAGGTGCTGAAGTTTTAGTTGATGGTAGAGGTAAAAAACCACAAGGTTTCGAAGATGGTTATTTCATTGGTCCAACTTTATTAAGAAATGTTAAAAAAGGTATGAGATGTGTTGATGAAGAATTATTTGGTCCAATCTTCACAATCGCTGAAGCTGAAACATTAGATGAAACCATTGATTATTGTAACAACAATGAATTCGGTAACTCAGTTGCAGTCTTCACCAACTCAGGTCCAGATGCAAACAAATTTGCTAAACAAATCAACATTGGTCAAGTTGGTATTAATGTTCCAATCCCAATTCCATTAGCTCAATTCGGTTTCACTTCAAATAAATCCTCATTTTTGGGTGATTTACATTTCTATGGTCCAACCGCTTTCAAATTCTTGACTCAACCAAAGACTATCACAACTTCTTGGAAAAACATCAAGACTAAATTCTAAGATTAGATGGATGGAATTAATTATAATTATGATCATGAAAGTTTTATATGAGATATACTTTTTTTGTTAGATACTTAGATGAATGAATTGCTATGAGATTGAAATAATTGTAGAATGATCAGGTTAATCAAGTCTCGAAAGGTGGTTTTCTTGTTAAACGACGTACGACATAGACTTGTTCTATGTCTAATTCTCTCCAAACTTGATCAATCTCAGATGTTGAACAGTTTCACCTTCGCGAATTGATTCTTCAAAAACCTTCTTTCGCATAAACAAACAGCTTCAATTTATTTACAAAGAGACCTAATGATTTAGTGCTTACAATTTGAGGTTATATAAACAGTGTATTCCTCGTTTTTGATATAGAATTCTCTAAAGAGATCTCACACCATATCACAATCTTTGATATTCCAACATCTTGACGTTTTATTTACCCGAGATGAGCTCTATTTCTCCGAAGATGAACACCATGAATACAAGTTAATCAAAGGTATATAGACAGAACCAACTAAAGTGAGCGAGTTGAATGCTACAGGCCATATTTCTAAATACAATACCCTTTCTATCCACTAGTTTGTTGTTCATTCTTCCTACTCCAGCCTACTCAAAACCTAGATTGCTCAAAATAGGCTATGAATATAACATCACCAACCGTATACTCAAAGCCCCAAGGTAAGGTACCAGGGGAAACCAAAATAACAACCATCTCATGAAACAGCTCTAAATAGTCTATTTCCTTCGCTACAACTTGTACTTGATTATAGACCGTACATATAACCACACCGATCAATTAGCAACACGGTGGATTACAAATAGCAAAGAATGTGTAGGTTGATGTGAGTGTAGTTGTTGATGTCAAGGAAATAGGCTATTCTGGAGGAGCATGGAGTTTGAAATGAGGAAAGTTCAAGAGGATGAAGAGGAAGTAGATTTAAAGGTTTTTGGTTCTTGTGTACCCCCATGGATTCTGGCTACAAGACATAAGGCTGACTATGAGAAATCGCTCGGAGTTGGTCAATTATAAGAATGCTTGTGGAGTTGGTTGAGCGATGTATAAAAGGTCATTTGGGTGTAGTGTTACTAGTTGGAGTAGTAGAAGTAGTGGTTCTCTTATTGTTGACTGATGTGCCATCTGGGGGATTTGCATCTCTGTTGGCCAATGAGATGGGTATAAAACAACTTGAGACACAAGAAACCATCAGAGGTGCCCACTCTTGGGTCCTCTCTTGTTCAGAATCCTCGATATACAGACAAGTATCCATCAATTGGGAGTGGTAGAGTAGATTGAAAGGTGCTATCAGTCAATAACCATTCTGAAGGGTATTAAATCTATGCTTGATGATGATGGTACATAGCAATTCTATACTACAGCCTCTGTTAGCAACTCTTTGAACTAGAGTGAAGGTAAGTGATGATTTCACTAGCAATAGATCATCAAAGACATAACAAGCTAACTTACGATGGAGGAGGAATTTCAAATAAGTATTTAAACTCTGGCAAAGTACCCACATTTCACATTCAACACATCCTCGATTTACCAGTACAAAACAATTAATTACATTCAATATTCAAAATGCTTTCAAGAAACGTGATAAAGACAGCAACTAGCCGTCATTTTTTGAAAAATTCAATTCGCCAACTACCAAAAACATCATCAGCCTATTCATCAAGTTTCAATTATTTAAACACACCAATTTCCAAATTTCACACATCGTCAATTTTCAAACATCATGAATCAACCGATTTGAAAATGAGAGGCTTACAATATCACGGTGCAGAGGATATCAGATACAATGAATCGATACCAACACCTCAAATAACCAAGCCTGACGACGTCGTTATCAAGATTGCCTATTGTGGGATTTGTGGATCAGATTTACACGAGTATGAAGAACCAATCTTCTTTGCCAATGCTGCCAGTGAGAGTGGTGATAAGATTAGTGGTAAGAAATTACCACTAGTGCCAGGCCATGAGTTCAGTGGTGTGGTTCATGATGTTGGTGAAGCTGTCACTGATTTGAAAGTTGGTGATCATGTCGTTGTGGAGACTACTGGTCATTGTTCAGATAGACAAACTTATTTCAACGAGCCGGAGAATAAGAGAAGAGATGAACCAACTTGTACTAATTGTGATTTGGGGTTTACCAATACTTGTACAGATTTGAATTTCTTGGGATTAGGTGTTGATAATGGTGGATTGGCTGAGTATACCAAATATTCTCAACAACATGTTTTGAAAATCAGTAACAAGATCCCGTTAGACGTTGCAGCATTGATTGAGCCATTATCAGTTGTTTGGCATGCGGTGGAATTGTCTGGTTTTAAACCAGGTGAAGATGCTGTTGTTTTAGGTGCTGGACCTATTGGATTAGCTACAATCTTGGTGTTGCAAGCATTTGGAGCTTCAAAAATCGTTGTTAGTGAACCTGCATCTATCAGAAGAGAACAAGGTGAATTCTTTGGAGCTATTGGTTATGATCCTTCATTACATGGGGGTGAAGCTACAAATGAGTTGAAGAAATTGGGTTCAAGAGGTTCAGGTTTTGCTAAATCTTTTGATTGTTCAGGTTTACCAGTGACTTATTCCACTTCTATCCATGCATTAAGAGCCCATGGTGTTGCTTGTAATGTTGCAATTTGGCCACATAAATCAGTGGCTCATTATGTTATGGATTTAACATTGGAGGAAAAATCTAGTGTTGGTTCGTTAGGTTATACTAGAAGGGATTTTGAAGGTGTTATCAATGCTATTCAAACTGGTACTATCCCAATGGATAAATTGAAACAATTCATTACTGGTAGAGTTGGTTTAAAGAGTGGTGTTGCTAATGGATTCTTGGAATTGATTGAACATAAAGATAAGCATATAAAGATTTTGATTAGTCCTGATTTATTTGAAAAATAGGTACAATATGTGATCATTGCATTTTAGACTTATGAGTTACGAATATTTATAGAGACAGAGCTGATTTTCCAAATAAACAATATTTTAAAATTAAGCACTAGATTCCTTTTTTGTAGCTAACAAAGTATTAAAAGTGGAGCAGTATCCAAAGAATGTAAATAAAAAAAAACACAACCCAAAATATCAACCAACCACGTCCTTAAGGAAAGGGGGTATTCATTAAAACCAAAAGCACAACATATTAAAAACTCATCAAACCAAGTCTTTTTTTTTTCAACCACAACAGCGTCCTCAACCAATCATCATTCCCAGTGTTCATATCATTAAAACCAATTTTTCATCTCATTTGTTCATATTCTAAACTAAAATCAAAAAAATTTGCTTGGAAATTCAAAGCATCGATATTCATATCAAGATCTAATGGGAAATTATTTAAATAATTTTCAAAATTTGGATTCAATCCATCAACTTCATCATAAACTGAATTATGATTAACATTTGAACCAAAGTTCATTGAACTCATTTGATGATGATGATGATTATATAATTGTTGATGATTTATGAAGTTATAATCGTTATAATAACCATTATTATCAAGTAGTGACATATGATCATCATTTGAACATGTTGCTGGGATCAATTGTTCTTGTTGTTGTTCCTGTTTAACCATCATCATGGTTGTTGGGCCTGAGAAGCTATTCGATGGAGTTGATGGACTCATTGAACTGATTGGTGAAGGGTTTTGATTGATTTGTTGTTGTTGAACTTGTTTCTCCTTCTTCTTCTTATCATTGTTGTAAACAGGGCCTTTATCAAAAGTACATTTCTTATTAAACATTTTACATAGTTTACATGGTATGCCATCTTCTATGATACAGCATGATTTTCTCTTACGACAGTTATCACAAGGTCTTTGCTTTCTTGATTTGTATATTCTTTTCTTGATATCTTTTGGCAAGATCTGGTTATTCTCCTTTGTCATAGCCATCTTGAATGGATTTATATGGTGTTAATATTATCTGTGGTGGTGGTGGGTTGAACTATATCAGTATTATAGCTTGAATAAAGTTGAGTCTTGACATATAAATATGTTGGAATATTATTAGTCTGTTTCTTGGTATTACTAGTAGTACTTGTATGGGGATTATATGGTTTTATATCCAAGAGTAATTGTGGCATGGATGGAGGGTTATATATAAATCCAGTGCAACGGTGATATAAGTTGTATATGCATACGAGTTTTGGGATCATTGACATGATTTTGCTTTTTATCTACAACACCGAGCATATCGGTGCTTATTCTGGTGCTATCGAGCTGGTTCAAACTGGTAATTGAAGCTAGAGACTGGCGTAGTATAGGGCCATGTTACTATCCTGGTTATCCCAGTGTGGTTCCAGTGCTATTCAGCAATCATCCTCTACTATCTTCACCCCTTTGGAACCCCATTATCATCGTTATTCCTTCTTTTGAATTTCTGTTTTCCTGTTTCATCAGCTGCCTCGTTTTTTTTTCCTCTCGAATGCCGGCAGGTTTAAATCCAAAGCGTCCAATGAAAACGTCGAGAATGGGAATTTAAAGGGCTGCCACTATTGTGTTGACGAGGTTAATGTGGTTTATAATAAGGTGGCATTATTGCAATGGCCCTTGTTATTGTGCCCTTCTCTCGTTCCACACTCGTGAAAACTACGTTTGTATGACGGTGATGATGGTGTTTGTGAGGAAAACCACGAGGCACCAAAGTAATGTTCGTTATCTTTCCCACTTATCACGACTTTTATTCCATTTGGTGACAAAGAAACAAGCTGCTCGAGGAAAAGAAACAGTGCTTTATTCTCCGTAAAACCACACCTTTTAAGGTAATCCATGGGTAGCCGTGCCATAATATAAGCATATACCCATCAACAAGGTACAAACAAATATTTGAATCTTGATTTGTTTCGTTTATGGTCTGTATTCTTTGGATCCGAAGACAGATTTCCTTCACCCCCCGTTGGAGTTAATTATCCTCGAGGTAACAGAGGAGTCAATACGAGTCATGCTGTCCTACTGGCTATTCCGTAAATAACCCATCAGCCAGGAGGTTTAAAGTCAATTGATCACTTTTGAGGATTGATCAAGATTCAAGACGTTGATGTCAACTCGAAGGATGGAGAAGAATGATGATAAGCTATATATGTATCCCGTATATATGCCTACACTCACGTCGATGATATTCATGGTTGTAACGGTTGAAGAAACTGTTGTCAATCATTATTGATCCCTCTGCAATCAAATTTCATCATGACTTGATCAACTCTTTCGACACCTCTCTAATCTCGAGAATCAAAGACAAAGCAACAAAGGCTTACTCAGTGTTTAGGAAACACGTACAGTCTCCAGAGTCAAAGATTCTTCTGTGTCAAAACTTAAGCTTTTTCCAACAATATTATTTATCCAGTAAACAATTATACATCACTTTTTGACATGTATAAAAAAATATCATCGAAATCTTATAAGCCATCGGCAAAGCCGAGGAAACGGATATTCATGGATTCCATCGGAGCTATTGTTTCCAAATCGGGAAGTCGGAGCGAGATTCTCTGATCGGGGAACTTGAAAAATTACATAAACGGTGAAGTCGGAATTAGAAATCAGTCATGTGATAGTCATGTGATAAGGACCGAATCTCATAATCTTAATTTTTTTCAATTCGCGTCAACAGAATTCGAATAAGCACAACTTGACTTTGAGAAATCAAAACATCGAGAAAGGTGTCAATTTGATTTCAAACAGATTTACCTACAATGCCTCCAAAAAAATCAAGAAATTCTTTGGGATCTGGTGACTCTACACCAAGGCGTTCCTCACGCCGTGCAACATCAATAGAACCTGATCAACAACAAGAACAGGAAATAACACAACAAGATGAAGGTATAGTGGAACCTGAAATTGAACCTCCATTAGATATAAAAGAACCTGAAGATGAAGAATATAAAGAAGAACCAAAAGATGAAGATGAAGATGAAGCTTATTCAGGAGATGATGATGAAGATGAAGATGTTGATAAGCCTAAAAGATCAAGAAAATCTCAAAGGTCTTCTTCAAGATCCAAAAAAGAAGAATCTGATAGTGAACAAGATGAAGAAAACCTTGCTTTGGAACTAGAAGGTGATGAAGTCCATGAGGATGAAGAAGAGGAGGAAGAAGATGAGGAATCCGCAAGTAAAAGACAAAAATCAAATTCAGGCACAAGCACACCAGTTAGAATTGGTCGTCGTGGTCCAGGTCGTGGTAAAAAAGGTCCAATGCAATTAACACCAGCTCCACCTCCTGTTGATGAAAGACCATTAGAAATGAAAGACGATGAATATATCCTAACTGATGACGAAGAAGGTGAAACTAAAATCACCCCCAATGGTCAATTATTAGATGGTCGTCAATTTAGAGTTCGTTCCTTCACTGTTAAGGGCAAAGGTGATCGTTTATACATGTTATCCACAGAACCTGCAAGATGTATGGGGTTTAGAGACTCATACTTATTATTTCAAAAACATAGAAGGTTATATAAAGTTGTTTTATCATCTGATGAAAAATTTGATTTAATCAATCGTGATATCATACCACATTCTTATAAAGGGAGAGTCATAGGTTTAGTCACTGCAAAGAGTATATTTAAAGAATTTGGTGCAAAGATAATAGTGGGTGGTCGTAATATTACTGATGATTATTATGCAAAGAGATTGAGAGATCAAGGTAATGTCGTGGAAGGTGAATTAGCAGAACCTGAAGATGCAGTACCACCAAAGGGCACACCATATAATCAGAACCAATTCGTGGCATGGCATGGTGCCTCAAGTGTTTATCACGCTGGTGGTGTGGCTGTTGCTCCTCCGCAATTGGAATCTTTAGAATTGAAATCAATGAAGGCTTTAAAATCAACTAATCATATTAATGAGGAGAATTGGATGCATCAACATGCCTTGGCTGTTAGAAATTTTGAATCAACTCTATTACAAGGTAGACAAATCTTGTCAAAGGGGTTAAGAGATCCATATACTGGGATTATGTTTGTTCCTGAATTGACTCAACCTAATCATGTGCAATATAAGAAAATAATTGATCCAAAATTGGAGCATAATGGCGAGAAAAAGAAATTGATCTATGAAACAATATTGAAAAGTGATAATTTGGCAAAGAAGACTGGATTGAAAAATGTCCCATTGGAGGTTTTCGATGGGGTTGTTAGTGAGGAAGTTAAACAGGCTATATTAAGACAACAAAAGTATGAAACTTCTGTATAGACATAATATAAAAGAATCTAATGACCTGCCTGTTATGTAACGAATCAAACGAAATACCTTACTAGAGTAATCAACTTTGAAAATTGTCTGTTCTTTTTGGTTAAATGCTATTGGCCCTGATCATCTTGACAGATAAATAATCTCGAGCAATAAAAAAAAATTTGAAGAGTTTCAAAATAACCTCGCTTCTTCTAATCAACCAAACCACCATCCCTCAAGTTCAATGAGTTCAAGGGTATCACCTCTACTTAGAAGCATTTCAAAATATGATGGGATTACCGGCTCATGTAAAAGATGGCCTCAAGCCTCTTTCCAAATTTCCAGATCTTTGAAAACAATCAAATCTCCAAAAGAAATCGCTAGATCCAAGGGAAAGAAACCTCTAGTTCAAAAACCCAATAAACCAAATTCATCCCTCGAAGCCACTTTAATAAATTCAATAAAAGACAATAAAGAAATCAAGCTACGGAACACGCTTCGTGAAAAATTTGCCAAATATGGTATGGCACCACCAAGATCTCATAAAACTTTTATCAGTTTTGCAGATCGTTTAACACCTTCAACTATAATAGAATCGCTTGGTATATCGCCTGAAACTTTTACTCAACTTCAAAGAAAGATCAACTTTGATGGTCGTTGTGAAGATGTAATTGTTCAATTAATTCGTGAGAGGATTTATTATGTCATCTTGATTGAGAAATTTGCACATTCATTTGATGGTGGTCAAAATGGGAAAAATGCTGAAAAAATTGGTGAATTGATTGGGTTTAGTAAATTACAGAAAAAGGATGAATTTAATCAAGTTATGAAATTGAAAGCTGAAGAATATCCTGATTTTTTCCACAAGAGTTCTAGGGATATTATTGATGTTGCTGTCTTAAAAAAATCTTTAAAGATTAATATATTTGCAAAGTTGAAGTCAATGGGGAAGAGATGGTTGGGGTTTGGTAAGTGAATCTGTGATTTCAGTATCATTGGGGACTTGGTATTCTCGCATTCTGAGAGTAGTTATCTCAGCAGATCTTGTATATAGTTGAAACATAGATAGAGGGCTACAACAGGGCCTAATTATAAAACTAAGGAATCAAGTCATTTACAAAATGTTTCAAAAATGTTTCATTATTTATGTTGTAAGTTTATTGACACGTAATACTTGGCAGCGTCTAAAATGAGGTTACATGATTGATTATTTCAAACTTCAAACAAGACTTCAACCATTCAACTCAACTTACAAACCACATAAACATGATTAGACATTCCATATTAAAAGGCATCAGGACAACGTCTCCATTGACTAGTCGCACAATTGGCACCATCGTGCTTCCAATAACACGTTTCGAACAAATCAGGACAATCAAAATAACCTCTAGAAAAACCACACGGAAACCAAAGTCAAACGAGAAAACCGAAGAAATCAAGCCAAAAGATGATAAACGAATAAAAGAGGAAAGCAAAACTGAAAGAGAGGCTAATGAAAGGCTAGACAAAATCAACAAAATGAAGGAAGAATCAATCGCTGATAGACTATCCCCTGCTGTTATTCAAGAGTCATTAGGTGTGAGCTCAGAGTTGTTCGCAGAGCTTCAAAAAAAGATTGACTTTCATGGAGATCCATTTAATGTTATATCCAAGCTTGTCGAAGAGCGTGTGTTCCCATTTACCATGTGCTATAGATATGAAAGGGCATATGGTGCTGAGCATATGGAAGGTTATACACAAATGACACTTTTGGAATTTGAAGTGATTTATGGGATTCTTGAAGAGCATGATGACGATATTGTGAATACTGTGAGCCCAACTGAACACAATGTGGATCTTCTAGGCTACTTCTATAACAGCTCAGATAAAGTGATTCCCTTGTCGAGATATAGGTACTTGTTTAACCCCACAATAAGTAACTTGATCAGATGGCGATTTGGAGAATTCATTGATTTGTTCAAAAAATGATGAGTGGATCATATACAATAAATACACACGCTACCATGTATTTCTCTCTTGTAAACTTCGAGAATATGTGTGTTTCAAAACATATTTGTTGTCTATTTGTTTTTGTTGACACATCACATTGTGGCAGGCTAAAACATGAAACAAACTTTTGATCATCAACTTACAATCTCTTCCAACAATTGAATATTTTCAGAACAAATCAACAGGATGCTTTCATCTAGAGTCCCTTTTGCTCTCAAAGCTCTACCACTGTTGAACTGTCGTCAAAATAATCTAAGATTGATAAAGAACCATGTTTTCAATCAAACCAGGGGCCTCAAATTTAAAGTCAAACGACCAGAAAAGCCAAACGTCAAGCCTGAGAGGCCTTCAAAGAAGAAGAACACAACTAAAAAAGAGCCCACTAATGACAAAAACAAAGCCAATGCTTCTCAAAGGAAAATGATGGATGCCATCTTGAAATCATCACCTAAAATAGAGAAGGAAGTCAAACCTCGAAATACCCTTGAACAAAGTGCCCCAAAAACCGTGATGAGGCCCCCAAAGCCTAACAAAGACTACATCAGTTTTGCTGATAGACTAACACCTGCTGTTATTCAAACTTCTTTAGGAGTGACCGATGAGGTTTTCTCGAAATTAATCAGAAGGATCAATTTTGATGGTCCTTGTGACAGTGTTATTTTGAAGTTAATTTATGAAAGAGTTTTTTACCTGGAATTGATAGAACAATATCTTGCATCTTTTCCAAAAGGCACAGATTTGAATAAAGTATTGCAGGAAAAAATTTTGACCCAAAATTTGAAACAAAGTAGGGATTTCATTTATACTCTCCGTGAGCTAAAGGTTGAAAAGTATCCAGAGTATTTCTACACAAGTTCAAGAGAAGTGATGAGTTTAAAGGATCTGAAAAGTGCGAAGAATATTACCTGGATGGATAGACTAAAGAGTCACGGTATGAAGGCTTTGGGTATGAAGTCGGTGTTTAATCATCTTTAACCCGTGGATCAATGTAAACGGACAATGCCAATATTAGAATAGATGCGGGAATTGTGTAAATCAGTAGGATACACCAAAATTTTTGAGGAATCCACAAAAATTTCAAAATCTGAAAAAAAGGTAAACAGGGGATCGCTGCACGAAAAGTAAACAAAAAACGCAAGAAAAGCTCAACTTTTCCTCAAATTTTGAGGGCTGATCTTTGAGCTTTGTTTACTTTTCAAGGTCGTTTATGTTGCTTTTATGCGTTGTAGTTTGGAAGATTAGCTAAATACATCGTCTCTATTCGCCAGAAACTCTAGAAAAAGCTTCTCTTACAGATATACCAGAAGTAATACAGATACACACAGAAAGAGTTGAAAAGCTCAGAAATTTTTGAGGTTGCATAATTTGCTGTAAATCCAAGATATCAGCAATTTGGGCACCCTCAAAAGGAAAAATCCCACACTTACTCTATTGTAGGGAATTCACCTTAGATTCGAGTCGCAAACTTAGATGATATTCGATACGGATCTTCAGTCTAAATCTTTATTGCATCTAATGTCACACGTCAAACGGTATATCAATGTTTTCAACTTCAAGCTAAAGATCATGACATGTGCTCTTTGTTCGATAACAAGTGTTTCCAAGGCTGCCGATCTAATCAACAATTGACGAAGTATCAGGTTGATAAGAAATCAAAGTTGACGAGCTGTAAAGCTTTTGCCAATTACCTGATTATTGGAGTACCGGACTATATGACCAGTGTATAATAAGAGATAAGAGATGAATAAGCGGTTTAAATCTTATTATAACAAGTCTTCCGTTGACAGTTCTGAGTTCTCATGCCATGATTTGTTCTAACTCGCTTCCCTGAAGCCCTCAAATTCTCAAAACATTTTTTCTTCTTCCAAGTTTCTGCTGAATTGAACCTGTTCAACTTGCTCAAAATGTTGAGGTTGAAATCGTTTTGCAGTTGAAGTTGTCGTTGATTTGGCTGGTGATTACATAATCTCAGCACTTTTTTTTGAAATCTCGACCACCTTGAGAAAAAACGGAAAGTGTTTGATGGCGAAAACATTACAACACTGAAGAGGGATTTCAAAGAGAAAAGAGTTTAGAATAGACTTGATTTTGAATAAAGAGGAGTTATTTTTGATTTAGGTGAGTCTTGATGGTTTATTTGAGTCTTGAAGAAGGGTTGGATTCTTTATTGTTAACTAAGGAGGACATCACAACTTTTAAGACCCCGAAAGTGTGCAATTCAACTAACAAAGTATCCAATAGTCAATTCGTTACAAGATGATTAGGTCAAGGCTATCCTCACTTTTGGCAAACTCTGCTAGAACATCGAGGTTTGTCGCCCGTTCTGCAGGTATGCAGAGTTTATTGCTAAGAAAAAGAATTCAATATTCTGGTGCTTCAATAAGTCATGCTAGACATTTCAATACATCTAGATTCTATTTCAAAGAGGATAAAAACAGTTCGAAAAATGGGAAACCAAAGAAACAACAGGAAAAAGATGAAGATTTGGAGGATGAACAGGTTATATTTGAATTCACTGCTGAAGAACTACAAGAAGCTTTAGAATTGTCAGAATCTGAATTTTACAAATTAGAAAAAGATATTGATTTTGATGCACCAACTAATGTTGTCATTATTGAACTTATGGAAAAAGGTATCAATCCTCTTAAATTGGTTAGACTCTATTTGGAAAAAGGGGCTGAAGTTTCTCCAACTTTAGAGAAGGATTTAGAGGTTTTCGATAAAATGTTTAAATCCACTTATGATAAGCCATTAACTCCATTACCACCTTTTTTCAAATTATTCAACCCATTCTTACCATTCACCAAAGCCATAGATGAAGCCGTCGTTGAAGCTGCCACTAAAGCAGAAGAAGAAGACAGCAAACACACCAAAAATGAAGAAGATGGTTCAGATAAAGAAGAACTAAAAGGTTATGAACATGAAAGAGATGAAAGATTTAAGAAACAAGAAGAGCGTTGGAAAAAAGCGGAAGAACGTATCAATAAAGAAAATAAAAGATTTATCAAAGATACAAGTGATCCAAATTCTCAAATCTATGCCTTGAAAATTAACCCATTAGAAATCTTCTTATTTTTAGTGGCAACTGGTTATTTCCTTACCGTTTTCTTCAATAGTGATAGTGCTCATGAAATCACATGGCAAGAATTCCGTACAAACTTTTTGGATAAAGGTTTTGTGGATAAGATTGTCATTGTCAACAAGAGTCTTGCTCGTGTGATGTTGAATGATAATGGTCGTCAACAAACTGGTGGGAACATGGATTACTATTACTTCACTATTGGTTCTTTGGAAAGCTTTGAACATAAATTACAAAAAGCTCAAAATGAAAATAACATCCAAGAAGATTTTAGAGTCCCAGTTGTTTATGTCCAAGAAGGTCATATGCTAAGAACAATTTTCCAATTCTTGCCAACATTATTGATGCTTGGTGGGTTATATTGGATCACCAAGAGATCTGCTGGTGGTTCTGGTGGATTTGGTGGTGCCGGTGGTATTTTCAACGTTGGTAAATCTCAAGCTAAAAAATTCAATCAAGAAACTGATGTTAAAGTGAAATTTAAAGATGTTGCAGGTATGGCTGAGGCTAAGGAGGAAATTATGGAATTTGTTGAATTTTTAAAACATCCAAAAAAATATGAAAGATTAGGTGGTCAAATCCCAAGAGGTGCAATCCTTTCAGGTCCTCCAGGTACTGGTAAAACTTTATTAGCTAAGGCCACTGCTGGTGAAGCTGGAGTTCCATTTTATTCAGTTTCAGGTTCAGAATTTGTGGAAATGTTTGTTGGTGTTGGTGCATCTCGTGTTCGTGATTTATTCAAAACTGCAAGAGAAAACGCACCAGCTATTGTGTTTGTCGATGAAATTGATGCAATCGGTAAGGCGCGTACTAAAGGTAATTTCAGTGGTGCTAATGATGAAAGAGAAACCACATTGAATCAATTGTTGGTTGAAATGGATGGGTTCCAGAGTACTGATCATGTTGTTGTTCTTGCAGGTACAAACAGACCAGATGTTTTAGATCAAGCATTGATGAGACCTGGTAGATTTGATAGACACGTTCAAATTGATAAACCTGAATTAGAAGGACGTAAAGAAATTTATCAAGTTCATTTAGCCAAGATTAAACTAAAATTAAATGAAGGTGATGAATCTGCTGAAGTTAAAAAATCCGAATTTGAGAATTTGGCTGGTAAATTAGCTGCATTAACCCCAGGGTTTTCCGGTGCTGATATTGCCAATGTTGTTAATGAAGCTGCATTAATCGCAGCTAGACATAGTGATGAAAGTGTTGATTTACCACATTTTGAACAAGCTATTGAAAGAGTCATTGCAGGTTTAGAGAAAAAATCTAAAGTTTTATCAGAAAATGAGAAAAAAATCGTTGCATACCATGAAGCTGGACATGCTATTTGTGGTTGGTATTTAGAATTTGCAGACCCATTATTAAAAGTTTCAATCATTCCAAGAGGTCAAGGTGCGTTGGGTTATGCTCAATATTTACCACCAGATATTTATTTATTATCTACTGATCAATTGAATGATCGTATGACTATGGCATTAGGTGGTCGTATTAGTGAAGAATTACATTTCCCATCAGTTACATCTGGTGCATCTGATGATTTTAAGAAAGTTATGGGTATGGCTTATAATATGGTTACTAAATTAGGTATGTCACCAAAGATTGGTACGATTGCATATGAAAGAAAAGATGATAATGATTTAACAAAACCGTTCAGTGAAGAGACTGCTACTTTAGTTGACGAGGAGATTCAAAGAATTATTAATGAATGTGCAGAGAGATGTCGTTCTTTATTACAGAAAAAATCTGAAGAATTGGAAAAAGTTGCACAATTGTTGTTAAAGAAAGAAGTTTTAACAAGAAAAGATATGATTGAATTATTAGGTCCAAGACCATTTAAAGAGAAAAATGATGCTTTTGAAAAATATTTAGATCCAAAAAAGACAACTTCAACAAATGTTGATATTTAAAATCAATTAAACAAATAATTTCATGATGAACAAAAGACCATTGTATATAGGATGAATTACATATTTATATTTCTAGAGGGAAAGCTGTAATAGCCCAGTCTACGCTATAACTTAGCCAAAGTATTGTAATATTAAAAAAAAGTAATGAATGAATGAAGCAAGTAGGTGTGTAAATATTGTGTGTGATAATCTTCTTTTTTATAATAAGAAAAAACAATAAAAAAAACCAATCATGTATGCAAAAAATATAGATAAAATCATAAAAGGGTTCAAAGATCAAGTGATAACATCTGGTTTATCTTTACCCAAGATTTCTTTGAATTTCAAAAATTCTAAAACTTGTTCAATATCTTTTTGTAAAAATTCAGTAGCTTGTTTTGAATAAGTTTTTGAATCATTTGAATATTTCTCCAAATATAATCTAATTGTAGCACCTGAAGATCCAGTACCTGACAATCTAACAATAAATCTTAGGCCATTTGATAATTTAGCATAAAGCCCTTGATTTTTAGAAACTGAACCATCTAAATCAGTATAACTAAAATCACCAGTATCAACAACGGTAACACCTTGGAAAATTTCAGAACCTAAAGATTTTGAATCATTTGCAAACTCACCAAATTTTTTAACTAGTGTATTTGCAGCATCACTATCAACATTTTCAAAATCAAATCTTGTGAAAAAGATACGACCATATTTTTCCCAAAATTTATCTTGAACAATCTTTATTGAAACTTCATCATTTGGATGTAATTCATAATAAGCAGCTAGCACATTTAACCAAGCAACGATTGCCCAAATACCATCTTTTTCTCTAACATGATTTGAACCGGTACCAAAACTTTCTTCACCACAGATTGATAATTTTTTAGCATCAAATAAAGCACAAAAAAATTTCCAACCAGTTGGAACTTCATAAATTTCTAAACCTTTATCCTTAGCAACTAAATCCAAAGCACCAGAAGTTGGCATTGATCTTGCTAACCCATAAACACCTTGTTTTTTAAAATATGGGATATAATCAGCATATTCAGCAATGATTGCGACGGAATCACCAGGGGAAACAAAAGCAGGACCTGCACCATAAATCATATTTCTATCACCATCACCATCTGAGGCTGCACCAAAAGCGATTTGTTCTTTGTCAACTCTATCAACAAGAGTTTTAGCATAAGTTAAATTAGGATCTGGATGTAATCCACCAAAATCCGGTTTTGGATGATAATTTTGAATGGAATCTAAAGGTAATCCCAATTCTTCAATAAAGATTTTTTCACCATAAGGACCAGTAACACCATTTAGGGCATCGAATAAAACTTTGAAACCTTTTGGTTGTTGATCTTTAATAAATTTTTTAATCAATTCAAAATCAAAAATTTGTTTTAAAAATTCAACATAAGATTTAGTACTATCAATGATCTCAACAACTAGTGAACCATAGCTAGATTCACCCAATTTTGATAAATCCACTGTTGGTAAATCCTCCACGATATAATAATTTTCCAATTCCAATGATCTTGCAAAGATCTTATTTGTAACACTTTCAGGAGCCGGACCACCATTAGCCAAATTATACTTGATACCCAAATCATTTTGTGGACCACCTGGATTATGAGAAGCAGTCAAGATAATCCCACCCGTGATCTTTTCAGGGTGGGTTCTAATAACATGAGAAGTTGCCGGAGTGGACAATATACCATCTTGACCAATGATTAACTTCTTGACACCATTGGCAGCACCGATCTTGGCAATCAATTGGATGACATGATCATTATAGTAACGACCATCACCACCAATGACTAAAGTACTATCTTGAACACCTTCAGGAATTGCCTCCAAGATTGCTTGGATGAAGTTTTCTGTATAGTTTGGTTGCTTAAACACTGAAACCTTCTTACGAAGACCTGATGTTCCAGGTTTCTGGTCATGGAATGCGGTTGTTGGAATCTTTGAAGCTTTGTAGGTAGACATTGTTGGAGTCAATTGGATCAATTGATACTATGAATATGTAAAATGGTTCCACTTGTTCCTTGTTTTCGTTTTTGTTTTTGCTCTTCGGAAATCTCATCGCCAGAGAAATTTGGGTTTTAAGCGAGAGATCCGGGGCAGCACGTGATCTGGGGTAAGCGGTCGGAATACAAAAGCTATAAACCATCCCAAAAACACATAACAATTGAAAAGAATAAATAAATAGGAATATATAATTAGTTAGTAATAAATAGATCTAGAACTAGCTGAACATTATGTTATCTTGTCTATAGAGTCAGCCAAATACTCAACATTACCATCATTAATACCACTGATTGAGAATCTACCATCTAGGGTTGCATAGATTGAAAATTCAGAACGTAATTGTAAAATTTGTTCTTTTGATAATCCAGTATAACAAAACATACCATTTTGATTAATCAAATGTGACCATTTTGAATTTGGGTTCTTGGTTTTCAATAAATCATATAATGCAACTCTCATTTCTTTAATTCTATTAGACATTTGTAAAACATCCTTTTCCCATTGTTTATAAATTGATTCATTTGATAATACAATCTCAACTAATTTAGCACCATGGATTGAAGGAGATGAATAGATTGATCTGATTGATTTTTTAATTTGAGAATCCACTTTCTCAGTTGTTTCTGCATTAGGAGTGATGATGGAAAAAGAACCAATACGTTCACCATATAAACCCATGTTCTTAGCAAAAGATTGACAAATTAAAGCAGTTGGTAATTTTGATTGATTAACTTGATCCAAAATCATTTCAATTAAAAATAAATCTTTTGATAAAGAACCAGATTGGAAACCTTGGTAAGCCATATCAATAATTGGAATCAATTGAGAATCACTTATAGTTTCAATAATCTTGGCCCAATCATCTCTTGAAGGGTCTAATCCTGTTGGATTATGACAACAAGCATGTAATAAAACAGTGGAGCCAGGTTCAGCTTTTGATAAATCCGATAATAAATTATCAATATTGATTGAATTTGTTGATGGTTCAAAATATGAATACAATTTTGGGTTTAAATTACAACCTTTGAAAATATTGTGATGATTTGCCCAAGTTGGATCAGGTAAATAGATTGATCTTGATTGATAAGGAGACCAGTTTGATAAAAATTCACCAGCAATTTTCAAAGCACCAGTACCGGATAAAGATTGAGATATTGAGATTTGATCATTTTTAATAAAAGATTGACCCAATTCACTTGAACCAAAGATGAATTTTTTAACAAGGTTATTATAACGGGAAGAGCCATTAATACCCGTGTATTCTTTATTTGACTCATGTTCATATAGATATTTCCCAGCCATTTTGATTGAAGGCAAGACATAAGGCTGGCCATGGTTGTCTCTGTAAGCGCCCACACTCAAGTTGATCTTCTTGGGGTTTGAATCCTTGTTGAACTCTTCAGTTATTCCTAGGATCGGATCAGCTGGGGCCAAAGGGATTCCCTTCCAGAACAACGAGGCATCCTCTTTGGATAGCCTTTGGTGGTTGGCAGCACTGGCGCTGGTGCTCTGCGACGATGATTTAGCCTGAGCTGAGCTTAACGATGCCCATGAGGATGGCTTTGTTGATATTGATCTGAAGGGAGTAGTTCTCAGTGGATGCCTTAGCATAGTGTTAATTCTCTGATTATGAATAAATTAAAAGAATCAAATTAAAACGTCCTTTGCACACTTTTTAAAACGCTTTCTTCTACAGAGGGGAATTGTTCAAATTTTTCATGAGGAGATTTTGAATCAAATGAGCCGAATTTTAAAAGGGAATTAACGATAAAAAGAATTAATCTAAGCGATCAATCAGGCCATAATAGAATAGAATAGAATTAGCTAATTATAATTATATAGTACCCAGTATTAAATACATTTTAAAGTATTAAGTGTTAATTATGGTGTAGTACATTATATTGTTGGTACGCGCACTCCCTCACCAAAAGTTTTTTTTTACATCAAAATTTATTGATCATTTGGAGATGAGATGAGATGAGATGAATTAACTGATTAGCCATGGCCAAACAGAATAACCTATGGAGGTTAGACCTACTAGAATGCCACTACCTACCAGATCAACACCCTCCTCGCTACTCCAGAACTAAACTACTCCTCAAGTCCAAAAAGAAACCGGCTAACCTATTACCAAATAATAGAACTCAGGCCCTTGAAGAAATAGATTCTCTTAGATCTGATATCTTTAATAAGAAACTACACAGTTCTATAGTGAAATATAAAAGAACTCTGAAGAAATTAATCAAGACTAATCAAAACAACAAGAAATTAGATAAAGATGAATTAAATTTCATTAAAAATTTAAATATTGATCAAATTACAAATATCAAGATTATTAAATTAATTCAATCAGTTTTCAAGATAATACCTAAAAAAACCATATTGGAACCAAATACTAAATTGAAATGTATCCCTGATTGGATTTACCAGGGGTTGGTTGATAAAACAAATCAATATAATCAGTCTTTTTTCTATAATGGATTAACCCAATTGGAGAAAAATTATTATTCAAAATTAATGAATAATAAAGAGTTGGTTAGTATTATCAAGATTATTGAAAACAGTTTAAAGATTGTCCTAGGTCCTGTTGAGAATAAGGAAGTTAAAAAGGATATTGAAGATGTTTCAACTGAAGAAAGTGAAAGTGAAGAGGAGGAGAATGAAGATAATGAAAATTCAGAAGATGAAGAATCAGAAGATGAAAAAGTTGATGATGACAAGGCTGAAGAAGAGGACGATTACAGTCAATATGATGCATTAGTTGCTGGCTCTGAAGATGAAGAAAGTGAAGTTGAAATGGATCAAAATATAAATTATAATGAAGTGACTGATACCGAGGCTTCAAATGATGAAGAATCTGAAGAATCTGAAGATGAATTTTTTGAAACTGAATCAAAAAAGGAAAAAAGGGGAAAAAAGAATTAAACCTCCCAGAATTAGCAACTGGTTATTTCTCTGGAGGTTCAGATTCTGAAGATGACCATGAAAATGATAAAGTTGTCAAGAATTTATTAAAACCTCAAAAGAAAAATCGTAGAGGTCAAAGAGCTAGACAAAAAATTTGGGAAGCAAAATTTAAAAATAATGCTAATCATATCAAGAAGGAAAAAGAGGAACAATATAAAGAGAGACAACAAAGACAAAAAGAATATGAAGAAAGAGTGGCTAAAAGAGCTGCTAAGGCTAAAGAATTGGAAATTACCGGTAGTAATAATATCCCATTAAAAGAAAGAGGTTCTTCAAAAGAAGCTGAACAAGATCATAAATTACATCCTTCATGGGAAGCTAAAAAGAAACAAGAAGAAGCTCAAAAGAATATTAAATTCTCTGGTAAAAAAATCAAATTTTGATCAAAATATCAAATAAAATTGTATACTAAATTTTCGAGAACACCATGTAGAAAAAAAAAACATCATCATCTTCATTAATACCCACAAACCATCACCAAATAACCACAATGTCACTCATCTTCAAAAGATTCAACTCCACAAACTCATCACTCCTAGGCCAAACCGCACTAATCACAGGTGGCTCAAGAGGGTTGGGGCTTCACATTGCCAAAAGACTCTCGCAAAACGGTGCAAACATCATTCTACTATCCCGTCAGGGAGACATCCTAAAACATAACATCAAGCATGAATTGTCAATAATTTCCAACAATCAACAACATCACTATATCCAATGTGACTTATCCCAACTAGATTCAATTGGAGAATGTCTTTCATCGTCCAATATTTTACAAAAACTAAACATTTTGATAAACTGTGCAGGTATTTCACAAAACTCATTACTATTTTCCACATCATCTTCATCGATCCAATCAATCATAGATACGAACCTAACCTCATCCATCATCCTATCACAATTCTTGATGAAGCCACTCATGCGGAACTCTCCATCAAGTATAATAAACATCTCCTCCGTGTTGGGACTCAAGGGGTTTCGGGGAACCAGTGCGTATTCTGCTTCAAAGGCTGGGTTGGTTGGGTTTACAAGAGCATTGGCCGTGGAGATGGGCTCAAAGGGCTTACGAGTGAATAGTATATCTCCTGGATTGATTAAAGAGACTGAGATGGGTCAAGGGTTGAAGTTTGAGAATGTTTTGAATAAAGATGGGGTTAGTATGGAGAGTGTTTATCAGACTGTTGAGTATTTGTTGAGGAATCAAAGTGTTACTGGACAGAATTTGGTGGTTGATAATGGGATCGTGGTGTGAAGACTACAGAATGGTTAGTATGTTGTGTCATTATAATTTCAATTCATGAGGTGATGCTCTGATACCGAAAAAGCTCGTTCTGCTGATGAATTGACGTTCCCATTCTGGTCTTGGCTTTGGTATGACTCCAGGTGGTAAATCTAGTTGAATTTTTGATATAAATTCAACAAATTTTGGTAATACCTTAAAATCATCTATTTTAACAACACAACGTTTCATCAAATCCCAATCTTCTTCATCCTCACTTTGTTGATGAATATATGATGTATCATTCATAACAAATGCATAAAATATCTTGAGAATTGAACAAACATTAGGCATCGATTCGCAAATTTTAAACAATTGTTGGAAAAAATTCTCTTCAACTTGTTGTTGGAAACCTCGCTCATTCCAATCTCTATAACTCAAGTATTTTGCCATGGCATTCATCAATGTAATTTGTTTCAATCTGTATTGATCATCATGCGTTAATTTCTTTAAATGTTTAATTGGTTTTGTAATTTCATATTCTGAAATCCTTAATATAATTTTCAAATAAAAATGTTGTTCAAACTGATATTTACAATTGATAAGTTCAACTTCCAAAAACTCTGCATCCAATTCACTTAGTTTTTCATGATTCATAACAACTGGGACAATTGCATCTAAAACGTCTCTTTCATAATTTTTAACAATCAAATCGTAAACATCACCAGAATCCTTAATGGTTTTATAATATTCCATCTCTGCTGCTCTTAAAAAGGGTTTTAAAATAACAAACCCAACACTTTCAGTACACCATTGTGTTAAGAATGGGAGAAGTTTCTTTAGAAGGTCACGATCTTTTAAAACTCTCCATAAAATCCTACCTAAATCATAATCCCTATAATATTTCTTCAACAATGGTTTATGTTTCTCATCAACAACAATTCCATAGATCCCTATTTTAAAAGCAATCTCTTGAGAAAACTTCTTTTCATCACCAATATGACCAGCTATCAATTCAATTATATCTTGGAAAATTCCCTTTGCAAATGGCTCCACCTTACTAGAAATCCATTGAATCCCAGTAATTGCTCGATGATATTCACATAACGTGTACGCATCATCTCCGTCTCCATCAGATTGATCCAGGATAGAGCCTTCCCCTGTACCCAATGGTAAAGCAACCTCTAGTTTCCTAGATTTATGCTTTGAAGTAGTTGACGTGTTCCCAATAGTGCACGAATTGTGAAGGGTTTGATAATTATCAATCCACGATTCCACTTTACGCACTTTTAGTCTCCATTGACTCCTGGAGACTCTTTCATCGACTCTCTGATTGTTGCTTTCAAATCCTGGCATACTTTTTCAAGGTGTAAGTGATTGAAGCTGGTTAATTAAGTTAACAATGTTTAAACGCGTCTTTTCGAAATCAAAACAAACCGTTATATTCGCGAAAATGAACTCTCTACAATGTCAATGATTTTAAGTATTCATAAGGGCATTTATGGTATAATCAGGGTTTCAAGTCGTGATGTGATGCTCGATATCCAGAAACGATGAAGAATGGCACACCATAAAACTTTGCAGGGTTTCTGAAAACTTCTGATGGAACTTGTAATCCAATTGTGGTTGTATATTTTTTAAAATTCGTCATTGTAGGTTCTCTTAATTTAAACCCACAATGTCTCAATAATCTCCAATGTTCACGAGATGTATCCCAATGACGATATGAGGTATCGTTGTTGTTGAAAGCGTATAATAATTTCAAAGCTGCGATAACATGACTAGGCATCGTTTCACATAGTTTAAATAATTGTTGGAAGAAATTTTCATTAACTTGTTCTTGATCTTCACGATGATGGAAGAATTCAGACACGCAATTCATGATTGTGATTTGTACCAACCTGCGTTGATCATCATGTGAGATCCTTTTCAAACGATTATTGATTGGCTTTGTAATTTCATATTCAAGAAATTTAAGCATGATGGTCAAAACATAATAATATGGGAAATAACATGTACAATTGGCAAGTTCAATGGCAAATACTTGGGAATCAGGCTCTGTTAATGGATCATGAGTCATCAACATTGGAATAACAGCTAGTAATACATCACGTTCATAATTTTCCGGTATTAAATCATAAATCAGATCATTATTTTTTCTTAAATGATAAAAAACTTCTTCTGCAGCTTTCAACAATGGTTCATAAACCGCAGTTTGAGTCTCTGCACACCATTTAGTCACATGTGGTGTAATTAATGTAACCAATTCTGCATCCAATAAAACTTTACGCAAAATTCTTCCTAAATCATAATCTTTATAGTATTTTTTCAATAATGGTTCATACTTTTTATCAGTCACTTTACCGTATATCCCCAATTTGAAAGCAACTTTTTCAACAAGCTTCTTTTTTCTAGCATTACCAATAATCAATGAGATGATATCTTCATAAGTTTCAACAACTAGTGAGTTAACATTTTCAGAACAAGTTGGAATACGATGTGACGATCTTGGAATTTGTTCCTCTGGATCATCTTCAACTTGACCACTTTCCAAAATAGAACCAATTCCAGTTCCCAATGGTTTAACAATGTCTAGTTTCCTCTTCTTGTTGGTTTTCTTGTTGGTTTGGTGGCTCAAAGTTTGATCTGTCGCGTTCTCATAGTCTGCAGTACCGTGAACTCTTTGATAATTGTCAATCCAAGTTTCGATTTTGAGGACTTTCGCCTTCCATTCTTTCTTGGTCAGTCCCCTGACCTCAATTTTGGCAGGCATCTTGTTGGAATGAATAGCAGTTAGTTCTTTGTTGTAATTAGTTGAGTAAAAAGTTGAAAGTTGAAAGGTTCAAGTTTTCGCGTAACATTCTCGAAATCAAAATAAACGTCCGAATACGGTAATTTCCTTTTAAAGCGATTTTCAATTTTTTTTTTTGCTTTTTTTTTTTTTTTTTGGTCAAAGAAAATTTAAAAAAAAAAAAATTTACTTCTCTTTTTCCAACATTCAACTCAGCACAAAACCTACGAATATTTCAAAATGCTTATTTACAAAGTATGTAACAAATGGATCCATTGGATAGCTCTGAATGCAGAGATTCTTATGATACCAAATTCATGTGTGTTTGATTGGTGTTTTAACCTCAATTCCCCATGAATCTTATCTAATCACTTGTTCATCCATTTGGAAAATTTTATCAAAAGACAGGAAAACTAACAAACTGAAAAGGATATCATCTCAGGTGACGAATTATTATCAGATGCTTATGACATCAAAGTCGTTGACGATGTCATCATCGAAGCTGACTGTACCATGGTTACCGTTGGTGGTGATAATGTCGATATCGGTGCTAACCCATCTGCTGAAGGTGGTGATGATGAATTAGACAGTGCTGCTGAAACTGTTAACAACGTTGTCTACTCATTCCGTTTACAACAAACCCAATTTGACAAAAAATCATTCTTGACTTATATCAAAGGTTACATGAAAAAAGTTAAATCTCATTTACAAGAAAAAAACCCAGATCAAGTTGAAATTTTTGAAAAAGGTGCCCAAAAATACGTTAAAAAAGTTATTGGTTCTTTCAACGACTGGGATTTCTACACTGGTGAATCAATGGACCCAGATGGAATGTTGGTTTTATTAAACTACCGTGAAGATGGTACTACTCCATTCGTTGCTATCTGGAAACATGGTGTCTCTGAAGAAAAATTATAAGCTCATTGTTTTCTAAAGATTTTAAATAGTAACTTGTTGAGGGTTCTTTAATTTAATTGTTTTATTCAATTCTATAAAAATGATTTTGTAGATGCTTATTTGTTGACAATCATACACGTGTTTTCTAATGATATTTCACGGGGAACATAATGACAGAGTTCAACTTTATATCCATTTTGTTCCAATGCAAACTTTCTTGATTCATCTATTATTCTTCTAGCTTTCAACCCGAGGTCTTCTCTTTCTTTTATACTTAACCCACTAGGATGATCACTTCCATCTTCATCTTTCATTCCTGGTCTTCTTCCATTTACTGCCCAACTTGCAAACTTCATTAAATGCTTAAAACCTTCCCTTTCAATTCCAAATTTTTTCAAGTATTGTTTGGAGTATAGGGACAACATATCATAATCACAACAATGTCTACAACACATGGCCACAATCATTCCTTGAAATCTTGAGTTCAAGATTGGGTTTTGCAAAATACATTGAATTGTTAAATCAGTAGCAGCACCACATAAATGTTTTGAAACACCAACGAAATTCTTGTTATTATTGAACTCCTTTGTGACAATATCATCGATGAACAAATCTTTAATATCAATTTTGACTCTATAAATTTTAGTTTTCAAGTCATGCTCTTCGGCATCTTTAACCATTTTAGAATCCAACTTCAGTCTAGTTGGGGATCTATCAACAAGTATAAAATCAGCAGTTTTACTCGTCTTGAACATAATAGATTTGGCAATATATCTTGATAATTCAGCACGTCCACAGCCGAATTCAATATAATTCAACTCATTAGATAACAATTCTTTATTATCAAGATGAGAGATCAACGAAGATTGTTGAATTGCATGTTTCTGATTCCCTAGTTCTTCCATTCTATCTTTGACACCATCATGTTCCAACTTTATCAACTTCAACTCATCAAAATTTGTATAGATTTTTTCCACAATGGGTATCCATTTCTTATAATCAATAACAATCTCTTCAGCCTTCTCCTTTGGAACTTCACAGTTGTGATTCAACTTAAACCATGAAACTTTTGTAGCATCAGTAGCTTTTGCCTTACACTTCTCTATATGATTTTTCAAATCTTTTTCCCATATAGTGTGTCTTGGGTCAACAGGACATGGGATTCTAACATCATCTTGTTTTTGCTTTAGGTGTTCTGCGCAGAATTGAACATCCTTTTTTCTCGTCAAAGGACATCTTCTGTTTTTCTTTGGGATGATATATTCACATTGGAGTCTTTCAACGGTTGATACGATGCCTTGTTTTTCTTTACGTCTCTTCTTTGAAGAGATTCGGAGTTCTTGGTTTGAATCTGGTAGTTGATGGGTGTTTGGTTTTTCAGCTGACATCCTGAAAACTATTGATTCACCTTAGTATACAGAATAGGTCAAACACAGATCTTTATGGGTATTCCAGCTAATAAGCTTATTGAATAAATTTCACTTCAAACGCTTTGAATCAATTTTTTTTTCACTCTGCCATTTTTTCATGTTCACTTTGTAGTTTCGCGAAACACTTCTAGAAAAAGTGAAAAAAAGCCCAATATCGAAGGCAACAAGAGAAGAAATCAATCACTTTCCACAATACTCAAGGCTGGTGAATACTATAAAGATGTCGTTTGGGAATCCATTTGCTAGTGCATCGTATGAAGATGATAGTGGTGTCAATGGACTCGGCTACAATGGCTTTGAAGTTTCATTGAACTATATTAGCGGTTTGCCAGATCCAAATATTGTATCCAATTCTTCATTGAAGCTGATTTTCAAGTCATTGTTGAAAAGGGACGATACCACTAAGGAAAAGGCATTGACTGAATTGGCTGCGTATGTTGGTAATAAGGCAAATGTTGCAGAATTGAAAGATGATTTGGTATTGATAACTTGGATTCAATTATACCCAAAATTATCAATTAGTGAAAGCAAATCTGTTCGCTCTTTAGCACATCAAGTACATACATTGTTCATCAGCAATTTGCAGAAAACTTTTGCCAAGTATTTGAAAGACTCAATTCCTGTGCTACTTACTGGTATTTATGATTTTGACAGTTCTGTTTCAAACTCCACTTTGAAAAGTCTTCAAATTTGCTTCAACAATGATCAAACCAAAATCAACAACATTTGGGTTCTATTTCAATCCCAAATCTTGAATTTTGCTAATCAGGTGCTAAACAAAGAAACAATCGATTCATTGTCGGATGACAGAGTTGTTGCAAGAGATGAAGCAGAATTAAAATATCAAAGACTAGTCAATTCAACAATTTCAATCGTTAACCATTTAATCCAATTGGGCTTGAAAACAAACCCTGAAAAAATAGAAAAGGAGTTAGATTCATATAAAGATCTCTTCACATATGAAAACCTATGGCATTATTTATTAGTTAATACAAACACTAATAACCAAAGAATTTATAAAACTTTGTTAAGTTTATTGAACTCAACACTGAAAAATAAACCGGAGATTGTCACTGATAAAGCTTGGAAACTTATAAGTAAGAGATTGTTAAAGTCTTTGACATTTACCAAAAAAATTGATTCAACCTCTCAAAATTCAATGCTTTATTCTTCGTTAGTTGTCCCTATATTGACAACTCTGCTAAATTTGACTAAAATCAATCCTGACTTCTATGCTTATGATAAGTCTGCTAAAGAGAGAGTTGTCGGGTTTTTGAAAATTGGATCTTTGAACTCTGATGCTATTTATTACAAACTTTTGGAATCATTTTTGAATGACTCACCACTCTTCGATTTCACAAGTGATGAAGATTTCAAGGCTATTGAAAAGATCCTACATAATGATTTCACTCAGGAAGTTTCCAAAAACTTGAAGTTCAGAAATGGTGCTGATTTTATATTAAACTCCCTAACAGCCTATGTCAAGATCATCGGCAAGTTCAATGATAAAGAACAAATCAATAAAAGTTTGGAAACAGTAACTCATGAAGTTCTTCAAATCAAGTCACCACTAACTTCCAAGTTACTTGATACCCTTTCCAGTCATATCAGTTCTGAAACAGTTCAAAAGGAAATAGATGATTCAACTTTTGGAAACATTGAAAACTTGCTAGCATTATCCAACAAGACATCAACACCAATAAATAAGTTACTATCCAAGTCATTAGATTCACTGAGAGAAAAAGCTGATGAAGAAAGTGAAGAAATTTCAAAAGAACCTGCATTTGTGATTTTCGAATTTGTTATCAAATCAAACTTGAAAGAATATATCAAAGAGGTTGATGAATTTATAGATGAGTTGCCAGGTTTCATTAATCCAAATTTCATCGAGACTCCAATTCAAATATTGATAAATTATTCTAAATCAGAGCTTTTCAAGAGTGATGTTTTCTATGAAGCATTTGATACATTGGTGCTGAAACTAATTTTCCTCAATTCCACATCCTCTTTATTGGACAAATTGGATTCATTCCAAAACAAGTCAGAGCTATCACAGAATAGTACAGAATTACAAAAGTTGTTGAAAGAATCTTTGAAAACCTATGATTTCAAAAATGACTACTTCTTCAAGCCATACTTGACAAACCAAGAGACCATTATCAATCTTTACAAATTAGCAGATAAACAGAACAAAGTTCCAATTTTTGTCGATTACTATTGGAGGTACAATATGAATGATGATGAATTGTTTTGCTTATTGTCTGAACAGACTAATTTCTTGGATCATGCTCTTTGGAGATCACCATTAGCATTACCTGTTCACAAAAAGATTGAATCATTTTTCCCAACTCATCAACACCTAAAGACAAAATATTTTGAAAGTTTGAGAAACCATGTGGTTAATCATTGTGCTAGTTTGGAAATTGAAGATCACGTTGCCTCGTTATTGAACAAAGATCAATCATTAGTTTCAGAATTGATTCCTGAGAATTATGATGACTTGATTATTAAGAATTATGGCGAAGCTGTTGACTCAAAGTTATCATTGGGGAACCCATTACAATCAAATATCTTTGCACTTAATACCCAAGAGGATTGTTTTCAATTTGAGAACCTAAAGCCAATTATCAAGTATGGACAGTTCTTGAACAATTTGGCTTTCCAATTTGATGAAAAGGTATTGATCCAATTAGGCATCATTGCTGAGATTGCAATTGATTATGATTTTTTGATTGATGAATCCCAATCCCAATTCAATTTAAATGATTTGTTGAAATTTCAAAAACAAGCTAATGAAAAACTATTGAATTCATTCTCTGATGAGACTTTTAATTCTGTTGTCTCCCAAATCATCTCTCAAAGTTACACCAATTCTTTATTAAAACAGCTAACAAACACAGAATCTCAAATATTGGCCTTTTATCACAATAGACTATTGAAATTCATCTTGTCAGATCTTTTCAATAAACAATCAACAACAAAGATATCTGAATTAGATTTGGACAAATATGTTAAATCAGGTATTCGTGATTTGAAACCAATTTCTGTGCTAACACTAACAACCGTTTTATCAACATTGGGTGCCATATTATCAGACCCTGCTTATGAAAGATTAAGAAACTTGGTTGGTTCCGAATTGATTGGGTTGAGATCATCAGAGATAAACACTACTGGGTTAATGAAGTTGATCATTTTGAACAATTTCATCAATGTCGATGATGTTGATCCTGAATTTGAACCATTCCAAGTACAAAGATTCAATATGATTGTTAATGAAATTAATAAATGGTTAGATTCTGATGTTTCATATGAACCTGAGTTTGTCTTTGTTAGATTACAGTTATTGCAAATGTTGACAAATTTGAACAATTTGAGTTTTGAAAAAAGTGATAGTTTTAATGAATTAACTACCAGAGTCTTACAAGATACTATTGGTATTGTTAGTATTGGTGAAGGTGAAAATATTTTGGAATTGAAATATCAAGCTTTGAAATTATATTTGATTTTGGAAAAACGTGAATTATTGGAGAAAGATGTTAAAGAGGATATTCAAAATGAAATTTTGGAAAGTTTTGTTAATGATAAGACTACTAAAGTTAACCAACCTGTTTATATTTATAGAGGGTTATTGAATAGAATCTTGGGTAAGATCTCTACAAAGCAATTTGGGAATCATTATGAAGAATTGTTCACCAAATTTCAAAATTCAACTAACTTTGAATTGAAAAGACCATTATTGAGTATCATTGAAAAGGTTATTATTGCAAGACAACAAGATCTAGTCATTGAATTTGAATTATCTAAAGAAAATGATGATACACCATTCAAGATTTCACAAAATTTGATTGATAATGTTTTAAGAGTTCCAGATTTTGATGAGGATGATTTGGAAGAAGAAAAGAAATTGGTGAATTATTTATGGAATTGGGTTTTAATCTTGTTAAATTTCAAAGATATTACATTGAAGCTACGTTCTATTTATATCAATCAATTACAATCAGAGAATGAGGAATTAATTTCCAAGTTTTTAAACTTTATTGCATTATTAATCAATTCATTTGGTGATGATAAAGAGTTTTTGAGCAAGATTGAACAAGATCATGAAAGTTTTATTAATTATGAATTTGAAAATCATATTGATGATTTAGTTGTTGAAGTTAGATTATTGTCAATCCATTTATATTATACCATTTTGACATCGATTGGGTCATTATCTTCAAGTTGGTTCAATGACATCAAAGATAGAAATTTCAAAAATAAAACTGAACAATTCACAAGTAAATTCATTGCCCCAAGTTTGATTCAAAATAAATTAAATGACTTTGAAACCAAGAGTCCAAAATTAACAAAAGATCACGAGAATTTGAAAATCAAGATCAATAGAGTGACAAATGAAATCAAATCAACATATTTAATTGATGAACAATATTTGGAACTTGTTTTCAAGATTCCTTCAAATTATCCATTGACAAACATTGAAGTTTTAGGTCCACAAAGAGTTGGTGTTAAAGAGAATCAATGGAAGGCATGGTTATTAGCATCACAACGTATTATTTCATTACAAAATGGTGAAGTTTTTGAAAGTTTAGAATTCTTTTTGAAGAATGTCACGTTCCATTTCAAAGGATTTGAAGAATGTGCAATTTGTTATTCTATTTTACATCAAGATAACTCTTTACCATCCAAGACTTGTCCAACTTGTAAGAACAAGTTCCATGCTGGTTGTTTGTACAAATGGTTCAAATCAAGTGGTGACCATTCCTGTCCATTATGTCGTTCAGCAATTAACTTTAGATAGATTTAATTCAATTTAAACAGTTTATAATACTACACTAGTTATAGTAGCGACTGGCCCTACCGAGCACAAGTGTCGCGAAAGTCGTTTTCGCAGTTGTGCAAAATTTGTGAAAAATTGGAAAAAAAAGCGAATACGAAGGAAATCAACGAAGGAAATCTCAGATTAAATAAATAAAACACAGTTGTTTGATCAAAGATGTCCAATAGATACAGACCAGCCAGTTGGTTGAGAAAAAATGAATTTGCTCCACAAGTTTTCCTTTTCAGAAACATGGAGTCTGGACAAGTTTTATATTCACAATTACCAACATTCACAGTGAGTATTGATTCAACATCATAAATAACGAAAAAAGATATACTAACCTAGTGTTTCAGCAATATCAAATAAAGAGACAATTCAAAAGACCAAACTGGGAGAACAGAAAACCAAGCACACGTCCAGATATCTGGAGAATCATGGCTGTTGCAACTTTCCCAGATTATGAAGCTGCTATTAAAGCTTATGATAGTCTTGTGCAATTAAGAAACATGAGAGATATATCGAAGAAGGATGAAGCTATGAAATATAGACCAAGAAATGAAGATAATCACATTTGGTACAGTGCTCAATATAGACCAATTTATACACAAGAAGCAGTTGCTGATTTAAATACAGTTGTTGAACATATTCAAAAATTAACCACGATTCACTGGGAAGATGAATGGAGAAAAGGTGATTTAAAACATTGGAACGGTGATTTAGTTAAGCATGAACTATTGGATAGAACTGGATTGAAGACACCAGTTGCCCTATTGGATCAATTAAGAATAAAAGGTAGAGAAGCATTCCAAAAATTGAGTATGTTGGAGAATTCACAAAGACAAAAGGAAAAATCTGCAGCTAAGCTAGAATCCAGTGCATCAGCAGAGCAGAAGCAACAACCAGAAGCCAGTGTGTAGATATTAGGGGTACAGCATTGTAAATAGACGTCACGAGATCAGTTCAAAGGTAGTAGCTTAACTTTCCTATGAATTATGGGTCAGTCCACCTAAAGTTGGGCTGAGAAGTGGGCCGACCCCTGCCCGGCTAGTTTAGCGCAGGCTGAAACTTACCGTGTCGCTAGGCAGAGAGCCAGCCCATTGCCAGCCCAGCGCTAGGCAGAGCTCTAGGCAGAGTCACAGCAATTCGCGAATTTGTTCTGGAAATTTTGTTTGTTTTTTCTTTTTCTTTTTTTTTCATATAAAAGAGCGTGAGACTCTTGCGTAAACACAATCGAAAACAAAACAACAGGCAAAGAATCGCTGGTTGTTGATTAATTCTTTAACTGTTGGTTTTGGTTATTGGTGCTGGTCTTATTCATCTGTTACTGTTATAAAAAGAGCTAGATTCAAATTCCTGAGAAGAAACAGAGAGGCTTTACATTTTCGTCTCATCAAGTTTTACACCTCCTATTCATTTTCAATCCATTGGTATTTTCTAAATGAATCACTTATTCCTTGCAAATCACACTCTAATGTCTGCTCCAGATTACAAGTTGGTGGAGAAGCCAAGTCTGATTGAAGGTATCCCTGATAACATCTTAGCACTCATCGCACCAGTTGTTGCATATTGGACATATTCCGGGTTTTTCTATATAATAGATACTTTTGAAATTGCTGAAAAATACAGAATTCATCCACCTGAAGAAGTTGCCTCAAGAAATAAAGCTTCAAGAATTGATGTCTTGAAAGATGTCATCTTACAACATATAATACAAACTATAGTTGGTTTAGTTGTGGCAAATTTTGATCCAATTCAATATACAGGTGATGAAGAGTATCAAATTTGGAAATTATCTCATAAATACCCAATGGTTCCAACATCATTCCTAAGATTTTACCATCTTTATGGATTTTCCATGTTGAAGATATTTATTGCATTTCTTATAATTGATTCATGGCAATATTGGTTACATCGTATAATGCATCTAAATAAGGCATTATACAAGAGATTCCATTCAAGACATCATAGATTATATGTTCCATATGCTTTTGGTGCTCTATATAATGATCCAGTGGAAGGGTTCTTATTGGATACTTTAGGTACTGGTATTGCATCTATTGTTACTCAATTAACCCCAAGAGAAGCTATTGTCTTGTATACATTCTCCACTTTGAAAACAGTTGATGATCATTGTGGTTATGCTTTACCATTTGATCCTTTCCAAAAATTGTTTCCAAATAATTCAATTTATCATGATATTCATCATCAACAATTTGGTATAAAGACCAATTTTTCACAACCTTTTTTCACATTTTGGGATATTTTAAACAATACAAGATATAAAGATTTGGATAATTATAAAGAGAAGCAAAAATCAATTACAATTGCCAAATATAAACAATTTTTACATGATCGTGAAATGGCTAAATTGAAGAAGAAGGCGGAAATTTATAAAAAGGATTAAAATCATATGAAATGGCCCCAAGGATGTACTATTATAAATGTGTCTTTTGAATAATACTTAATTTAATTAATCTTAATAATAATGAATATATGAAATCTTTTATAATTTGATACCTGTGATTAATATGTTTCTTGAACTCTTGTTGAAATCGAATAAGGCATCAATTGATACATTCCCAACACCATGGTTCTGTAAATAACGAACCCTATCATGATGCACCAATGTTTCCACAACTTGACTCAATACCCCTTTTACAAAACACCACTTGATGAAATTCCCAATAAACTCATCTTGATTAAACTCGAGATGATCCAGTTGTTCAAATCCATAAACCTCACCAACTCTAGAAATGAACGATTCCCAATTCTCAAAATCCTTATTCTTCAAACCTGTCAACTCAACATCATCTAACTCCAATTTCAACACCTCTTTATAAAACTCCTTTTTAAAACTTAAAACAATCTCATCATTTGACAAAAACCTTAAATCCTGACCATACCCTAAAACATCAAACCTGACACCATCACCCTTCAACTCATCAGAAACGAATCTCGACACTTTATGGAAACAACAACTCACAACACAACACCCAATGACATCCAGCCCTTTAACCCCCTCGACAACACCATCCATGATCACATTGGGCAAATCTCCACAGGTATCCAATCCCACAATCAACGCCCTGGGAAGTTCTCCATTGCGTGCCTTCTGAGAATTGATAAAGTGTATAGTATCCTCACCGAATCTCAATTCAGTAGTTTGATGGATCTGAGGACTCTGTCTTATGAATCTGTTGAAGGTTTTAACCTTGGAGACATCTTTCTCGATGGAGATGATTTTGAAATGGGATGATAATGATTGACCAAGGTATGATTTCCCTGCACCGACGTCCACGATGAATTCGAAAGGTGTTGATTCGTGTAAAGATAGGATGTAGTTGGAGAATTGGAGGACTTCATATGTTTTCCTTGTGGATAATTGAGGAAATTTTGGTGATATTTGTAGGGGGAATGATGGTGGTGATGATGATGTTTTGTTTAGAAAGTTGATTGAAGTTAATGAAGGGTGTTGGAGATGGATGAAGTCATTGATGATTTGGGATGTATCTTGTGAGGTGTATTCTAGTGAAACTTGTTTATATGATTCAATTGATTGGTATTGTGTCAATAGTGATAATAACTCTTTATCTATATTCATCTTTTTCTTTGTTAGTAGTGGTTACTTCCCTGTTTCGATTATAATCTTCTACAAGGAGGCTTCATGTTTCTAAAAATCTTTTTTATTAATTTTTTTTCTTCTTAATCTTTGTAATTCATAAACAAACACGTTCAAAATTTGTCGTTATAAAAGAACATTTTTTCTCTTTGTTATATCTAATAATGTGTAAAAAATATCTTTCTCTTTGACATGCAAATAAAAGGATGATTGGGTTTTTTTTTATATGTGGATTCTGTTTTTTGAATTGAATATGTAACATTCCATAGTGTAATTTTTATTGTAAAGGTTCTTTTTTTTCTTTTGAGGTCATTAAATTTAGATAGCTTCTTTCAAAGTTTGGTTTAATCTAGCAATCTTTGAAGCAATTGATAAATCAACGGTTCTGTCACCAACTTCAACAATCAAACCTCCAAGGATATCTGGGTTAACATCATTAGTTAATCTTAAAGTTTTACCTGAACCAACAAATTTTGATTTTGAGATTGAGTTTTCAATTTTTTTCAAAATTTTTGAATCTAATTTAGTTGAAGAAGTGACAATTGCTTCAACGATACCATGATGAGCATCAGTCAAAACTTTGAATTGGGTGAAAACTTGTTCTAACAAGTTTAGTCTGTTGTTTTCACCTAAAACTTTCAACAAGTTTGAAACTGAAGCATCAATTGATGGGGTAGATTTAGCTAAAGTATCAACAACAACAGCACGATCTTCAGAAGACAAGGCTGGGTTGGATAAGAATTCACCGATTTTAGAATCTTTGGAGATTTTAGCCTTTAATGAATCTAAAGATTTAGCAGCAGATTCAATTGAGGTGGATTTAGCAGCAGCAGTGTACAAGGCAGTGGCATAGGTACCGTCCAAGCCAAACAATTGGACTGGTGGTTTGACAGAGGCAGCAGCGGTAGCCAAGGTACGTGAGAAGATTCTTGAAGCCATTGTGAGGTCTTTGTTTGAGGTGGTTTGTTTTGGAGTTTGTTGTCGAGTTTTGTTCAGGGGGTTTTTCAGCTTTTTTTCTTCGTTCAAAACTTTTTTGGAACAATTTGATTTGAAGAGTGCGCGTACCGGGTGGTGATGGTGGGTGTAAATGGCTGGAAAGAGGTGATTTTATATAGAGAAAGTCTTAATTTAATGTGATTTATGAGTTAATTGATATAATTTACACCATATCACCAATTTTAATCCAACTCACACCACCAAAACTCACCTTTAAAATTCCACTTCAACACCAATTTCCATAGTATCAAATCCGGGTAAATATCCACGAAATTCATGAAAAATTCAAGTTCGTGAAAAGAAAAATTCGAAGAAAGCGTCAAGCAGAGCTAGAATTCAAACAGCACCACAGCACCATGTTCTTCAGGGGAATAGCCACCAAGATAATACCGAAGAGCAGCTGGACAGCCTCCATAAGGCTGGCCTCCACCGCTGCTCCTGCCACTGAGCAACCAACTGCTGCTGCTGCTGAAGTTGCTGTTGCTGCTAAACCACCTTCAATCCAACAATTAATCATTATCCCTCCAAGAGATGCTGATCTAACAGAATTAGAAAAACAAGATCAAACCATCAAGAGACGTCGTAAATTAGCTAAGGAAATCGTTCAATTGAAAAGATATAAACCAACATCACCGGGTGTTAGATGGTATAGAGCACCAATCTACCCACATTTATGGAAAGGTAATCCATATAGAGCTTTAACTATACCTAAAAAGAAACATGGTGGTAGAAACAACACTGGTCATATTACCGTCAGAGGTAGAGGTGGTGGTCATAAACGTCGTATTAGATTGATTGATTATTCAAGAGAAGAGTCAGGTCCTCAAGAAGTGTTGAGAATTGAATATGATCCTGGTAGAACTGCTCATATTGCCTTGTTGAAGAATTTAGAAACTGATAAAAAATCATACATCATTGCTTCTGATGGGTTAAGAGCTGGTGATATCGTGGAAAGTTTTATGCAAGGTATTCCTGAAAGATTAATGAAAGAAATGGGTGGTAAAATTGATCCAGCTATTTTGGCTGCTAAGACTAATCAAAAGGGTAATTGTTTACCATTAAGAATGATTCCAATTGGTGCTACAATTCATAACATTGGGTTATTAAACAATGCTCCAGGTAAAATGTGTAGAGCTGCTGGTACTTATGGTAGATTGATGCAAAAATTACCAGAAAAGAAAAAAGCTATTGTTAAATTACAAAGTGGTGAACATCGTTATGTTCATCTTGATAGTTGTGCCACTTTAGGAATTGTTTCCAATATTGCTCATCAACATTTAAGTCTTGGTAAAGCTGGTAGATCAAGATGGAGAGATAGAAGACCAAAAGTTCGTGGTGTTGCCATGAATACTTGTGATCATCCTCATGGTGGTGGTAGAGGTAAATCTAAAGGTAATAGAAACTCTGTTTCTCCTTGGGGTCAATTGGCTAAAGGTTATAAAACAAGAAGAGGTAAAAACCAAAACAGAATGAAGGTTAAAGATAGACCAAGAGGTAAAGAAGGTAGAAAGATAAGACAATGATTGTATGAGGAACAACCGGGTGTATATAATTATTTGCATGTACATAATATTATTCACAAACATTGTAATTCTGGTTCTTTAATTTGATAAGGTTTGACAACTCGATAATAATCATCAGTGATATAAACAGGTTCTAATCTAACAAGATATTCAGTTTGATCAGCATCAAACATTTCAACTTCATCAATTTCCAAAACTGCAAACGAACAAACATATGGATACATGTTGATTAGATTCCCAAACTGATTGGCAAATTTCCTGCGGCTTAACCATCTCAATTTAACTTGTCTTATGAATATTAAGCAATTTGTAGTGTTTTCAGTGATTCTACAATGATTTTCACGCTCATAATTGGAAATACAACTAGGTGTTATAGCACCAAATACGAAATTATTTGAATCTGATAAGGAAACAAGTAATGAACCATCTGATTGGAGTTTAAGAAACTATGGATTGGGTTAGTAAAGCTAATTTGAAGTAAATTTCCATCATACTTTTAACAGTTTCACTATTCTTTGTCTTCCTCCAAACTCAAAGCTATCAAGGCCAGGACCATAGCACGACACCACTTCTCGTGTCAGCCATTTGTGTAAATAATCCTTTTCAATCAGCTTTCGGTCCCTAAAGACCATTGTTGTTGGTTTATTAAGAATCCCAAGTGATCTCAAAATAACAGCTCAAAAATAAACGTTTCCGCGAACAAGTTTTACATTTTTTTGATATTCAAAATTCATCATCTGCTCATTTGCCAATTGCTTCAGCTCTTGAATCTGAAGATGAATTAAAAGGAATATCAAGATGCTAGTGCTACTCCTTTAACTTCTGAGAATGTTACTCCAGGAATATTAGCCTCTTTGGATGCAAAGTGGAATGAACGCCTTCAAGGTTAGAGAGAACATTGCAGATTTACAAGAGAATATAGCTAAAACTACTCTCAAAGATGTCCAATTGCCGAAGTTTGTTCAACAGCTAGATGAAATCAACAAGTTTTATCCATTTATTATGTCCTCTGGTCTTGTTATAAAGTCATCTACCTCAGTGTTGTATCTAAGTTTAAGCCTGATGATGCTGAATCTTGATTATTTTGTTTCCTCCACATTTGTTCAATCATAAACTGTTCAATATCAGCTGATAGCTATCCACGTTCATTAGAATCGTTATTCTCTTGCTATGGTCCTGGCCTTGGTGGCTTTGGTGATTTATTGTATTACACATACTCAGTTGATGCTACTGTTTTCAAATTCATTGATGAAATCATGGAACGTGCTGATATCGTTTGTGGGATCTCAACATTTGCTATTCAAAGTTATCAATCTTTTATTTGATTCTATTCCTGACTTCAACTTAGCTGAAATACAAGATTTGTCCAGTGTTGTGACGAGCTTCATCATATTAGTTCAAAACATTTTGGTTTGGAAAAAGTCAAATCTACAGACACTTTGTTGCAACATTACTCTTGCATAAATTCAATCATTCAATCAATGTCAATGTCAATACACCTACTGTCTTCTTTTCTTACACTAGCGTATGATCCAACTACGGCACAAATCTCAGGGTCTCAGACCTTTCTTTCTTTTTGCTTCACCACTTGTTGCTGTTCTCAATGCCCTTTTTTGGCCTTTTGATTTTTCATCACTTTTCAAGGTTGAAAGTTTTTTACCCTTTTTTAGATTCAGATCTTTTATGGACTCATTAACCTTTGAATTCAGGACCTTCAGAGGCTCCCTATAGTTGCTTTGATCCATCTTGAGCTCCAAACCAGAAACAGGCTGGGTTGTCTTGGTCCCTTTCTCAGAATCTTTTTTCATATATTTCTTTATTTCCATGTAAATCATCATTGAAACAATAATCCTTGAATTGAGATGATGCTTTTCATTATCATCCACCTGATAGAAAAACTCAACATCGTTAACTTGATAAGATTGAACATTCTTCAAAGTAAACAGACCATCTTCAGTATGCTTGAAATCATTTGAGTCGAAAAAAACCAACAAAGACCCATAAAGATCATTGATAATACCACAGTTTAACTCATTTGAGCAGGCCTTGTAGGAAAATACCTGCAACAAAATACCCTTGATCTTTTCCAAATCATCTGGTGAACCCATTTTTGAGACCTTTGGAGCTTTTCTATGTTCAATAAATAAAACCTTTTTGTCTCTCCCGTCTTCACTAGCAGAACCAGAATTCATGGTAACAACCTTGTCAATATGTGAACTACTAACTCCTAAACTTTCTAGTTCTTTTTTCAAGGAATCACCTGGCAAAGTGTTTCCAAATCCTAAACCACTGTCTTCGTGGTGTGTTAATGTCATGCTGAAAACAAATGAAAGAAATTCCACCACCGGACTTATTACTCGATTAGAGAATTGACTTGCAAGACCATTCTCTGAAGCAGCAGCTAGCCGGTATCCATGATGACCAAAGCAGTGAACTAAACTCGATTGCAATAAATACTTCAATTCTGACTTGTACGAGTACATATCCAATTTCCTAACCCTATCAAAAATTTCATCCTCCATTTGTTTAATGTTTTTCAACAAGTAGCCTTCATAATTGACTTTGGAAAGATTCTCAATGCCTATATCTGTAAATCTCCTTTTAAGCTGACTAGATGAACCATTCAGAACCATCTGATTGCTTCCATTTAGTGAAACGTTGGTTGAACTTGCAATGGAAAAAGGCAGCTTCCATAATTTGACGAATGTAGTAAAACTGAAGGGACCGTACTCAATACGTTCAACATCCTTAGCATTCACAGAGAAACACCTAATATCAATGTTCAAAACTTCTCGTAAGATAAAGGTATAAATTTGAGAAATCCACAGGTTTGTTAATTGGGGTTCAACAGAGCTTGGAGAGTTAACATGGTGAAAGTTTCTTAAGAGATTTGAATGATTGATTTCAACCAAGTCTTTCTCCACCTCCTTTTCAATATTTTCAAATAGCTGGTCACGATTAGCATCTATAGTCTCTTCTAACTCTTTTTCAAGCTGACCGTTGTTATCTATACCCAGAGAACTGGTGTCATTGGCTGTTGGTTCTGCAGACATAGTGATGTTGGAAAATGATTAAATATTTGCTTTGCGAATGATGTGGACTTGATGGGAAGTTTGGAAGCTTGAAAGTTTGGGATTTTTGAGTTACTTGGGCTTTTAGCACCTCCGGTCAACTTCCATGCTGCAAATTTATGATACTTTTCACAAGAGAATATTTTTCCTTTTGTAAATGTAAACAATGCTGCATGGAAGGTCAAATCGGTAAAATAATGGTAGGCCCACACTCACCTGCTCTGGAAACCTGTAAATAATATGTCTAAAATTGTTGTGTATTCGTGGGCTAAGTTTCAACTTTTTATACTATTGGAAACGATTAATATCAAAATATAGTTGATCTCAAAATAATTGGTGTGCAGTGCAGTCTAGTTGTTTGTTTCTTCCACAATATTCAATTTAGCTGCAGTATTACGCATGCTCGCGAACTAAAAGAACAATAGGCTCTACAATTAACAATTATATAGCAATTTTAAAGTACTATGAAAAGATTATCTAGTGACTTCAGAGAGCTTATATTCATTAAATCAATTGTTCAATTAACTTCCTCAAACTTGTGGAAACCTAATTCATAGGTGTAGCCCAAAACTAATTTAGTAAATTCAGCAATATGATGGAAACTTAATCTATCCAAGGTATCAGTTGTTGAATGAATATAAGGATTAGTGTACTTGAAATCACTTTCAATGACAAAACTTGAAGGATATCCGTTTTGTAAAGCACTAGCATGATCACTACATGCATACCCACATTTTGTTTCAATATAAGGAATTGATAAATAGGAATCAATAATCAACTTGACAAATTCAGTGAATGGGGCAGAAACATAATCTGTGATAACACCAACGTGTTCTTTTTCACCATTATCCAATGTTTTTTGAACGTATCCAGTCATATCTTGTTGTAAAACTGAAACAACTTTATTACCTTTAGATTTATAATCAGTAAAGATATCTAAAGAACCTAATAGACCACCTTCCTCTGCAGAGTAAAAATGGAACTCAATTGTATTATCAGGTTCAAAGCCAGTTTCAACAAGGATTCTTAAAGCTTCTAAGTTGGTTGTAACACCACTACCATCATCATCTGCACCTGGTGCCTTCATTATATTTGGAAATAATAGATTTGTAGAATCTTGATGAGATCCAACAACAACTCTAGTTTCTGGTGATTTTTTACCAGGAATCCTAACAATAATTGAAAATTGTAACCATTCATGTGAAAACTTCTCAACGGTTATATTATTTTTGGAATTAGCAACAATTTCATTCAATTTGGCAAATAACCAGGATGCACTTTTCAAACCATTTTCAGATTTATAATATCTTGAGTAGAAAGATGAAAAATTAGCTAAATTATCATGTAAATTTTCCAATTGAATATCTGTAATCAAATTCGAAACTTCTTTTGGGTATGAAACATTTGTTGGATAGTTATAAACAGGAACTGGAGTTTTCTCTTTCTTGGTTGACCAAAACCATGACTGATGATTCGTTATATCGATGAATTTAACACCACTTCTTTTCAATTTCAATTTATCCAATTCAGAGATTCTTATAGGTTCCGAATCTTCAGATGTTACAATTAACCGTTGTTCATCCATGAAACCAGTTGATGGCAATAGGTTTTTCAATTGGTCAAGCCCCCATAATGGGAACGCGAGCGATAATGGCAGCACAAATAGTAGGACTTGGTATAGTTTCATACTTTGTTGTTGTTCTTGATGTTGTTGAAAGAGAGTTTTTAAGGTGGCACCTTTTAATAAAAAAGCAAGAACTGATAATGGTCTCGAGGCTAGACTGCCATATCGGGAAACTAAAAAGGTACAACTTCGAATAAACGCATTATTTTTATAACTATGAAAAAATCATGAAAGATGGAGACAAAAACTAGAAAATGACATCGTCTTCTTGTTCTTGTGTCAAGCTGCTTGGTTCAGCTCCATCCTCTTGAGCTGCAGCCAATTTCTCAACTTCTTCAGCCTCATGTGTAGGGTCAGCTTGTGTTTCAGCATCTGGTGCTTCATTAGCTAGTGCTTCTTCTTGATCCTTGGCTAGTTGCTCTCTTTTAGCTTTCAGTTCAGCATCTGCTCTAGCAGTGGCTTGTTGTTTCTTTTCTTGAACTTTCTTCAATCTATAAAATTCCTCTCTATCCAATTCATCCAATTCACTATTGATATAAGCAATTGTATTTTCAGTTCTTGGAATAATAACATGCTCAATGGCATTGACTCTTCTGTTTGTAACTTTGATAACTTCATCCAAGATTATAAAAGCAGTTTGTAAAGATGCCAATTCCACAAGAGTCTCAACAGCTTTGGAATAAACATTTTTAGCCTTTTGAACTTGTTGACCACCTCTACCTAACCCAGTCAACTTGAAATCGTTGATACCTTCTTCAATATAACTTTCAAACTGTGGTAAATAAACACCACTAACATTTTCTTGCTTAGCTCTAACTTTAAATCTAGCATTCTTGACAGATTCTTGAACTTGATAACCAATGTTATCACCAGTGGCATAAGTAACTTCAGCTAATGAAAATGCAGCAGTTTGCATAACTCTACCCATTTTTCTTTTAGCCTTTGAGTATTTGTTAGTAATCATCATTCATTTCAGTATTATCAAAGTACTCACATCATCAATACGTTTCGTTATATCTCTAAATCTTTTGGTCAAGGCCTCAGATTTTCTCTTCAACAAACTGTGACCTTGCTGAGCACCTTTCAGTTTACCTTTCATAAGACCCAAGGTCATACGAGTAGGGAAAACTGCTTCTCTTTTGCGAAAAGTTAGTCATTTGTTCATTATGCAACCAAAAAGTTTTTATCTCCCTGAATTACGTCCCATTTGCAAATATACTCGACAATTGGATGGATTCATCTCCAGAAAAAAGGCGAGATACAAAACTTTGTCCTCCCTCCATGTTCAACATACCTATTATTCGACATATCGGTGTATCTGTTCCAGCTCTTGAGCAAATGGTTGTGGACTTACTATGGCCCACTTTCTTTTATCAATTCAGCATTTTCTGAAATTGACATCCTCGAAAAGAGAAATTCGCGAACAGCTTCAAAATCAAAATAAAAACTTTTAGAAACATCAAAGTTTCAAGTAGATTCAGAAAACTGTGGTTATTATGAGTGATTCTGTCCTTAAAAGGGTGAATTTGGGGCTTGAGTTGATACAGGATGCTGACTTACCATATGAACATCAAATCCTCGAGGATCCTGATAACCTCACCAACTGGTTAAGATACTTTTGGCATAAAGATTCCACAACAGAGAAACTATTCATTTTGCAAAGGGCCTGTGATCATTTGAAAAGATCTTATAAACTATGGATCATGTATTTGGACATGAGAATAGAGTTGGTGCAGGATTTGAACCCAATTGAACACAAGCAGGAGTTCCTTGATGTCAATAATGAATTTGAGAAATCACTATATCTATTGAACAAGATGCCAATGCTTTGGGTTAAATATTTACAATTCTTATTATTACAAGAAGATGTTACTTTCATAAGGAGGAAATTCACAGAAGCTTTGAGGATGTTACCAGTGACCCAACATCAAAAGATTTGGCCATTATATTTGGAATTTGCAGATAGCGTTGGTGGATTAACAGGTTCAAAGATTTATTTAAAATACTTAATCTTCAATCCAGATGACATTGAATTAGTGTTGAATAGACTAATACAGTTTAAAGATATCAAGAATAGCATAACGGTTTTCGAAAAAGTATTGAATGATGAAAATTTTGTTTCAAAAGAAGGTAAATCTCCATTAGAGCTCTGGCTTGAGTATGCAGATATATTAATGTCAACAAAGAAAGCTGATCAAAACCATGACACTATTGTGGAGAACTTTGTTAGAAATGGTATTGAGAGATTCCCTGATCAACAAGGGAAATTATATGTTAAACTAGCCACATATTTCAGTAAAAGAGGCGCATATGAAAAAGCAAGAGCCTTGTTAGAAGAAGGGCTCGAGTTAGTGCTCACGGTTAAAGATTTCACGGTTATTTATGATAGTTATGCTGAGTTTGAAGAAAGCTCAATAAATAAGTTGGTGGAGCTGATTTCTTCAAAAGAGGAAGCTGGAGAGGATATAGATGAGTTAAACTTGGAACTAGATCTTCAATTGGCAAGGTTTGAAAAATTAATGGATAAAAGACCTTTCTTATTAAGCGATGTTAAACTGCGTCAAAATCCAAATAATGTTGAAGAATGGTTACATCGTATTTCTTTATTTAACCCAGAAAATTTATCAGATATTTTACAAACTTATGTTAAAGCAATCACCACAATTGAACCATTCAAGGCTACTGAGGGGCTTTCCACAATTTGGATAAATTATTCAAAAGTTTATGAAGAAAATAATGATTTAAGTACAGCCAGAACAATTTTGGATAAAGCTGTTAAAGTTCCATTCAATTCTCCAGATGAATTGGTTAATATTTGGTTAGAATGGTCAGAATTGGAATTAAGACAAGATGATATTGAAAAAGCTATAAAAGTTTTGGAAGTTGCGACAAAATCACCCAAGATTTCCAAAATTGATTATTGGGATTCATCAATTGCTGTTCAAGGTAGAATACATAAAAGTATAAAGTTATGGTCATTTTATTTAGATCTTGTTGAAAGTTCTGGTGATATTGAAGAGACATGTTCTATTTATGATCGAGTTTTTGAATTGAAAATTGCTACACCACTAACTGTCATAAATTATGCAAACTTCTTGGAAGAAAATAATAGATTTGAAGAAGCTTTTAAAATTTATGAACGCGGTGTTAACATTTTTAAATTCCCAGTGGTTTTCGAAATTTGGAATATTTATTTAACAAAAGCATTGAAAAGAAATTTAAACATTGAAAGATTAAGAGATTTATTTGAACACGCATTATCTGAATGTCCTTCAGATTTGTCAAAACCCATTTATTTGTTATATTCTAAATTGGAAGAAGATAATGGATTAATTCAAAGAAGTTTGAAACTGTTAAATAAGGCTGTTGATTCAGTGAAATTAGATGATAAACCAGAAGTCTTAAACGTTTTGATTGCAAAGACTATTGAACATAGTGGATTAACAAGCACAAGACCAATTTTAACAAGAGCTATTGATGAATTACCTTTGAAATATGCAATTGCTTTTGTAATAAGATTTGCAGATATCGAAATCAAATTAAATGAATTTGAAAGAGCTCGTGAATTATTGAAATATGGTGCATTGCAACAATCACCAATTAAAAACACCAAATTATGGGAATTTTGGAGTGATTTTGAAGTTGCTCATGGTAATAAAGAGACCTATAAGGCCATGTTGAGAATCAAAAGACAAGCTACTGAGGAGTTCAACACTGATATTTTAAATTCAAGTGAACCAGTGGGGTTTGTAAAATCTAGTGAAGGTCCTAAAGTTTCTTCAATTAATGCTAGTGCACCTACAGCTCAAGCTAATGAAATTAATCCAGATGCAATTGATCTTGATATTTAATTTGTGTGTATTAATTAAAAAGAAAGTCATAAGGGAGGGGGGCCATTAATCATGATGTTTATTATTATCCACCCAATCTTGTGTAGACATTTGTGATAATCTACTTAATGCTCTAGCAAATGCGAATTTTTCTTCGTCTAATGCAAATAATTGTGCCTTTTTAGCAATTTTTTTACTAAAACCATGAGTTTGAACTAGTTCATCATTTGCAAAACTATCATCAATTTCTTTATCATCTTGATTTGAAGCTTTTAACTCATAAGCACCTTGTTTTATATCTTCAGGCTCCACAAATAAATCTTCAAATGGTGCAGCTACTGTTACACATAATCTTCCATGATTATCATAAACAGCATCAAGGAATGTAATGAATCTTCTAACTTGATCTCTAACATTGATGGATAGATATGGGATATCTGTGATGATAAATGCATTGAAATGTGTAGCTAATGAAAGATAATCACCAGCAGCTAAGGGGCTTCCACATAATTCTTCAAATGTGAATTGTGCAACATAAGGAGGTGAACCTTTTGGAACTTTCAAGATTCTTCCCCAGATTGTTAACTCGATATCATATTCAGGTCCGTGACCTTGGGCAAAGAAATTATACCAAGATTCAACATGTTGTTTAGCAGCAGCTTGTGAATGTTTTGAAGTGTATGAAATACCAGGTTTAGGATAATAATAAACAGAAGATATTGGTTTGGGAACTTTTCTATAATCAGTTGGAGAGTTCAAATAAATCACTTCAGTACGACGTTTCAATAATTGAATACATGGTATGAATGATTCTCTTTGAATACCATTAATGTATAAATCATCAGGTGCTCTATTCGAAGTTGCAAATAAAACTAACCCATGATCTGGTCTAAGAGCTCTTGTTAACAAACGACGTAACAACATCGCATCAGCAACATCTGTGACTTGAAATTCATCAAAGCATAAAACAGTAGCTTCTTGTGCAATTTCTGCAGTAATTATTGGGATTGTATCTAAATCTGGAGAACCATGTTCCACAATGAGTTGATGAGATCGCTTATGAAGGTTTTGCATAAATTGATGGAAATGCAAACGTTTCTTTGGTAAATGCTTTGGGATTGTAGAATAGAATAGATCCATCAACATTGTCTTACCACAACCAACATCACCATATAGATATATCCCCTTTGGAATTGTGTCATAGTCAGTTTGAGTGAATTCCACTTTTTTATGGAAAAGATTTGAAAACATTTTGGTTATACCAGTTTTGGGCTTTAAATTGGAAGCATTTGGGATCTCTACTATCTGTGGACTATAACGAGTCAATTGAGCATGAAGGTCACCCAAAGACTTTATTATACCTCTTTGATATTGATCATCTCTCAATTTACCTATAGATACCAACCGATCATACTCTTGTAGTGGAGTTTTAGCCTCTGAGTTCAGTAGCTTTACACTACTATGTAATAGTCTTCTGCAAGTGGAAGGGCCATACAACTTGAGCATCTTTGTGACGAACTCATATAAAACTAGTTGTGTACATAAATTTCATAAAACTGCTCTCGAATTTTCAATTGTTTTTAAATTCGAAAAGTGGATGAAAATCTGTCAGGTATTACATAACCAGAATAACCAATTATGCACAATTCATCAATACTCAACATTTCACATCAACTATAAGAAGAATCAAGAATCCACTAATTGTAACATTATATGTATATTAATAGAACATCGGAATTACCTTATATACACACAGTAGAGGATATTCTGTCAGGTTAAAACCACGAATAAAATAAAACAAGTGATCATTAAATCAACATCAACTAGAAACAATGGCTGTCACAAGAAACTCCAATAGAAGAAACACCTCTTCAACCTCTTCAACAACTAGAGTAACCAAAACCAGAAAACCAGCCAGAAAAACCAAGGCTAATCCTCGTGTTACAGCAATTGAAAACAATATTTCTGCATCACATGCTGCATCAACATCTGAAAACACACCAAACTCAACCACTTCAGAAGAAAATTTTTCAACAAATGGTGTTCAACAAGCTGCATTATCTGCACAAAATGAAAATTTTTCTAGTTCAACTGAAACGGACCATGAGACAAATGGGTCAAATCAAAATCGCACTTTTTCCCACCACCTGGATTACCTCAACCAAATTCAGCACCATTGTTTCCTCCAGGTTTATCAGCACCTTCATCACTTCCACCGGGTTTATCTAATAATACACAACATGGAACCAATAGCACAACTTCAAACACTAATGCTGCTACTAATGTCCTCAATTCAATGGATCCACAAACACTTGCTCAACTATTACAGTTACTTCAAACTGTTCAACAACCTCTGCAACAACAAAATCATGTATCTGATCAAGTGCAATTTAATGATATAATGATGAATTTTGAACAAACAACCATCAATAACATGAAAATAATGTTCAATTTACCAGCATTTGAAGAATTTAAATTAAAAGATGATAAAGTGAATGATTCACCCATCAACATCATTACAACATTGAAAGATAAATGTTTCAAACAAATTCCAAATGGGTTTTCTCAAGCGTGGTACTATTGTCTTGTGAATAAATT